TTCTTAATTTTTTTCAGAATTGTTATTTTTCTTACCTTTTTTAGCTTTAACAACAACTGATTTAACCTTAGTCTTTTTCTTGCCAGCAGAAGATGTCGAGGCAAGAGGTTGTTTACCCCTGTCATTTTCAGGATTTTGAACCGTATCAGAATCTGAAAAACCTTCAAATTCAGAAGAACTCCCCGAGTATATCTAGGGTATCGTCTTTCGACATAACAAAATACGTAACAAAATACGTACCTCAAAATACCCAGAAGAATCAAAATAAATTCGAACAGTCGAAAAGAGAAAACACGATGTATTCACCACGCCGCAAAATGAAAAAGTGATTTCTCACGCTATTTCCGGTATTGATCACGTGGCATGCGTGATTATTGGCGGGTAATTTAAATCCTTTAAATTTGCGATGTTTTTCATACGACCAAGATGAAATGCTATTTGTACATGTGAAAGCCAAAGGCTTTATGAAAAATAATGCCCATATCTTGTAAAATATCATGAATTCATTCTTAAATTTCTTAAAAATGCTACTTGAAGTCCAATTTTATCAAGTTATTATTCAATACCTAATCTTTGAAGATAAACAATGGAGAATATTTGAGTTTTTAAATTTGATCCTGATCTTGATTGTACTTTAGAACAAATATTTTTTAAGAATCATTAAAAATCCTACCCTTCAATATTTTCTTCTTTCATGCTATCATCATCCGTATCTACAACCTTTATTTCCAGAGTGTCCACAGCTTTCATCAAAATCTTCAAAATGGCCTCATTGCCCAGCTTGTCAAGAACCACAACTCTGCAACGACTTAATAAAGCTGTATTCACCTGGAATGATGGATTCTCTGTGGTTGCCCCGATCAGTGTGATAGTTCCGTCTTCCACATGTGGTAACAGACTGTCCTAAAATACCACCTAATTTATTCAATCAGCATCTGCTTTGCTTATGTTTAATTAAACAGAAACTCACAAGTTATACAGATAGGCACCTTTTTACTTTTTTTAAAACCATTTGATACTAGCACAAATGCTCAAAATGATATTACATTGTGTTTACCGAACATTCTTTAGCAATTGTGTTTATCAAACATTCTTTGACAAAGATATCTCAAGAACTTGATAAAATATTTATTTCTTATAGTTGTCTACTTTAATTCAGATTATTAATGAACTTATGAAAATTAAAATTAACACAAATTATCACACATTTTGGCTTCAGCCACTGATAAATTAGTTACACAGAAACATGGGCTGAAATATAACGTGATTGTTACTTTTTAACGGAATGTGTAGTCAAATTTCTATCAGTAAAACATTTATCATACAGGTCTGTCTTTTATAAACATTGAGGTGAATTTATTTTACCTGCTGCAGTTTGTTAAATCTGTGAATTTCATCTAAAAACAGAATGGTTCGTTTCTTAAACATTTTAAAGTCATTTTTGGCATTCTTTATCAGTTCTTTAACATCATTTACACCAGATGAGGTTGCTGACATCTGCACAAATTTTGATCTACCTTTGCATTTCTTTGCTACAATTTTTGCAAGTGTCGTCTGAAATGAAATCAAATGAAGAATTTTTAAATGTATAAACATTTGAAACTAACATCTGACATAAGGCATGACCTACATACATGTAAGGTGTTTATGAATGAAACAGAACAGATACATTAACTTTTTCAAGACCACTGGTGGTATCCTGCAAGTTGAAATGACATTGTTCTAATCAATGTTTACAAATACTGTATTGACATACACACCTTTGCGCCACAAAGCTCAAGGTTAAAGATAATCATTTTAAAGAAGACAAAAATGTTAAAATCAGAGTGACTGGAAGTCTAGGGCTTTACATGTTAAACCCCATCAGCTGTTTTTTACTGCCCTGTAGGGGGGAAAACAAATTGGGGGGTGTCAAAAGGTTTTCCAAAAAGGAGCATTATTTATAATAACTGAATTCTGTAAAAACCCAAAAGTCAAGGGGGGAAAAGGGCCCGAGTGAGTTTTGGGGGAGGGAAAGGGCAAAATAATTTTTTAACCAAAAACCGGGGAAACCAGAAAATTTATATTTTAAAAAGGGAACCAAATTATAAAAATAAACAAAAACATATTTCCAAAACACATCAAAAGTGTTGGGAGATGGGGGGTTTTTTTACTATAAATTGGGTCCTTTGGGAATTTTTTTTAAAAAAAATTGGAAATTGGGCTTCATTAAAAACAAAATTTTGTAATGATATATCAAATGCTTAATAACAATGAGCTATCAAATACAATAGGTAGTACAGTGGAAACCATGATATGAATAAGTGTGATGAACTGTGATCATCATACATGGTAATATACACACTTGTTTTAGTTATCACACTTTTGAACAACATACTAAACAGTTTGTTTTATTGTTAATTTTATCATTGAACTCTGAAAATAAAATTCAGAGATCACTAATATAACAATATTGTAGTATTCAATGACAATATTTAATCAAAGCGCTGAAAGCACTGATGTATTCGCTGCGCATTATAAATGCATATGTGTCTTACTAAAAAACTAAAAACGCAATTGTAAAGAATAAAGGAATATGGGCCACTGAATTACAGATTATTAATCTGATAGAGACATTAACACTGGTTGTTGAATAATATATTGAAAGAGGGATAGAAGTAAGAATAAACTAAATGAGAACAACTTTATTACATTATCTAAGTGGTACAATAAAATATACATCCAAAAATATGAATGCATGCAGTTCATTCATGACTAGATCCTTAACATGATGAGAGAATTATGTTATAATGAATATATATACAGTAACAATACCTAGAATACTATATTGCTACATAAGCTTCAAATGTAATGACAGACAGATTACCTAGCTAAAGCATTTCAGTTTTTCACATGATGAAAAGTGAAACTTGGAACATGTTAATTTCATGAAATTTAAGAAGAAAATATAGGTATTTTTGTAAAATACTTTAATTTTAAAAATTTCTGAGATTAAAAAAATACAAAAAAAGTACTTTTAATAGTTTGCGTATTATATTTTTAAATAGCCCGTAACAGTCAAAAATAAATTTTAAAATTCTGTTATTTACTTTTTTGCAAAGAAACATTACAAATGGAATGGGAGCATGAGGAAATGGCTTTAATAATGCAAAACAAGCAAAATGGGACAATAAGAGAAAAGGATGGTTGTAATATCTTATCTTTTTTTACCTACTGTGACCTTATCATGCAAAAGACCAAATTAATTTAAAGCGTTCTTGCACACAGTAAATGAGAATTTTTGACGTTTTCAAACTAATATGACATTATTGAAATATGGATGACTGACAGACCAGGAATCTTTGACTGTCTGTAATAGCTGAGCTTTTGCTAATGTGAGCTAAAAAATGAGAATACTGATGTCACGGATGATTCAATAATATCCATATTTAAGAAAACACAGCTTTAAAACCAAATTGCAATATTATAAAAAAGGTAAACCATGACTGTTAAAATATTATCTATGCCCCTGGTTAAAAACATGATAGAAATATCCCCAGAACCTTTTTACTCAACAATAATAATACATTGTAATTATAACAGCATTAATAAGTACATCGCCTTATCTAATAGTCTGAATCCTTACACAATTTAAAATGTTGCATTTGACAAACATTCTATTATAAAGCTTTCAATATTTCAGTTACTTCATACATTAATCAGTGTTTCTTTTTCTAAAATTAAAGCATATATACAAACTTGCTAATATGAAAAACAAATTTGGTCACGATTTAATTTATCTCATGTATAAAAATTGCACCTTGCCTGCAATTTAAGTAATTTTATTTAAGATTCTTATGCCTAAGAAAGTATGGTGATTGCTCAATTTTAAGTCAATTGTTTAAAAACATTTTCATAAATCGGAAACACACTGTACTTCATATCAATTGTGAAATTGTGAAATTTCTTTTATTAAGAATATTACTTACTGATAAATGTTCACAAAATTGCAAATACACTGTAAATCTAAAAACAATGCTACATAATTAAGGTATAACAAAGTTATATAATGATTAAGACAATGGATTGAAATGATAGAAAAACAAGCAAATGTAAAATGAACATAAAAAATATATACATGTAACACTATTGACCATAAGAAACAGTTAAGTCAAACAAATGTAATAGTTATTATGCATTTAAATTTGGGGTGTAGTTTCATGTTTCTTCGGAAATTGAAGTCAAAATAGTTCTCAGAAGTCAAATATTTCTCTGACAAAGATAGAAATGTTATGAGCATGTAAAGCTCCAACAAACTTTCTGATATAACTCTAGTGCAATCACTGTTTGTCAAATTTCAATAGATAAAATAATAATGAACACATGCAAAATATTTTTTACTTTGACTAGAATCAAAAATGATAACCTTTGTTTACAGTTTGCGTCCACAATGATAATAGCATATAAATAAATATAATCATGTCACTTGTGCCTGGTTATATAAAAAAAACAATTTCTAATAAAGGAATGTACAAGTTTGTTTTGCGTATGTTAAGAACAACTTAAGCATGTAAATAAAAAGTACTGGGAACATGGTATTTTAAAGGTATTATAAGTAGATTTCAACAATAATAAATGAATGATTTCAAAATTTAAAAAAAAAAAAAAAAAAAATGGGTCAAAGACAGAAAAGGCCAGGTTGCATTTCTATACCAAATATCATGATGCTGTAATTTTTTGTAAAAATTTACCACTGACCATTAATGTGGAAAATTTAACTAAGTCAGTTAACAGGAAGTGGATGAGTGAAAGACTTTGAAATCGAAATCCCACAGTATGAGACCATGTGTCAATGCTGTTTGTTAAATATCAGAGCCTGTGATAAGTAGTTGCTAAAAAACTGTTACGAAAATTTCCTACCATTGACCATTAATGTTGAAAATTTAACGGTAAACAGGGCGTGGTGAGCGACCGACCTGAAATCAAATCCGACGGTATGGACCACGTCAATACTGTATACCAAATATTTATCAAGAGGCTGAGATAAGTTGGTATGGAAGACAAAACTATGACCATTTGTTTACATATATTCCATAAATAAGTTCAAGGGGGGGGGGGGGGTAATTCTGGAAATAGTCATGCTTGTCACACAACATATGTGTAATGATAAGAAATATAAACAAGAGGGCCATGATGGCCCTGAGGTCGCTCACCTGTATATAGGCCCCCCCCAACCCCCACCAAACATTGCAGGGCCAATTTAACCCAAGGGCTTTTATTTGCACAAACTTGGTAGACACCCATAAGAAGATGTTTCATGCTAAACATCTAAGCTCTAGCTCATTGGGCTTTTAAAAGAAGATTTTTTTAAAATTTTTACTATACACATATAGTTAAAAACAATGACACTCCTGGGGCCGGGCCAGTTTTGACCCCAGGGCTTTTATTTGAACAAACTTTGTAGACACTTACTAGAAGATGTTTCATTCTTAATATCTAAACTCTAGCTATTTGGGTTTTTCCAAAGAAGATTATAAGTTTTTGCTATACACATATAAAGAAAATCAATGACCCCCGGGGCGGGGCCAATTTTGACCCCAGGTCTTTTATTTGAACAAACTTTGTAGACACTCACTAAAAAATGTTTCATGCTTAATATTTTAACTCTAGCTATTTGGGTTTTTTCAAAGAAGATTTTTTAAGTTTTTGCTATACACATAGGGAAAATCAATGACCCCTGGGGCGGGGCCAATTTTGATCCCAGGGCATTTATTTGAACAAACTTGGTAGACACCTATCAAAACATGTTTGATGCTAAATATCTTAGCCATAGCTCTTTGAGTTCTTTAAAAGAAGATTTTTTAAGTTTTTACTATATGCATATAGGTAAAATCAATGACCCCCCCCCCACGGGCCGGGCCAATTTTGACCCCAGGGCTTTTATTTGAACAAACTTGGTAGACACTTATTAGAACATGTTTCATGCTAAATATCTTAGCTCTAACTCTTTTGGTTCTTTAAAAGAAGATTTTTTAAGTTTTTACTATATGCACATAGGGAAAATCAATGACCCCTGGGGCGGGGCCAATTTTGACCCCAGGGCTTTTATTTGAACAAACTTGGTAGACACCTATTAGAACATGTTTGATGCTCAATATCTTAGCCATAGCTCTTTGAGTTCTTTAAAAGAAGATTTTTTAAGTTTTTACAATATGCATATAGGGAAAATCAATGACCCCCCGGGGCCGGGCCAATTTTGACCCCAAGCTTTTATTTGAACAAACTTGGTAGACACCCATTAGAACATGTTTCATGCTAAATATCTTAGCTCTAAGCTCTTTGGGTTCTTTAAAAGAAGATTTTTGCGACGGACGCGCCCTCAGGCGCGTTCAGAGCTAAGTCATCTACATGGGATTTCGTCTGCTACACTCGCGCAAAGTGTCCTCAACCGATTAACAGCCCAAGAAAAAGTACATGAATTTGATCCTTTAAAACTCCCATACTATGTCGGGATATCTTAAAATCTTCCATATTTAGCCTTTTCAATTTCAAATTAAGTTATCCAAGTTAAAATATGGAACGTATATGATTGATAAAAACGTTGTAGTCCCGTAGTATTATTGCGCAATTATGCAAATTACTGCCGAAACGATTTACCGCTGTCGAAAAAGTAGGACAGCAAATTATACTATAATAAAGGTGTAAGCTCTGAGTTCCAAGAAATTATTAGTAGGAAATAAATATTTATACATTATACAAAACATTATTATTAACAAATCAAAAGTTTTTTGGACTCTAGAATAACTCGCGCATTAATAAAAGAAGAACTATTTTCGTGACTCATACCGCGGGTTTAGCTGAATATTCAGCAGTTATTAATAAATTAGATACATTTTCTAGGTCACGATATGAGTTAACCTTCGCTATTCTAAAAATAGATTCTGCTTTACCTGTGCTGATTTTCGGACAGTAGGGAGTACACATTATACATGTTATAAACCAGCGGATACTTAATTACTTTGTTCACATGCAATACTTTTAGAAATTCTATACAATTGTAAGAAGCAAACAAGTTGAAAATGTTATTTAGTGTGAAATTGAAAAGGACAACTAAACACTATAGTGCTTTTAAAAACAAATTGTGACATTTCTAAAGATTAAAATAAAAACGATGTGCTCTGGCCCTTGCAAATAAAAGAAATCTAAAAAATACGGTGACTATTGATTGCTGATGATTTTAACCAAAGATATTTTTAATGAGACGTACATATCCAAAAGAAATAAAAATACAAATGACTTATATTTTATTGTCTATATGCCCACTATGTTAAAACACGAAGCAATTCTAAATAACATTCTCACATGTATAATCACGGATTTATCCGTGGTATAATGTATTATGCTTGAAGTCTATTTGCATGGTTTTATTTTAGAAATATGTCGTTGAAAGTTTTTTTTTCCATTTACATATCATTTCTTGGAATAAATCGATAATGACACTGATTTACAAGTTTGACCAGGGTTTTAGGCATATATTTCATTATGCTTGAAAGTAGAAAATCTGGATTATATCAGATTGGGACACAAAATATATTGCTCCTTGTATGGAACAAATTTTCTCTGTTATAGATTCCTATATTTTGTGTTTTATTTTTTTTTCTAAATAACCCTAAATGTCTCCCCCGTTGCATGTCCGTCGCATTCAGTGCTGCAGCACTTTGATTTAATTTTTTACTATATGCATATAGGGAAAATCAATGACCCCCGGGGCGGGGCCAATTTTGACCCCAGGGCTTTTATTTGAACAAACTTGGTAGACACTCACTAGAAGATGTTTCATGCCAAATATCTAAGCTCTAGCTCTTATGGTTTTTTAAAAAGATATTTAAAGTTTTTTCTTTCGGTTGCCATGGCAACCAGAGTTCTGCATGGAATTAAATTCTTTGAACAATTTTTTTAAGGTGACCACCAAAGGAACATTCCTGTGAAGTTTGGATGAAATTGGCTTAGTGGTTTATGAGGAGATGTCATTTAAAGTAAAAGTTTACGGACGGACGCCGGACGAAATGTGATCACAAAAGCTCACCCTGTCACTTTGTGACAGGTGAGCTAAAAAGTAAATTAAATTAATTATAATATTTCTTTAAAAAAAAATCCTAAGTTCAAAGGGATAGTAACCTGAAAATATTGCTTTAAGAGTTATGAACCTAGTCACATAAGATGTAATTGATGATATTGATAAGGAATATGTATTTGAAGTAAGAGATAGATGCCTTTGAAACTAAAGAAGTCATAGTAAAAAATAATATTTTTCAAGTAAAAAAAATCTAAGTTCATGGGGAGGTAATTCTTGCAATATTGGTGCTAGCGTTAACAACCTTGTCATATAACATTTGGTTAATGATAAGGAACATAATAATTATATTTGAAATATGAAGTTGATCCCTTAAGAAATAAATAAGTAACAGTAAATAATAGCTGTCGGTAGGACAGCAACGCTCTACCATTATAAGTGCTTGATAGAAAAAGAGCCTTGATAATGTAAAATGTTAACAAAAGGGCCAAATTTTCCTTTAAATCCATGTTACTGTTATAGGGCCAAATTTTCCTTTAAATCCATGTTACTGTTATAGGCCTTGAAGAGAGTCCTATTATGCTCTCAAAGAAGAGTATAAAATTTCAACTTGTTCCTAGCCAGATGTCAATAGTATATGAAAATATCTGAGGTGGTATGCAAACTTTAAATAACATAAAACCTAAGTCAGAAAAGGGGTATAATTCTGTCAAAATGCTTGATCCAGTTATCTCCTCCTGTCTACAGGTTGGGGTCATGATGGTGAACATGTGTGCAAAGTTTCAAAGCCATATATCAATGGACTTTGATATTTGAGATATTACAAAAACTTTAACATAAGTTATTACACCTACGCTGACACAGACGCCGACACCAACACTGACGCACTGGTGACTACAATAGCTCTACTTATTCTTATCGAATAGTCGAGCTAAAAATAACTTTTTTAGGAAAATTCTATCTTCAAGAGGAGATAAATTTGAAAATATATGTGCTAGAGTAATGAACCTTGTCACATAAGATGTGGTTGATGATAAGGAACATATATTTGAAGTATGAAGTTGATCCCTTAAGAAATAAGGAAGTAACAATAGAAAATAATATTTTTTAAGGAAAATTCTAAGTTCAAGGGGAGATAAATCTGAAAATAGTGGTGCTAGAGTTATGAACCTTGTCACATACGATGTGGTTGATGATATGGAAAACCAAAACTTTAATCTAAATAAGGACGCGGACGCCGGGGCAAGAAGGACGGCTCTCCATATACTTTTGTATAGTCTAGCTAAAAATGAAAAGTAAGAAAGTGTTTTATGCAGTAAACATTAATATAAATATAAAAGTGATATGGCACTTTTTGTACTAAGAAGCGAGGAATGATATTTTATCTTTTCTTGCATTCTAAATCTATAGTAAATGATGTTATTACCGTACCTTTCTTGCCTATTAAATGTATGGTATTGTACCTAACAATATTGCTTTAGCAATGATGTTCCAGGGTTTTCACATGTTGGTTTACACAAAATATCCATACATATATCTAATTTCTATTATAATACATATATACATTAAACTTTATGCTTTAAACAAAAAATAGAACTTTTTACAACATTACCATTAGACAGGATTAATTTTGACCCCAGTGACACTACTGAAGTTTTCCAGATTGTATGTAAATGATAAGCAGACTGGAAATCTATACACCTGACAATCTATTTTCCTTTCTTCGAATTTTTCCTTGAATATGTGACCATAAGGCTTGGAAATTTTTTAACAACATAGCAATATTCTGAGGTATCCAATGCATTTCTCTGCTTAACTTCAGCTAGAAACTTTTTAAAAGGAAGTTTTTCACATATTTCCAATACAATTTAGGTAAAACATGTAGGTCCATTGGCATTCAGGGCTTCCATTAAGATTCAAAATTTGGAAGTCAAAGACTGCAAAATGTCTTGACATTGGAAGTCACAAAATATTGGTAAAGAAGAAAAAAGCATTACATTTTGGAAGTCACAAGCCAAATTCAAGGAGTGAAATGACTCCCAAACTTCCATTAATGGAAGCCCTGCCATTACTATGAAAATGGTAGCCTGATGTTCATTTACAAAAAGTGTTTATACCTTGATCATTCAAACAAAAAGTTTCTCCAAAAATTGTGTTTTTCTCTTCTAAACAAACAACTTTGCACATTTCAACATCTTACAGTTCACATATATTCGTCTTACATGTCCACAGATACCACAGATATATATACAATGGATAGGAAGCTCAGAAAATAGTTGATAGTCAGATTCAGATCCACAGTGCGCTTCGGTAATAATCGGGTTTTCCCACTAGTCCCCGATTCTCGCACTCTCGTTAAACTTCGGCGATATCCATGAACTACTGTTTACATTGCCGACATTGTTTTTTTTTTGAGAAATATCTGTGTGGAAAAGTGTGTATGGTACGTTTTAACATAAATAACTATTGCTTCTTATGTAAGTAGAAAATGCTTCGTCTTTTTTTGTCAATGTTCCTCTTGGAATTCAATATGGCGGTATTTTGGCTACTATTACCCAGGATGCATCAAATCTTGGAAAATCCCGAAACACATGATAACTTGCGTTAGAACAACCCCAATAATACTGAATTTAACTGTATGACGTCTAAGTTACTTCTCCATCTATATTAAGCTCCATGACATGTCCAATCAATCAGTAAATCAATAAGTTGATTGATCATTAGAACATTCAATCAACATTCAACAATCATCAATCAGAGAATGAATCATCGAGTCAATGAAATCGAGGAAATCAACACTCTGAAATTAAACAAATTACATCAACATAAAAATAGAGTTAAATCAATTTCCTATGTCTGAAATGCATAATTATCATTTAAATAAAAACGTCCAAATTTATGGTCAATTACAATAAACCCATTAACACTTTCTATATGATCTACGTAAATAACCGAGGTATATCGAGTGAAAAAATACGAGTTGCTTTATGACTTTAAGCGAGGATTTTAGTCAAGAATATTTACTTTTTAGAGATTAATCGCCGTGTTGGCTACAGTAAAGAATGTACTTTGTCATCTCAAGACATCGAGAAAAAATAGCGTTTGGTTGCAGTTAAATAACATCAATTGAAATAGTTTACAAAATTTTGATAATAATCCTTTTTTGTTTCATTAAGTTTAATTTTTAAATTGGAAAAAAAAAAAAAAAAACACCGAAAATAATTGTTGGGCTCTGATAATTGCGTCAATTACCGACGGTATAGAAGTTTGTCCATCGTCCATCATTAAGGAAAGTTTGCATTATTAAATTATTTTTCCTTTTCACCGTTTTTTTTTTTTTAATATTAATTCTTTTTATTTATTTCTTCCCCTCCGATCATTATTTATTCGATCCATGTGCTTAATCAACAGATTAAACAATTCATCTTTCATACTCTTAAAACAACAAATCATAAGCATGAAAATCAAGGACGTTATAACATGCAACTTTGACACTTTTATTAAGATAGATTATACAACGCTTGTTCGTATACATTCATTTTTTGTTGTTGTTAAATTGCGGAGCATCTTTATTAAAGTGAACACACTAGGACAAATGTGGTGATTTGATTAAAGTCGTCGTTTAAAGACACAAAATAACATATGCATTTTCATTTTCCTTATAATTTTGAAAAGTGCCATACGGCTAGCCAATACAGCGTGTCCTGGCTAGAACTTTTGGCTAGCCATACGGGCCCGTACGGCTAGCCACTTCCATTAAATATTTACAACACATTGAACAGCTTACTTAACCTGTAGGTATATTAACATATAATTTACTATAGCTAATTGCTTTCTACTGGCCGCCACAATCATAAGTTCATTTAATGAAGTTATTATAAAATACATCATAATCATAAATAAATTCTAAACTCACCAGTTCGTGGAATTGAATGTACCAATAATAGCATTATCTTCTTCAAACACGCATACTGTCAAACTCTCTCTCTGCTGTAACTTCTGCAAAATATAATAAACACAATGTGCAAAGTGATAGGAATGAAATGTGAGATTAAGTAAACAGAGAGCTAGATTAACGGATTTTTCTGAAAACAATTCTCAAAGGTTCCAAATCACGAAAACTGATGACATTTCAAATCAGACCACACTCATTACTTAATTAAAAAATCATCTATGACATACACTCTATAAAACACTAATTTAAACCAAATGCAACTCAAAATAATACTGACCAACTATCAATAATCCATATTTCCAATAAATTAAGAACACTTTGAACTTTTTACAAACAAAGCCGCTTAAACATAGACAAAACTAGTGATATTGCGGAAAACCAAGGGAAACAACTCAAACAACAAAAAATATATCAAGACACCTGAATTATCAACACTGTTAGTTTACACATCATGAAATCCAAATAAGAATTCCAAAACAGATTACATTAGGTTTAAATAATATTGGTAAGTTTTCTGTACCTACTTTTAGAAAATGATGAGATCAGCTTTCACATACAAAAATAGCGTCGAAAACTTTGTTTTGGTACGAACTACTTCCTTACTCAAAGTTAACGCGAATGAATACTAATGATATTTTTTACTGATTATATCCTGAAAACATGCAAATAATATACGATAGAAATAACACAATCAAAAATGAACTACTGACAATTCAAAATCTTATCACTTGTGTGTGACAAGAAAATCTGTGTAGAACTACTTTGCGTTGTTAGGTACCCATTCTTATATTGTAATCCCGCAAATTGTGATAGAACTGTATTCACTGCTTACGCAGCGAATACAAAAATGAAACAGGGGTTGAGGGGGTTTGTGTTTGGGGCAGGGGTTGGGGCAGTGGCCTTGTGGTTAAGGTGTCTGCCTCTCAACTCAGGGATCACGAGTTCAAGCCCTATTCAGGTCAGGACCATGTTTCTTCATAAGACACTAGCTTGTATTGGTTGGTTCCAGGAAGTGGACTCGTAAGCGATTAATATAAATTCCCAATCAAGCTTAAATAAATATGTTTAAACTAATATATCTTAACTAGTAAGTGTTAAATTTTAGTACTTTTCCACATCCTGGTGGACCCCACAAAATCATTGACGGAGTATTATCCCCTTGTAAAAGAGACCATAACATTTTATCTTTTCCAAGAGCTTTGTCCTGTCCAATGTAATTTTCAAAACATATTGGCCTCATCCTTTCTGCTAATGGTATAGACATATCTAATAATAAATGTTTCTTTGGAGGACTTCCCTCTGGCTCAACCTTGTCTAGGCCATTCTGATTCTGTTTATCCTCTATGGCAGATTTGCTTTTCTGTTTATTCAACTCATTTTCTGGCAATGTCACTAAAGTCCTCTCTGAGTCATCAGCATCATCGATTGTTATGACAGGTACTTCCTTCCCATGTATTTTCGCTATCGGAGACAACTTTATCTTTTTGGAACTAGCATTTGTATTTGAATTGTCATTTGACATAAGAAACCCCCACCCACTTTTAGCTGCATTTAACTTCCGTTTTCTTCCGTTGTGATCATTGTCATCTTTTGCAGTACTGTCATCGCCATTGTTTAAGCAACTGTTGACATGTACATTTATTTTAGATGGTGAAAACAGCTTATTACAAACGGGGCATGCAACATTTTCTTCCATTATCTGTAACAAAATGTTCCCGCCAAATGTCAGATTTTCGGACGGTGTCGCGGTATAATATTGTATACGTGATAATCAACAGTTTATTTTAGGTTCCGCAAGACAACTGAAGAGGACAAGTTTTTACGGGAATATTTAGTGGTTTAACTGTTTAAAGTAAGTTAACTATCTATATTATTACATGTGATGGATATTGAAAGCCTTATTTCTGTAATTACTGATAAAAATCCCATTAATCAGTGAGAGTTCTCTATATTTCCAATTTACTTCCTATTTCAATTCCTCTTAAACTTGGCAAATACTTGAAACTGGCTAAGGTTCAATGCCATCAATTTTTTTTTCTCGTGGATTTCTTAATTGTGTTATGTTTGACACAGGTTATTAAACTATCCATTAGACATGAAAGATTAACTGCTTGATCTTTTAATTACGTTTATTGTCAAAAGAAAACTGGGTTTCTACTTTCGGTTTCACTCATTGTATAGGTACATGTACATGTACCCTTACAAGGTTTGACCTCTTTCAAAAACTGTTTTTTTTTCTACTGTCAAACCGTTTGAAAAAGACATCGTCCGTCCAAAGTTATGTTGATGTCTCTTTTACATGTCCAAATAGGCTGATTACATGTATCCACATGAACTTAAAATACTGTCAAACCAATTAAAAAAATCCCTTCCCTATACATACAGTACAGTATATATAAAAATTATACATATATTATTAATCGGACTTCACTGCTATTATTGAGATAATTTCAAGTTCCTGTGATGAACTCAATGATCCGTCATCCAGAGGTATTATTTGACGAATATCTTGTCATAATAATGTTGAAGTGAATATATAAAAGCTTTAATATTATTTATGTTTTTAACTGATATGCTAAATCAGTACTGTGTTCGTAATTTTTATCTAATCATAAATGACTTTACATGTAAACAGAATATAGTTATCATTATGCACGTAATGAATAGAGCTGTATCTTACAGTATGTATACATACATTTTAGTTGCCACTAGTTACCTATAGGAGGGACTGTCACACAAGAAGGCTGTTGGTTATTTATTTTTAATAGAAACAAATTAATACAGAAAATTTTCCATATAGGTTCTTTAACGTACATCCCTAAGATTTTGTTAGTAGTTGGATTGAAGTCGAGACCAAGCCATCATTAGTTCATGCTTAAAGTACTTAATATCACTGTATGACATAATTTCTATTTTTAATTTGTTGGAATGGTAAGGAAGCGAAAGATAGATTGTTTCAAGAATAAAGGTTCACGTATTACAGTTCATCAACATCAAGATACACTGAATGCTTTAAGGGTGTTTAAAGTTGATTCACTGTAGAAATATATAGGTATTTTCTCTGGTAAACAATATATATATTATTATAGTAAGATTACTTCATACGGTACTTGAAATACAATGCATTATTGTAAGGAAGGAACATGCCACTTTCACTTCTGTTTTTAAAGTTACTTCCTTTATTCGACTTTTGTTCTCATCGGCTTATTATTGAGAAAATATTTAAAGTTTTTATTTTGAATTTGTAATTTGTTATGTTATTTTGATACTTTTTAATACTTTACTATGTAAAAGTTGAATATTTTTCTTCTAAGATGTGAGTAGCCGTAGTCATATTCCAATTTCGAGTTTGAATGAAGATGGGTCAATTTGATGTTGTTGTTTCCATTAACATGACCACCCAGTTTAATTTCGTTCTTTTATAGGATCGTTTTCCTTCCTTCCCCTCTGTTCTTCCCTCTCTCGCCCTCTTCCCTCCCTCTCCCTTCACCATTGAACGGGAGAAGCACTATAGGGACTATTGAGCCTGGTGAACCATTCCCGCGTTGTTTTTTTTTCTGAATTCCCGATATTGGATAGGGTATTGAAGGCTATACATGTCAGTAAGAATATATTGTTCAGACAGACTAGTTTACAATTTTTTTTATATTCTTCGGGAATTCCTCAGTTGTTGTGTATAAACTAGTATTATTACAAATTAGTAAAACGCTGCAAATTTATTTGTGTTTTACATTGTCAGTTGATTTTCTGAAGATGGCATCCCAAGACGTTATAAAAGACCCTCTTCTAGTCGTTGCCATTGATTTTGGAACAACGTTCAGTGGTTATGCCTTCCAATTCAAACATGAATATTCGAAAGAAGACCCCACTAACAAAATAAGCGCACCTCAGGCCTGGAATGATGGGAAAATGCAAGTGGCGTCAATGAAAACACCCACGTGTCTGCTGCTGAAAAATGACGGAGAGATCGAAAGTTTTGGATATGAGGTAGGCATAAGCTATTATTTGATAGAAACTTAAAAATTGATTTTCAATTTACTTGAAAACTAACCACACGATGCACTCCATTTTAAATGTATTTGAGCTTGAAGGTTAAGTCTATATGAATATTACGAAAGCAGTAAGTTAAGTTAACACTTACCATGTTATTTCAAATGCCAAGCAATATGTATGTCAGAATGTTAAAAGATTGTCCATCCGTACAGTGGACATAAAATATATAGCATTACGCGATCGAGTATGGTCCCTGGACATGTCACCATCATGCACTGAAAGAGTTAATTTTCAAGTACGAGGTACAGTGGGAGTTCACCTCTCTGCAATTTCCACTTTAGCTAGAACGATAAAGTTAACGGGGGTGAAACCCCCTATGTATTTCAAAAACGAGCATCGTTAAAAGTATATACGAATTTCCGCTGCTCCAGATGTGAAGCATAACTCCAGATGTGACTGTAAAAATAGGTCAATCGCAGTGTAAGTAGGTCAATCGCAGTGTAAGTTTTCAACTTTTTAAACAGTTACATAAACTTAAATCCTTTTTTAAAGAATATCGGAATGTGATTCGACCCTCCAGACTCTCCTCTATATTACCCATTTTTTGTTTTGGATTTCTATGCAGTCTTCATCTAGATATTCTTTCCGTCGTGGGTTCTGGTGTGTCCAAAAATGTATGGGAAAAAATTTCTTAAAAAATGGATTGAATTTTATATACTGTTTTAAAAGTTGAAAACTTACCCCACAATTGACCTATTTTCACAGTCACATTTGGATTCTGGTATCATGCTTCCTTATCTTATTTAAGGCAACCTTATCTCATCATTTCAGGCTGAGCGAAGGTTTTCGGAGATATGCGAGGATGAAGATGAGAACCCGAAAGATTGGTATTTCTTCAAAAGATTCAAAATGAAGCTGCATGATTTGAAAGTATGTAGAACCTCCTAATTATTCTTTAACATGCGCGTGACATACTTTCTTGTTTACAACATAAAAAACGTAATTGTATTGAAAGATTTACAAAAAGATCAGAACAATATCCAGTTTTGTGATACAGTATGTCTGGAAAATGTATTATTCTGAACAGTTTGCATCGATTAACCGTTAAAGCCTGTTTTTGGCCGTGTTGCAAAGGTGCAAACCCGGGTTATAGTATGATGAATGTCGGGCGGGTGGCAAACGGGCGGGGAATTTTTTCTAACCGTTTTCTCAGTAACTACTTATCACACCCTCTTAATATTTGGTATACATCATTAACACGTGGTCTTATACTGTGGGATGTCGCTCATCCACTTCCTGTTTACTGACTTAGTTAAATTTTCGACCTTAATGGTCAGTGGTAGGAAATTTTCGTGACATTTTTCTCAGCAACTACTTATCACAGTCTCTTGATATTTGGTATACATCATTAACACGTGGTCCGTACCATACGGTGGGATTCAGTTTCTGGTCTGTCGCTCATCCACTTCCTGTTTAAGGACTTAGTTAAATTTTCGACATTAACGGTCAATTGTAGGACATTTTTGTAACAATTTTCTCAGCAACCACTTATCACAGCACCATGATATTTGGTATACAGCATTAACATGTGGTCCCATACCTTGGTACTAGAATTTAGGTCTGTCGTTCATCCACTTCCTGTTTAACGACTTTGTTAGACATTCGACATTAATGGTCAATGGTAGGACATTACCGTAACAGTTTTCTTCACAGCCTCGCGATATTTGGTATACAGCATTAACAGGTAGTCCCATACCTTGGTAGTAGATTTCAGGTCTGTCGCTCATCCACTTCCAGTTTACCGACTTTTTCTGTCTTTGGCCAATTTTAATGTGTTTACTCAATAACGTTTGTACGATGTTTCCTTCTATCAGTGTGATACGTTAAATCCCTTAAACACCGTCAGTAGTAATGTTAAAAAATCAGCATGATGATAAATCTGGGATTAAATATAGACCAATTTTTCGAAAACGAATATTATGTTGAAAAATGAGTATGAATGAAATTTAGCAACCTGATTAATGTGTTAATAAATTAACATCTCAAATCTGATGCTATTTCATATAATTTTCATAAAATGACTTTGGTATTAGGTATTAGTAACGGCTGGTATGCCCGCCAGATGATTCTCAATGTTCTTCATGCAGGCCGCCACAATAAACGATGTAATAAAAATTTATTTCAAATGAAATTTTATATCAAATGAAATCATGTCATACCATATCACATTAAATTATTAACAATATACCCGTATTTGTTTATCAAAGTTTTATAAATAATTGTTCAATAATATTCAAGGTTCTCTCCGCATCAACTCTCATCGTAGATGAGCAAAATAAAGAATTTCCAGCAATTGAAGTCTTCTCCAAGTCTATTCTTTGCCTGAAAACAAAGCTTCTCGACGAGTTGAAACGGAAAAAGACTCTTGTGCAGATAGGCGACATTTTATTTGTGTTGACAGTTCCCGCCATTTGGAGCGACAACGCCAAAGATTTTATGAGGCAAGCTGCAAGAAAGGTATAGTATATACAGTGTATATGTATTTGATATACAAAACTTGTATTCATAGTCCGCATTTGCGCGAGTGACACGGAAGCAGTGGTAACAAATCAAGGGATCACGAGTTTGATCCCTCCTACCCCATCTAAAATAACCAACAAGTCTTTCCAGCAATTATTTAAAAGCCGAAGTCCTTTGTAATGCCTAGGTCACATATAAAACGGTCGCCGCTCGATTTGACCATTTTTACAACATCGGCGGCTTTGACGATTTCGCGAACGCCGGGCGATTTTAAATCTGATACCTTGGTGGTCACAAATGAAATTTTTTGCCGAATTGATGTAACAGAAAGCATTCAAAGACAGGGCGGTCGCCGCCCGATGACCAGGCGGCGTCAGTGCGATTTGTAAATAGATCTAGTAGGTTTAGTATTTTATGATATTCTTTTAAAAATCATTCAGTGGTCAATATGCCAGCAAAGAATGCAGATGATAGAGACAAGATGAATTCCAAGAAAATAATGCAACAATTGTAGTTTGCCCGTTCCATAGTAATAATTCACGTAGACGTTCTTGCTCGACCATAAGTTCATGTTAAATTCAAAGGAATTCATAGATACATTTTTAGGCAACTACAAAAAAAAACTCAAGCCGCAATTACAACAAAATCAAGCCGCGCGATCGCCGTACGACTAAACGATGACCACCCGGTGCCTGTGTATGAATCGTCCGGGTTCCGGGCGATACTTGTTCGCTAACTAATGTCTTTTCGGGTGCCAGGCGGGTTCCGGGTTATGTCCACCTCGGTACCTCGGTATCAAAACAATCGTCCGATCCAAAAACATTGCCCGGGCACGCCCCCGCGACGGCCGATCCCCTCCAGATGACTTTTTCAACTCACTGACACCAAAAATTTTAGTCCAGACGTCGTTACCTATTTTGTATTACTTAAAACTCGGCGGCGCCCGCCCGATGAGCAAAATTTTCAGCTACTAAGGTCCGTTTGCCACGGTGGTCGGACGGACACCGGTCGATAAAACGATTTTTTTAAGAAATAGACTCCGCCGGCGACTGTTTGTCATTTGTGACTGAGGTATAATCACGCTTTACACCTTGCATGTGTCAAAGGCAGTTGTTACGCCCAGGGTAAAGCAATGCATTTATATGTGGCTTTAAAAAATAAAGTACCTAACATTCCCGTAAAGGTTTCCAGTAGCGACGGGAAATAAACATAAATCAAAGTGAGGTGACAGTCTGCGCATATAATGAACATGTCAACCAGTCAACCCCTGCCCTTGCATATCCGGGACAGTGTCGGGAACATATAGCAAGTTTTTACCTCCTGTCTGCCTCCTCGCTGCTGGCGTAACAGCTGTGGGGTTTTTCCACGCAATTAAAGCGCGTGATATTTCTAGCTCGAAAATGCGGTGCATTTAATTTTTTCCATCTGACAGTCTTCTAAGAGTTGTGTCCTTTTCAGGATGTTTGATATTCGAAAAAATTAAGTTACCGTTGTCCCTCCGAGGATTTGGGGTGGGCAGGTTAATAGTTAAGTATTTCATAAGGTCCTTTATATCTTATGAAATACTCAATCTATACTGAAAACAGGTAAATACGCTATAGAAGTAAAATACTTTCAGACAGTTCACGAAAAATGACACCACTTCTATTTCAAAGAAACGCGAATAGAAACAATTAAATTTGTAAATGCCGGATTTTAATCAGTATATATTCATTTTAAACTTCAAGAAGTGACAGACCAACTGAGTGGCGATCGAAATTATTTTAGGTTGCCAAATGCTAGATTTTTGAAATTCTTAAAATGAAAGTAATAATGGAAGAGGATGGATTGTTTCCCTTTTGGTTAATCTCGGCCGAAGCGAAGGGGGGGGGGCACTGCATTGGAGTTTAAATTTCTGTGCTTAACGTTAGTTGTTTCCCGTATGTAAGATTTTGTTACAAAGCAAATTTGGTAAATTGTAAGATATGTTTACGTTAGTCCCAAGTACTGCCTCAAGGTTATGCTTACATCATTTGGAATTAAATGAAGCAAATTGGGTAAATGAAAAAAGTACTTCTTTATGTTTTCAGGCAGGCATTGATGATAACAAGTTGCTCATATCTTTGGAACCAGAATCGGCGTCACTGTTCTGTCAGTATCTTCCCGTCGACCGGTTTACCATTGGCGGTGAAGCACAGTGTGCATTAGCAGCACCAGGGACTGTTTATATGATTGTTGATCTGGGTGGTATGTTAACCTATTTTTATACGCCCGTTTGAAAAACGGGACGTATTATGGGAACGCCCCTGGCGGGCGGGCGGGCGGCGTCCAATTTTGTCCGGAGCATATCTCCTACATGTATGGAGGGATTTTAATGAAACTTCATATAAATGTTCACCACTATGAGGGGCAGTGTCGCGCACATGAACCAGGTCTCTAGGTCAAAGGTCAAGGTCACACCTAGAGCTCATTGAAAAATGCTTGTCCGGAGCAAAACTTCGACATGTGTAGAGGGATTTCAATATTACTTGGCACAAATGTTCACCATTGTGAGGCGGAGTGTCGCGTGCAAGATTCAGGTCCTTGCGGCCAAGGTCAAGGTCACACATAGAGGTCAAAGTTCAGATAAAAATATGAAGATGTGTATATGGACCATTTAGTCATCATTTATTGAGGGATTGTAACACAAATGGTCATTATCAAGACTATGGCTGTGATACATATACTTTAGGTCAATATATACAAGGTCAAGGTCACTAAAGATGATGAAATATCCAGATTTTGTAAATAGAATTTAATCAAAGGGAGACAACAAAGTTATTACTTTGTTCATAAATGACTTACACAATTACTCCCCTCGATCTATTTTCACTTTCAATTCTAAAAATAGAATTTAATCAAAGGGCATGAAATAATCCTCTTTCTTGGACTTGAGTATGTTCTAAAGAATGTAACATTTATTTACACATGTTTCATTCATTGGTCAAGATTCTTAACTGTGATAACTATGGTGTTCTGTAGACTTGGTATTTGTTCATAAAGATCATACAGTAATTACCTTATCAAATGTAAATACTTTCTCATAGAAATTTAATCATATTTTAATTTTAAAGTAAATATCAGTTCAGCTCATTCAAAGATTAAGAATTGTAATGAAATGTATTTCCCTAGAATAAAATCTTAAATCAGAATTTTTTAGTTATTAAATTACATGTACTTTTTATACGCCCGTTTAAAAAAAGATAAAAATATGAAGATGTGTATAGGGACGATTTAATCGTCATTTATTGAGGGATTGTAACACAAATGGTCATTATAATGACTACGGATGTGACACATGTACTTTAGGTCAATATATGCAAGGTCAAGGTCACTAAAGATGGTGAAATATCCAGATTTTGTCTGGAGCATATCTCCTACATGTATGGAAGAATTTTTATAATACTTTATGGAAATGTTCACCACCATGATATGTATTGCTCCATGCATGATCCAGGTCTCCAGGTCAAAGGTCAAGGTCACACTTAGAGCTCATTGAAAAACGCTTGTCCGGAGCAAAACTTCTACATTCATAGGGGGTTTTCAATATAACTTGGCACAAATGTTCACCATTGTGAGGCTGAGTGTCGCATGTAAAATTCAGATCCCTGCGACCAAAGTCAAGGTTACACATAGAGGTCAAAGTTCAGATAAAATTTTGAAGATGGTTATAGGGACCATTTAGTCATCATTTATTGATGGATTGTAGCACAAATGGTAACTATCATGACTACAGGTGTTACACATTTAATTTAGGTTAATATTTGCAAGGTCAAGGTCACTGGAGATGATTAAATATCCAGATGTTGTCCGGAGCATATTTTCTACATGCATGGAGGAATTTTAATGTTACTTTTATAGAATTGTTCACCACCATGAGACGTAGTGTCCTGCACATAAACCAAGTCTCTAGGTCAAAGGTGAAGGTCACAGTTAGAGCTCATAGAAAAACACTTGTCTGGAGCAAAACTTCTACATGCATAGAGGGATTTCAATATAATTTGTCACAAATGTTCATCATTGTGAGGCTGAGTGCCGTGCATAAAATTCAGGTCCCTGCGACCAAGGTCAAGGTCACACATTCTGTGCATATCTTCCCTATTGATTTGTTTTAAGGTTCATTTAACAACACAGTGCCAAGAATAAAAACTTGCTTGCTAGATAACACTTATCCATAATGCCCCCATCTCCATCTAAAGCTTTTTCGTAAACGGGCGTATTTTGTGACTATGGCACCCTTGTTATTACATATATTTTACCATAACTTAATAATATAATGGTCAGCGGTATTGGTACAAAAGTATCGCGGTGGGGAATATAACGGTCCTTTGGAGTGTCTTGTTACAAATATCTTAACTTTGTCAATTCTATGAGTGATATCCTGCTGTAAAAGCTGGCCATATAGGAGTGCCCATTTAGAAAGCTGTAAAAACGAATTATGTAACAAATAAGACTGAAAATAATGTCCAATGAATTATTGTAAATACTGCTAAACAAGGAAATTTTGTGACGATTGCCACTTGAAAACACTTTATTTTTTAAAATGTCAGATCATTTGCTTTCTCTGTCTCTGATTTCCAGAATTATCATTTTTGTTGTGTAAATTAACCCAAAAAAGAAAAGCTTTTAAACCCTTATTGCTCAAATCAGGATACGAACCGCATGGAAACCGATTTTAGACTTAATTCTGAGTGTATATGTTACATGTATTATTTTTTGTATACTTTTCTTTGTAGATCCATGTAAAGATTTCGAATTTTAAGGCCTTTAGACATCATTGGAGTGTTAACATTAATTGAATTCGATTTTTATAATGACCAATATATATTTGCTTATCAATGCTGTAACTTATATTTTGTTAATACTGTGTGATGTATTAGTATGGTGATTTACATTAATATATCATTGATATTTTTAAGGTGGCACAGCCGATATCACAGTGCACGAGAAACTCGAGAATGGAAAGTTGCGAGAAGTCCACCGTGCATGCGGGGGACCATGGGGTGGGACAGCAGTCGACGCTTTCTTCATTCAAGTGTTGTCAAACATTGTGTCACCATTAGGGATGTCAGAGTTTATGCGAGAGTAAGTTTTAATAAGAATTTAGTGAATGGCAAATAAAGAGTTAATTTGTTCTTGGAACCAGTTTAAAACTATTACCGGTAATTGATGTCCACTTATTTAAGGTCCCTATCCCCACCCATCCCTCTGCTTATGCCGTACGTATGTATGGCATTCCTGTTTATCTGTATATTTAATGACTGTGCAGCTACGTAATGTGGTGTCCGTACATGTTGATCAATTCAAGTGAAACGGAAACCTGGAAAAAAATCTTTAACATAAAGGCACATTATGCTTTTGAAGGGCAAATATGACGTTTGATTACGCTTAGAGTCTGTAATATAGTAGTATGTATAATAAGATAGTTATAACATGTGGAAAGTAGCGTGGAATGTGAAATTATTTGTCATAAAAGAATCAAAATGTAGACAAAGTAGTATTTTGATTTCCGTACAAAATACTAAATTACAATATCTGTGCAAATTGCTAAAAGGCAACAGAAGCAAAAGGTGGTTCGGGTAATTGGCCGATCAGAAACTTATTGTAAACCAGAATAAAAAAAAAATTCAGAGAAATAAAAATAAACATCTCTGGGGCATACTTGACCTTAATGTGTGTCTCAAGACTTGGTTTGTATAAAAATAAGTGACCTGTTTTCTAATTTACTGCCACAACATTATTTTTTATTTCACAAATAAATCCTATATCTGACGGGCTTTCATAATCTTCTTTTTATTTTTATGAGCTGACATTATCATCATTTTCCTTTTTTCTTTTTTCAAGACATTGCGGTGACTACCTTGATCTAATGCAAGAGTTTGAAGTTATAAAAAGAAAAGTTGACACTCCCTCAAACAAGACTTTCAACATCAAAGTTCCAGTAACTCTCACGGATGTGTCCGTTAAACACCTTAACAAGTCGTTCGCTGAAGCCGTGGATTCTAGCATGTATGCAGGAGTAATGAAGGTTACTGGAGATAAACTGAAGATGGATTCGACAGAGGCGAAAGACCTGTTTCAGAAAGTCGTTGATAAAGTAACTATTCAAATGCAGAAGTGTATAGATGATGTAAGCAGGTTGACGTCGGGTCGTGCCATTTCTTTGATTTTGATGGTTGGAGGATTCTCGGAATCCTTGTTTGTTCAGCAAACAATAAAAAACAGGTAAAACTCATAATGTGTATACTTTTTGATTTATGTCTTTGGTGTGTCTTTTGGGTTTTTATCACTTGAAAGTAGGCATCCGGCATCATATTTGTTGCATTTGTCTAATTTATCTTCTTTATTGGAGATTAATATATAATGAAGCCGAAGGGATACGAAGCTTTTAAAATATAATACAATCTAGCTCCGTGATCATGCATATGTTTATTACCTGCCCTCATTCCTTGTAGTGTTTACATTATGTCTGCGCTTGATATAGTTTCTGAACTTATTATTTTTTTTATATTTTGGTGACAGATTTCTTACCTACCCTCATTCCTTGTAATCTTTATACAATGTATTGCCTGTGCTTGATACCGTTTCTGATCTTATTCATGTTTTGTTGACAGGTTTGAGGGTGTTAATGGGATAACAGTTCTAATACCAGAGGAAGCTGGCCTAGCTGTTCTTAAAGGTGCTGTCATATTCGGGAGGCAACCAGAGAGCATCATGTCCAGGTACTTTAATTTTTTTCTTTGGTTGTGTCTTTGTCGCACTAACACAGTAATGGTCATTATTTCAAGCACGAACGGTCACCTGAGTAAAATCGCTGATGTGTTTGCATTTTTGTTTTGAAAAACGAATATAAGATAAATCAATGTGAAAAATATAATGTAGAGAATCCATAGAGCTCATTTGAAAAATGATTTTCGAAAATTAACCATGCTTATGTGTCCGGAGAAATAAAACTTTCGTTTCAGTTGGGATTCAACTGATGTTCTTTTTATGCCCCCACAATGTGGGAGCATATAGCGTTGCACTTGTCCGTCCGTCAGTCCGTCCGTCAGTCAGTCCGTCCGTCAGTCCGTACGTCCCGAAATCTTGTGAACGCAACTCCTCTTAAACCGGATGGCAGATTTTGCTTAAACTTACAGGGATGAACAACCTTAATGTGTAGATGGTAGTAAAGGAAGGAATTTTTGCTGCGACCAAATTTAACAGAATTATGGCCCTTTGTTGATTTTTTCACTAGATACTATGTAGAAATTTTGTGAACGCAACTCCTCTTAAACCGTATGGCAGATTTTGCTTAAACTTACAGGGATGAACAACCTTAATGTGTAGATGGTAGTAAGGGAAGGAATTTTTGCTGCGACCAAATTTAACAGAATTATGGCCCTTTGTTGATTTTTTCACTATATACTATGTAGAAATTTTGTGAACGCAACTCCTCTTAAACCGGATGGCAGATTTTGCTTAAACTTACAGGGATGAACAACCTTTAGGTGTAGATGGTAGTAAAGGAAGGAATTTTTGCTGCGACCAAGTTTTACAGAATTATGGCCCTTTGTTGATTTTTTCACTATATACTATGTAGAAATTTTGTGAATGCAACTCCTCTTAAACCGGATGGCAGATTTTGCTTAAACTTCCAGGGATGAACAACCTTAATGTGTAGATGGTAGTAAAGAAAGGAATTTTTGCTGCAACCAAATTTAACAGAATTATGGCCCTTTTTTGATTTTTTCATTATTTACTATGTAGAAATTTTGTGAACGCAACTCCTCTTAAACCGGATTGCAGATTTTGCTTAAACTTCCAGGGATTAACAACCTTAATGTGTAGATGGTAGTAAAGGAAGGACTTTTTGCTGCGACCAAATTTAACAGAATTATGGCCCTTTGTTGATTTTTAGTTTTCAACTTGTGGCACATGTAGTCCAAAAAATATTTGACCTAGTGTCATAAGATTGACAGAACAGTGGCGTGTGGGGGCATCCGTGTCCTATGGACACATTTCTAGTTTTACTTTGTTTCGCAATATTTGACATTCAAATGTTACAAAGAATGGTTCAATTATTGCATCGCATTGGTTGTCAAAATACTACCTGCTTATGTAATATACATAAAGAATAAAAAAAACAAATCTCAAACATTGTTATAGACATGTTAATCATTGCAATTTTTTTATTATTTATTGCAAAATATTTTCTTTGTAAGATATAATTAGTTGATAAAATTGTAATAAAGAGATGTAGCATCCATAAGAGTTGTTTATGGTAGACATACCTTAGTTTTCAATTTAAATACATTTGAGCCGCGTCACAACAAAACCATTATAGTGCGTTTGCGACCAGCATAGATCCAGACCAGCCCGCGCAGTCTGATCAGGATATATGCTGTTCGCTTACAAACCCTATTACAAGTACAGAAACTTATAGCGAACAGCATGAATCCTGACCAGACTGCGCGGATGCGCAGGCTGGTCTGGATCCATGCTGGTCGCAAACCCACTGTGTTGGTTTTGTTGTGACGCGGCTCATATATAAATGTAACTGTATAATATATTTATCTTCATGAGTCCAGAGATATGCATTCAGATATATCCAGATTAGTCTAAGATAGTTCTTCTTTCCTTTTTGTGTCCCCTGTACAGAGTAGTGGCGACATAAAGGGGTGGCTTTTCCGTCGTCTGTCTGTCCGTCTGTCTGTCACAAAACTTATCCGAACTACTTCTCAGAAACTTCTCGTGTAATTTCATCCAAACTTTACTAGAATGATCAGTACCAGGTACGTATATTAACATACGTACCTGATCAGTACCAAGTCTAGTTGTACATATCATCGGCATTTATATTAATGATTTTTGTGTCTCCTGCTACACAGTAGCTGCAACATGCAATTGGCTATCATGAGGCGACACATTTGACCACTGATCGACACATTTGACCACTAATCGCTGTTGTAATTTACTCAGGATTTTCTTTGCGTTTTGTTTACACAGGATTTTACGGTATACATACGGCGCTGAAATCACACCTCCCTTTGATCCAAAGATCCATGATGAGAGTTTGAAAACTGCAGACGGCAAACGTTGTAATAAAGTATTCCGTGCGTTCATTGAAAAGGGTACGGAGGTGTGTCATGGTCGCCCTCTAGAAAACATATACCATACCACAACACCTTTCCAAAAATCAATAAAACTAAAGATATTCAGCACTGAAAATGACTCTAAGATAAAGTACACCACAGACGAGGGGTGTAACTTTGTCGGAAATTTGGAAATGAAGATAAATCCAACAAAAGAATTACAAGACCTGAAAGTGGAGTATGTTTTTGGTGGTACAGAACTTTCAGTTATAGGAACGGAAGTGAAGTCAAAGACGCGGTGTGAAACCACTATCAGTATGAATAACTAGGTGTAAGACCACTATATTGACATGCTTTATGAACACAGTTAGTGACGCTTTGACAATTATTGTTTCCCTTTGCCAGTTATGTCATATCGTTTAATATTTATAATACAAAATGTACATCTCATGTTCGGTATAGTTCAATTTCTTAAGTGACTATAATCGGCAGAATACGCCTATCTCCGATGTTGAAAAATGATCACGTGATAGTATCTTCCCAGTGTAGAACGAAATGTAGTTTCGTCTTGTGCCTGTCCTGTTTTTGTTTGGCGTCCTGCTGAGCTCCTTGCCGGCAGTACTATGTTGCTGGGTTGTGTGGGGGATGCCTTCATTCCTTAAGCTTGTTGATCTTGTTTTTCATATACATGTATTATATTCCGAACATCAACGTTAACGTGGCTTGTATGCATTTAATAGACGAATCACGACATGACATTATTTTTTTATTCACATTTATCTTATTTTTTGTAATATAAGTTAATATGTACAAATTGATTCACAGATGTCACAATAAATTGACAAAATACTTATTCCCTGATTGAATAAGACTTAATTTTTTAAAGCACATTGTAAGCTTTAGCTAAAAAATTAATGAGTGATTCAAATTATGTCCTCGGAATTCAAAGCGGATAGAGCGTACGAAGTATTCATTTTCACTCTCTTAACAGCGTTCCAACTCCATCAGTCGGTGACTGAATAAATCAGTCCTATGCATTGAACCATGGTGAAATCAGTTTTTTTATATGTAAATTATTTTTCATTATTCTATTATTGATATAGCCGGGAATTTTAGTATAGAAATCATACAATTTGGCAGCCGGCTATAGTCTTGCTTAACTGTATAAACAAACTGAATATGCCAAATGTTGTGGTGGACATTCAAAGAGATAAAATGTCTTACTTCTGAGTCAAATCTGTCGCTTTTTTATTAAAATATCTTTGAGATAACAACATTTTTTTTATTTCAAGTGTTTTATCTGTTTGAAATAGGCACATAATTGATTACTTAATGTGACATTGCCTCTCAAATGTTTATATACGGGTGCGAAATTTGGGGTTAAAAATACTGAACATTTTAAACAGTTTATTTAATGGTATACGCATGCAATCGTATAATATTTGAAATAATATGTGTTGTCCCATGCATGTTGTGGGGGTTTTTTTGTGGGGAAGGGGGGTCAACGGGTTCTTGCATGTAACGTTTAGAAACCTGTTTTTTTTACAAAGCCATTTGAAATATCTCACACTTAATAATAAAAGCAACGATTTGGATTGATCTTTTCCTTTAATGTTTTCAGATTTTTTATAAATAACCGAATATTTTTGCTAGGTTTCTATCATTCTTCAGAATTTCATGACATGGTTTTTTGTTGTATTTTTTTGTTGTTTTTTTTAAAACACATGGCAAAATAGGAAAATTAAACTGTTTTATTCATAACATAATAACATAAGCAGTTTATTACTTTACCGAATACTCGGACTATAGATATTAAGAAGATGGTTTAATAATATTTTTAGAATTAATTGCTTGAATATTAATGTCACATTGCAATTTTCACAAAATAACGTAAAAATGTAACTCATAGAGTTAGTACTTCCTTATAATTAAAAATTGTGATTATTGTTTTTCACTATAAAATGTAATCGTAAAGTAAATTATTATTAGAATTAAAATTGATTTTTGTTTAAAATATAGAAAATTAGTAAAAACTAATGTGTTGTTCACCATTTATATGAAAATAAAAGTATTTAAACTAGTATTGACCTGTATTTGACAGTCCTCATATGTAGTTTTTAGTTCGATTGTGTTGGAAGCTAAAAGCTTATTGAAACACTCTCGATCCAAACTGTACTGAGCAACGACTGAAAAATTCTTGCTCAATTAAACAACGGCTAGCCCCTGACAGGGTTTGAACCCACGCGATCAGCAATCCCTAGATTAGTAGTCGATGCGTTAACCACTCGGTCGACCACGCCGCCACTCTAGTATGCCTTTGACCAACTATATTGTTTTAAAATAAAAACCAACAAAACAAACAGCAAGTCTAAACATTAAGCATGTCCAACCCTTCGAAGAAACATCTAAAAGTTGTTTTTTCTCTTGGACGGTATGCCGGTTAATTTCTTATTTTATTGCTTTTCTTCTATTGATAGGAAACTGTTGCAGTTTATACCATAATAAAAGTTGTGTCTGTTGACGACATTGGTGGTGTGTGGCTCGTTCATTGCGAGAGAAGCGAATCATGCTTTTACTTTTCCATTTTCGTACCTCTTACATTTTCTTACATCTTACAATCTTTCGTGAAAGCCATTCATGTTCTTTTTGTAGGAAGTATCGGAACGCAACATATATTAACCCTTCAACTGGCTGTGTGTTTTAAATTAAGTTGTACATGTAAAAGTTTGTTTGTATCCCATGATTTAATTGGAAAAACTCCCACTTTTGCTGAAGTTCCAGATTATCTCTCTTCAGTACATGTTATTTTAGTTTTTATAGATTTAAGTGAAAGTCTTTTAAATAAAAAAATAAAAATAAGTGTTTCTTATTTTTCAAATGATTATGGCTTTTTTAGGCAAGTAACAAACATAACTACAAAGTCTACAGTACATTTGTTATGAGCTTAGAACTGTACTGTAAACTTAAATTTAAGAAAATATATACAGCACAAGTTAAGAAATGAATAACATGTACGTGTTTTGGCAAAAATGCCCCTAGGAAAATATAACAAATAAATAGTAGATAAACGGTTAACTCAAGATTTTCCTAGAAATTGTACATGGGCCTTTTCAAAATTCCACAGCAAACTTAAAAGTACGAAAACTGATCCCCCGCTTGGTTTGCGTCACTTTAGTTGTATATATACCAAGTTAAGGCATGTTTGTGAAAATGAGCCTTCTGATTGATAAAGTGGCGGACAGCCCTTCGTCCCTTTCTCGTATGAGAAGGGGAATCCTTTGATGCGCGCGATCATTTTCCTGCCAACATGTCTTCGCTGCGTGTATGTGGTAGCACGGTCGAAAATTTCTAATAAAAACACCGTTTAGCATGTCATTGTAATAAAACAAAACTAGTCTGTGTTAAGGTATTTTAAAATTTGAACTTTGAAATAAGGACTTTTTCACCTTTAATAAGGAGTTATAACAGACTTATTAGAACTTTGTTACTTCTATATAGGAGACATAAAAAACATAATGGAACTTTGTTACATCCAGTTACAACTTATTAGGATTTTTAATTTTTAAATTTTAGAAGAAAAAAAAGATTTTTAATTTTAAAAGACATAAAAAACGTTTAAAGTCCTACTGTCTTGTTTAAGCCTGAAAACGGGATAATTTTTTTTGGAGTGCGAGTGAGAGCATTAAGAAAAACACTATCCCATTAAGGCAGAATAACTTTAAATGTTTTTTTTTTTATTTATATCAAGTACTCAAGCCAATCTTTGGTGCGTTACATTATTTATTTTATATTCTAATGATTTCTTACAATAAAACATATTTACGGAATGTTTACACACAAAAATGCTACTGAGGGCGTTTATAAATGGAAAATAAACTGTCAGAAAATTTCAAATGTAGATATTCTGATTGGATGAAAAGTCAGAACAAAAATTGTATCTCTTAAATTATTGCACAATACATTAAACCATTCTTTAAATCGTTATTATACTGTCAGTATTTGTATAAACATGAGCACAATTTTACAACAGGGGATAAGTATGCATCCTAACAGTATTCCCCTGGTATCGTGAGTTTGATGTCAGCTAAAAATAAGTGCAAATGTTTTGTTGTTGTTGTTTGCATCAAAGAATGTTTAAAACGGCAAAAAATGAAAATGGAACAAGCTCGGTTTGATTGAATCTGCCTATGGTCGGTTTTTAAAAATGCATGTTAGCATCCATGATCAGAGCATTGGCTCAAACAATATTTCAGATGGATTGGTATCATTTTGGCTATAGAGACATTCGCAGATGTGTTCATACTGCTGTTATCACGGAACCTTCAATGTGACACGCTTTTTCCAATACATGAAATGCGGCGTACAGTCCCCGAGTTAAATAATGCATGTGAACCAAATGTAAAATAGAAGTGTGAAAATAACATGTAAATAATTGGAATTTTTAGTGGGAATCAAAAGTTTATGAAGCCTGACATACAAGTGGTCAAATGAAAGTAAAACCGACACTGTAATAGCTAGCGACTGTCAAATTTACTGGTAGAGGAAGACATCAGGATCAGGTGCCCCTCGTAGCATTATTTGGCCCTACATGATAATTGTTTGTGCGTATAACATGGAATTCCTTCATTTATTTCATACTTGAGATATTTTTAACAAAAAACAACCATTTTCACGTTTTACATACCTTTAGTATTTAGCAATTTAAGATTTTTGACATCACTGCAGCAATCTGGCATGACTAACGCCCGTAATACGGTGTGATAAACCTAAAACGGTAAAATGGTTGCCATACCTAATTTTAGCTGTGAAAGGCACTGTTGTTCAAGTATATCGTGCTTTTTGGTTCAATAAGTCACATGACACAGTTCCCAGTCTGGTTTACTCTTTCATTGCATAGAATTCGAACAGCACCTTTAAGAATAAACCTCTTCACAGACTTGCATACCAGAAGACCGGGTTTATGCTCACTGTGTCCTGTAGCTTCCACTAAATTATGAAAAGGGTAAAAGTAAAACAATATATCTCGTAATGACTTTTAAAAATAATTTTAATTTCCATTTACCGTCTTTCTTGACGTCTTATATAAGATTACAAGAAAAAAAGAAGTGTTGTAATTGCGTAAAACTTCAAAAGGAAATCTTACATGATTATCATTTTTCCTGTTAAAACTGTTTGAAAAAAAGAATGAGTTTTTCAAATGTGACAAGATAGAGGAAGAAACTTTGACACGCAAATCTGACGTCATAAATGGGTTTGTTTACGGCTTAAACCAGACGAAATAAGATATCATTGGCCAGGCAATAGACTGTATCAATAAGCTTTACACTTAACCAAATTTATATAAAGCCACCGAGCTTTATCAGCCTATTTTTTTTTTATTTTTTTTTTTTATTTTTTTTTACATTTTCGGGAAATCTTACATTTGCCTCCGTGGTCGAGGGGTTAGGGTCGATAACTCTCTGGCGTGGGTTCGATCTCCGGGAGACGCTTTGGTAGTTTGGCACTGAGGAAGGAAGTCTAGTACTGGTGTTACTCTCCAGGAATGATGGTTAGGAAACTACCCGCCTATATGACTGAAATACTGTTGGGAAAAGGCGTAAAAATGAAAACAAACAAACATTAAGTTTTGTATTTCGAACGATCTAATGTTGCTCTTGGTGATCTCGGCGCTTATTTGATTTGTAAACTCACGGAAAGAGGCGGAATATGCCGGACTCACTTTCTGGAGCAGATAACTGAAAAAGAAGGACTGTGACCCATATTATTTCACCAGTTGCTTATATTATCATTGCAAAGTTAAAGACACATTTTGCCTAAGAACTCAATGTACATGTATTTGTATTCTTTAGAAATGACAAGTATTTAATAATGTTTAGATAATGAATTAGGAGCATGTTAGATGTTTTACAACTGAAAGTGTAGCCGCCCTGAACATGCAGTAAAGTGTCATAAAATTAGCACAATGTAACACAAAAAAGTATTTTCACTGTAATTATACCAATTGCCACATAACTTAAGACAAAAAATGATAGATAATGTATATAGCAAATGTCAGAGTATGTTTTTTTTTTTTTTGGAAACTGTTACAAGATACAAAAAATAAACAGTATTTAAGAAATAGAAATATAGACTTTCTGAGGCATAATGGGCCTTTAAAAAAGCTTAATTATTAAGTTTTCAATGAAAAGTCAATGTAAGGCTACAAAAAAGTTCGTCGACCAGCAATTCAAAGGCTCGACAACATTGCTGTATTGACATTTTCTCTATAGTTTTCCCCATAGTTTATGTTTTTCGATCGTAGGAACCGACAGTACCGGTATTTATCGATACTGGTATACGGTGAATATCCTGGGTTGCCGAGGATGATCTTCTCCTTATATAGATTCAATTTATCCTCGAATTTGATACAAGCGTGTTTCCTGGTGCATGACTGCCCATGATTGAAATTTGTGTTTTGTACTTTGGTCACGCATGATTGAATTTAATATTTAACTTGGTTTTTTAATATATTGGTTTGATAGAAATAATATTCAGTACAAAATGTAAGCACATATACGTTCATATAGACTTTACAGAACAAAGCATTTTAAGGGGATGACTGATGTGATTTCTAAAATCTTCAGTCAAATACATTGGTGAAAGGCGCATTACGCTTGAGAAACGAACACATTTTATCCTCCTCACTGTATACAAACACATTACGTCCTTTGATTACAAAAATATGATAAGCTGAATCGTGTCATTTTGCAAATAAATGATACAGTGATCGAAAGTAAAAAAAATCGCAATAACTCATACACAATGAATTTTATAGACTTTCAGTGATTTTCTATCTACACAATGGATATGCAATGTGGCGAGTAAGTACGTAAGCCAACCAATCTGTACTTCAGTACTTTGATATTTAATAAAACATGAACGAGAGGTTTCATCAAGGCCTGTAATATAACCCGTTTCCGACTTATTTCATACCGTACGACCTGTGAAGATAAAAACTTCAGAATGAGGTTGAAATTCCAAATATTATCCTCGGAGTGAAGATTAGGATAATCTCTTTGTTTGAATAAATCACCTCATTTTCTTAATGTGGCTACGAAAATAGACGTTTTCTGTTAGTGAAGTCAGAGGTTACTTTATATAAATCCATTTTTCGTTTAACATAAACTGTTTAAAAATAACTTGCACGTAATACCTTTTATATTTGTCATGTCTTGTCAGCATATTTTTAATAAAATCCGTGTTTACAAAACCGGATTTTAGTGCATGAACGCAGAGGGGTTGTGACCTTCAAAATCTCTCAGCATTGACCTTGAAAACGAGTTCTTCATTCATGTTTGTTGTATACTTCACTATATACCATGCCTATATTATCAGCAATATTCAATTCAAATCGAGTGAGAATTTTTTAGCTTTTTTTATAACCCTCAAGGCTGCTGCCTTGGACTAACCACTATTTGTTTTAAATTTTAAGGGAGCATTGTTCTCACCCAAAAGGGGTTCTAACCAAGGTTCCCTGTGTAAGGAGACAAACACTTTAACCACTCTGCTGCCTTCAAGTCCGTTTATGGTGTTCTTTATTGTCATGATTTGCTTTTCAATTTGATATAATTTTGTTTTAGAGAAATATGTTTGAATTGTATTTAATTTAAAAAGTTTAATTATATGTAGATCTACTCTCATTTAATAGTTTGATACCGTTATTCAAATCTAATAATTGTGCATTATTACCTTCATAGGCGTTTAAAGTTAACATTTTTAACGATTTTTTAAAGGCCAATTATGCCTCAGGAATCCTATATATTTTATTTCTCAAAAACTGTTAATTTTTGGTATCTTGTTACAGTTTCCAAAAAAGTCAAAATACTACTTTGTTTACATTTTGCTACATTTTGACACATTTTGTTCAGCGCTACTTCCTTTAGTATTTAAAAATGTAACATACTCTAAATTTATTATTTAGACAATATTATTACACATGTTGACATTCCTGAAGAAGAATTAAAAATGTGAATTTCTTATTTAGGCATAATATGCCTGTAGCGAATTTTCAAAGGCATAATGTGCCTTTAACGATTTTTTTTGGATTTTTTTGCACCGAAAAAGTTCATACAAAGTACAGCTTACATCATGTAAGAAATGTAACTTTTGGTCTAGATTCTCTTACATCACGTAGGAAATAGTGGTAACCTCACATATGAGCCGTCTCATGACAAAATCAACATAGTGTGTTTGCGACAAGCATGGATCATGACCAGCCTGCGCATCCGCGCAGTCTGATCAGGATCCATGCTGTTCGCTTACAAACCCTATAACAAGTAGAGAAATTGACAGCGAACAGCATGGATCCTGATCAGACTGCGCGGATGCGCAGGCTGGTCTGGATGCATGCTGGTCGCAAACCCATTATGTTGGTTTTGTCGTGACGCGGCTCATATCTTTAATATTTGGTCTAGATTCTGGTCTGATTATAATAAGTCACTTAGACGTTAGACTATTTGCTTGCCATTCAAAGTAAACAGACGGCAATCACATTTAAATGAAACACAAAATTGTATATCAAATGTTTATTTAAACATGACAATCATCCAATTAATTCCTGTACATGGCACATGTTATACTTAAATATCTAAAAAAGGGGGATCTTTACAAAACGAAGTTCGGCGAGCAGTAAACGCTGACTTCAGCATTACCCAAACTGATCATTTTGTTCTAGATCGAATTGATATACATTTGTATTTATAAAATTATAATGCCATTTATTTAAGGGCGGTGTTAGAGGGGGGGTGGAAAGTCATTTATATGCCTTTTTTCCTTAATTCCTTAATATTAATGGTTCTCGTAATTATGTAAGTCTATAGAGTTTGTCGCAAAAATTATCATCGGTGGGATTTAAATCTAAAAGGAGTTTGTAAAGTATTACACTATGAACTGATATAGTCTTCCAGAACATACCATATAACCACTGTCTTTAGCTTCATAAAAATGTCCCCGATGTACTTACTTTTGTCCCTTTTTTGAATACATTATAAAACTTCATCAGAGTCCCTGACGAGGTTAGAAAGATACGAACCGAACTTCCGAGATAACGGTGATGTTTTTCAAAAGGAAGAATATTTTAAACAGTTTAACCTTTTGATCCACTGATCATTTATCTTGGGAATATTATTCAAATGAAAGATAAAACCATATTTTGCAAACAAAATTCTTTATTGAGGAGGATGTCCCTATCTAAATTGTTGATAAACTTGGAGAGTTGACCTAGATTTTAGAATCTCCAAGAGCAGTTGAAATCTTGACTCGAGTCTTCATATAAAAGCAACATTCCTCCAATCACTCGTATTTTTTCGCCACTACTAACATGTTAAGGATTACACTGGTAGCCCTTGTGGCCCTCCTGGGTACACAAGGGGCCCAGGGTGCCGCGACAACCCCCGCGCCAAGTAAGTTTATCGTTATCGAAGCATTAGTAACATAACCATTTTTTTTTCTTTCTTCGTAAATATATTTTTTAATGTTCTATTATAAAATTGACCGAATTTACTATTGCGTTATATTTTCATGCAATTTATTTAACTGCTTTTGTTCTGCAGCATAGCTTTCTTGTCAAATAAATAGCTTTGAAATATGCGCTTTTTTCATTAACAGGATATATCTTGTCAGGTTAGTCGAATAATATTTTGCGCATATATATATTCAATTTTATAAAAGACTTTTCACATAAAAATAAAAAAAATAAGAATCTGAATGATGTGGTATGCAAGGACCATTTTTTATGTGTGTTATTTTATACAATCGATTTCATAGGAGCTGTCTGATTATTGTTAGATAAGTTGATTTTCTTTTATTTTCCGATTTATTTATTTATAGAGAGTGAGACATTTATTGAATTCAGTCATATAATGTCACAGTGTTATTCAAATCCATTTCATGGCATTGAAGTTTCTAAGATAACCTCAATATAAACACATCAACGGATGTTTCAAAATTCAAAATTTTACCGGTTCATGTTTTATGTTGAATTCTGCTTAAGCCGGTGCTGAGGGAGGGCGTGGACGGTAGCTTATAGTTACCACTACCGTCCATGAACAGGTTCAATTAAACCGAGTCTGCAACATTTTCAATTTTGCCGTGTTGAGCTTTCTTTTAGGGATTCTGTTTTTCTCTATTTTAATTTATCAAAACTGCTGTTGCTGATTTTTTTGTCAAAAAAAAAAAAAAACAACAAAAAATAAAAAAATAAAAAAAACAAACAAATCCTTGATATTGCAGATTGTGGATCAAACCCTGCCGATATTGAGTTTTTGCTTGACTCTTCGGGGTCAGTAGGATCTTCAAACTTTCAGAAACAATTAGATTTTGTTGCCAAATTTGCTCAGGCTTTCGACATTGGACCAAGAAATGTGCAGATCGGTGTAGCGACATTCGCCTCTACTCCACACAATGAGTTCAACTTAAACACCTACCATACCAAACATGACTTGGTGGCAGCCATTCATAAAATCGGGTATTTCTTTTATTATGCTTTTTTTTTCAAAAACAAAAAAAATACAAACAAAATTACTAAGAAAAGAAAAATATACAAACCAAAACACGGCTTATCTGTTAAAGTAAAACTAAAGTCATTTTTTAACAAAATATCGGTTTCAGTGGTGTTTATCGGCTATGTAACACCGGTTTGGAGTTTTGAAGCTTAGGAATTGACATCGAAGGCCGTGTGCCTGAGTGTTTAATTATTTCGTATAAAGGCTATAGTTTACAAAACTATCTTATCTGAGGGAGAAAAAATAACAGCTGCATATACATGTAGTCCCTGTAGTTTAACACCGTTACTTTATTATTTTTTTTCATCTCTTCTTTGAATATAGTGACAAAATCACGAGGGGTGTACAGACTGTTTTGCCAATTCATCCAGAAAAACATCTACGTATTTTAAGATTTTTTTTTAAATAAGTAGTTCAGTATTATCAGAATAGTTTTGACATTATTCCAGCTAGACATAAATGAGTGTAGAAGCTTGTGTAAAGTACCTATCATTTTATTTCTTCATTCTAATATTATTGTTATTTTCGTCAGGGCTAGGCGGACACCTTTTCGGCAAAATTTGAGTTTTAAACCAGTTTAAAATCTTCTGATTTTCTCATGATTTCTCCAGATGAATCGTTTCTTGAAACTCATTTAAACCTTTCAGTTATCACTCTGGTGGAACACGAACTGATCTCGCTCTGAAGTATGTAGAGGCAAACAGCTTCACCAAGCCATCAGGGGACCGCCCCGGTGTTGCCAACATTCTGATTGTGATGACGGACGGCAAATCAAATATGCCCCAACTCACCCTTGCCGAAACGAAAAAGCTGCACAACATGAATGCCAAGGTAACGTCATCAAACATTTATGTTGATGCTGTTTTGTTGTGTTGTTATATTATTATTATTTATTATTATTATTATTATTATTATTATTATTATTATTATTATTATTATTATTATTATTATTATTATTATTATTAGTATTATTATTATAGTTATTATTATTATTATTATTATTATTATTATTATTATTATTATTATTATTATTATTATTATTATTATTTATTATTATTATTATTATTATTATTATTATTATTATTAATATTATTATTATTATTGTTATTATCATTATTATTCTTATTACTATTATAATTATTATAATTATTATTATTATAATAATTATTATCATTATTATTCTCCCACGTTAAAACTACTTTTACACATCGATATCTTAAAGAATGATTTTTTAATTTTTACTTCATTGTTGAGCCAGCACTTTATTCATAATAACATGTAAATTTTGTGCAAAACATGAAGCGACACCTATCGGGCCTGCGATACACATATTTTCAGAAGCACTCAAATAAGCTGTTATTGTATTTACTGTACTTAAGGTATTTGCAATTGGTATTGGTTCCGGAGTTGACAAAAATGAATTAACTGCGATAGCAACAGACGCCAAGCACGTGTTCCAAGTTACCAACTTCGACGCCCTAGGAACACTTCAGGCCGAGCTGAAGAAAACAGCCTGCAAAAGTACGCACTTAATTTAACCTTTCAGTTTATAACTCGTGTATAATAATAATATGACATTTATAAGTAAATTTTGCCAGAAAAAGTCTGTGTTCGGGTTTTTTTCATAAATGATTATATTGCAATAATTCTTAAGCCTTGTTTACATGTACAGTTGATGGTGGCTGGACCACATTCGGCTCATTTTCACCATGTTCAAAATCTTGCGGAGGTGGGACCCAGTTCAGAGAAAGGTCTTGCACGAGACCACGACCTGCTAACGGTGGTGCTCAATGTACCGGAAATGCAAGGGAAACAAGAAATTGTCACACGGAAGCTTGTCCAACAAAACCACCACCGACAACAACAACAACACCAAGAACAACACCAATGCCCACCACTTTAGCATCCGGTAAGACTAAAGACTCAAGCTATAAGCAATTCTATAGAAATAGTGTAATAATGATGATTGTGGTAATCCTCCTCCACATCATCATCATCATCATCATCATCATCATCCTCATCCTCATCCTCATCATCATCATCATCATCCTCCTCATCATCATCATCATCATCATCCTCATCCTCATCATCATCATCATCATCATCACCCTCATCATCATCATCATCCTCATCATCATCATCATCCACCTCATCATCATTATCATCATCATCATCATCATCATAATAATAATCAATATGACGCTTAGATAAACTTATACTAATTTATACTTTTTATAAAAATAAGTAATCGCTCAAGTAAACAAAAAACGCAGCTTATGGAAAATGTTATAGCTCAAATTATATTTCAATAACAGTAGAGAACTTCCGGTCAGAAACGTTTTTGATAACGGCCGTTTTGTTCCTTATGTCTGACGAAATGTCATGGAAATTGCTAAAAAATAATATATGACTTCAGTTTTATATCCAAATGAATGTTACATTTTTTTTCCATAGGTTGTAATGGGACTGAGCCAGCCGACATTGTGTTTATATTGGACGCCTCCGGAAGTGTTGGGGCAACCAATTTTAACAAAATGCTCGTTTTTGTAAACAAGTTGGTAGACGGATTCCCGGTTGGCCCCACAGAAACACATATTGGTCTGATCACATTCGACTCCAAGACCTATCTACAGTTCCATCTTAACAAGTTCACATCCAAAGCTGACATCAAAAGGGCAGTTACAGCAACAAAGTAAAGCAAAATAACAATTATTTTTAAAAAATATACTCGGCCGAAGTAAAACTTGTTAACTAACACATGTTATTTCTAAGTTTTCATATAAGTAATGCTTGCATAATCATGATATAACAATTTCTTGCAGCTAAGAAAAATGCAACAGCAACATTTTATTAATATAGGAATTAAATTATAAGCTGTGTTAAATGTTTTGTGGAAGGAGGCATTGTTAAATGCAGTATTGCTAATTTTTTATACATTTTTTCATAGGTACACATCTGGCACAACGCACACAGGTGACGCAATCAAATATGCAAGACAGACCTCCTTCTCCGTACAGAATGGCATGCGCCCTAATGCTGCTAAGATAGCCATCATTGTTACTGACGGTAAGACAAATGCCACAGTTTGTTAGTAACAAACAAGATTTTGTTAGTAACAAACAAGAATGTCTTAGTAACAAACAAGTTAAAGCAGATATGGTTATGCTTAAACTTGAACTTTCCGAATAAAGCACTTACCACCAAAGGGTTTTAAAGATCAAATATTTCCTTATCACATCAAATGCAAGTTTGTTTACTTATAACTTGAGTTCATTGAAGAAAGAAATACACTAGTTAAAACCTGTACCATATACCATTTAATTCCCTGAAACAAAATCTTGATTCTTTTACCATTTTATCAACAAGAGAACTTTTTAAGTGATGCTCAAAGATATAAAAGATTTGATTAAGGCTATTAAGTAAATATTATTTTAAAAATAAAGATACTACTTATATTTGAACATTTTGAACAGATACCGCAGCATAAACAGAATCTAAAACTCGCTTTCGACACAGATGGTGGACGAATGTTGGAGGCAATAACGAGGCTCTTTACTAAAAAAAGAGAACATACCAATTAAAAAACTTCTTTTAGAACAGACCAATTAAAAACCTTTTGAAACTCATTAAAACAAACTTTGGTGACAACAAATGACTCTCTTTCCTTTCTGACAGGACAGTCCAACAGTGCTGCAGCAACTTCGTCTGAAGCTGCACTGCTCCGTAAAGCCGGTATTACAGTTTTCTCTATTGGTGTTGGTTCGGGTGCTAAACTGTCCGAGTTGAATGCCATGGCAACCGACCCTGATGCAACACACGTGTTCCAGGTCACAAACTTTGCCTCTCTAGACAACATCAAAGGATCGTTATCAAAGAAGACATGTGAAGGTATTTGTACATGTTTGTATTGAACATCTAGGTACTTTGTAATTGAAATCGAAATCTCATTTTATAAATATCTTAGACTAATGATATCACACCAAACGATTTATGAAACGGAAATATTATATTTTTAATTTTAGTGAAGGCAACAAGTCCACCACCGACACCTGCACCACACAAGGCAGATTGTGAAGCCCAGGCTGATATTGTTTTCTTGCTCGATTCTTCCGGTTCAGTCGGCTCCAGCAACTTCCAGAAAGTCAAAAGCTTTGTCCACGATTTAATGAATAGTTTCAACATCGGACCAACATCTGTACAGGTTGGAGTTGACACGTTCCAGTCATCTGTTAAGTCTGAATTCAATATGAACACATACCATGACCGCCAGTCTATACAAGATGCCATCAACAAAATCCCTTACCACTCCGGAGGCACTAACACAGCTAAAGCAATCACTTTCATGAACACTGACAGCTTCAGCGCCGCACATGGTATGCATTTTATATCATCAAACATAGTTAATACGTGCATTATTCATTAAAGCGCCATGTACTGTATATAGATATATTTAAAACGAAAAAGATGAAAATTTTCGACTGATGGCCATGAGAAGAAGAAAACACGTGCTTATTCTTCGTCTTTAACCATGTATTATTATCCAATTATATGCCGTTTGCTTATGTTTAGTGTTGTCATCTTCTGTTTATCGTCGTGAATTTTTAATAACTACATTTTTTCTATTATATCAAAATATTTGATAAACACCTTATTAATATAACTCGCAGGCGACAGACCAAATGTTCCAAACGTAGCTATCGTTGTCACTGACGGAAAGTCGAGCAGCGCCACGGCAACAGCCGCTGAGGCCAAGAAGCTCCGAGATGCTGGGGTAACAGTTCTTGCCATCGGTGTTGGTAGTGGTGTGTCAAAGGCTGAACTAAATGCTATTGCAACCGACCCAGACAGCACCCACGTGTTTGCCGCTGATAACTTTGATGCTCTGAAATCATTGAAGGCTCTTCTCTCAACCAAAGCTTGTGAAGGTATGTACTTGAAATTTTGCAACAAACGTGTTTGTTGTATATTCGAAGAAAAAAGATTGATATTTTCTGTTTAAGAGTTTTCAATACGGAAAATTATCTTTTTTCTTTGGAAGATTTGGTTCTAACATTTCTAATCTGTGTTTTCAGTTTTCATATCTATATTGTATTTAAACGTTATTTTACGTCAGTGTAAGGTGTTGTAGATCCAAACAAGATCCTTGACTAAGAAAAAGTCGGAGTTTATTTCTTACGACACATCCGAGATTAACTTATTAAATGATAACAATTTTGATAATAACTTTCTATCGGCATTATATGCAAAACAGATGCTTCTTCTGACCATCTTCATCAAAAATTTTAATGTTTCAGTTTCTAAACCAGTAGTAAACACTACAAAAACATGTGCGGCTAAGGCAGATATTCTTTTCGTTTTGGATTCCTCGGGCAGTATCGGACAGACCAATTACAACAAAATGCTTAAATTTGTCCGTGACGTTTCGTCCAAATTCGATGTAGGACCAGACAAGGTTCGAATTGGAACCGAGATTTACAGCGACAGAACTTACATTCAGTTTAACCTTAACAAATACCAAGACGGCGCTTCGCTCGACAAAGCTATTGCCAATATCCCATACAAGAGGGGTACAACAAACACAGGACAGGCGTTAAAGGTTGGTTTAATTAGATTGTGCTCTGTCTTTTTGTAAGAAGCATAGATGTAACGTATATATTATTTTCTGTCCTATATGCTTTTCTCCCTAGAGTAGCTATTGCTTAAAAGCAACATATGTAAATGCTCCTAAAGTTAGAGGGTTAAAACTAGACACTAATCTCAACATAAGAAACTAGCTTGTTGTTTTTTTAAGGATGCTTACACCAAGATGCTCACTGTTGGAAATGGTGACAGACCAAATGTTCCAAATGTAGTAATTGTCGTCACAGACGGACAATCAACCAATCGTCCATCCACATTGGCAGAAGCTAAGAATCTCCAAGCTACTGGTGCACAGGTAAGTTCGACCTCTTGTCTAAATTACCGCTATAAGGTTACGTAACTATCACAAAACGTGAAGAAAATATAAAGTATAGCTTCAATTTCCGTGACTTGAACACACTATATAAGCGTCAACGCGAATAATAGGAACGAAATAGCATAACAATTTAACGCTTTTGAAATAGCTACTTAATACTGATAGCGTGGACATTCACCGCTGTAGATGGATGGATGGCAATACGCAAAGAAACGGTTGTTTGTCAGTTTGTTCTTTGAATATATTCTGGACTTTCATACTTTTATCTCCTACCAAAATTAAATGGTCATATGAAAAATAACAATAAGTTCATCATGTCATACATTTCTAAAATGAGCCGCGTCACGACAAAACCAGCATAATGGATTTGCGACCAGCATGGATCCAGACCAGCCTGCGCATCCGCGCAGTCTGATGAGGATCCATGCTGTTCGCTGTCAGTTTCTCTAATTGTTATAGGGTTTGTAAGCGAACAGCATGGATCCTGATCAGACTGCGCGGATGCGCAGGCTGGTCCGGATCCATGCTGGTCGCAAACCCATTATGTTAGTTTTGTCGTGACGCGGCTCATATATTTTCAATATTTTATAGGTATTCACAGTTGGTGTTGGTTCCGGTGTTGACAAATCCGAGTTGAATGCTGTTGCTACTGACCCAGATAATACGCACGTGCTCACCGTGACGGATTTCAGCAAGTTGCAACAAATTACAGCCTCACTTAACAACAAGGCCTGTGCTGGTAGAAAAACTTCCATTATGATCTCTTGTTTTTTTTTTATTTCTATATCCACTTGCCCCTAACCACTGTGGGTTCGATTCCCGTAAGAGACTTTGGATTCCAATATATGAGGAAATTATCTAGCTAGCTTACGAAACGTCGTTGGTTTATTTATTTATAGGACGCCAATATCTCTAAAATCAAGCATAATTAGCTGTAAATTTGTGTTTTATAATGGTTCGATATAAAAAGGGTAAGGATCAGTATAGTTGGAAAAAAATAAAGTTTTTCTTAAATTATGAAATCTGAAATACTTGTGTGTTGAAACAGTTTGTCAATAACATGATTTTATTCTAAGTTGGTCTTTCATACAGACTGCACTTATATTGTATGTTCCTATATGAATAGCTTGATACTTAATTTGTTTTCAATTCACGCCTGCAGTAATATATATTTGAAATGTCATTTGTTTCAGCTATACCACCAACCGGACAGTCACTAACACCAAGGCCAGGTACCACAATAATGCCCGATGCATGCCAGGATCAGAATCCCCAGTGCGCTGCCTATGATATCCCCAAAGTATGCACAGACTATGCAGGCTGGGCAAAAGATAACTGCCAGAAGAGTTGCAATTTCTGCCCAAGTATGACTCAACTGCTTTAATAAGTTACCTTTTAAATGAGCCTCGTCATGACAAAACCAACATAATGGGTTTGCGACCAGCATGGATCCAGACCAGCCTGCGCATCCGCGCAGTCTGATCAGGATCCATGCTGTTGGCTATCAGTTTCTCTACTTGTAATTAGGGTTGGTAAGCGAACAGCATGCAATGGATCCTGATCAGACTGCGCGGATGCGCAGGCTGGTCTGGATTCATGCTGGTCGCAAACCCATCATGTTGGTTTTGTCATGACGCGGCTCAAATATCTTGTAATCATCTGTTTATCCATCTATGTTTTCAAGTTAATCCACCTTTGTTTTAACACACAATTTCTAAGTAAATTAATAAACATGTGCGTTTGCAATTGGTATAATTACAGTGAATTTGTATGGAAGTCAAAATATATTTCTTTTATTTACATTTTGCAACCTTTACGGCACATCACAGCGCGTTCAGTGCTACTTTCTTCAGGTGTTAATTATCTAACATGCTCTTAATTCACAATTAAAACATTAAATTGAACACATGTTTGACATTTCTAAAGTATTAAAAAATATGGATTTCTGACGTATAATGTGGCTTAAATGAATATAGTACTGAAGACATTATTACTATTTAGATGCTCTCCAGCCTACACCACCACCGTGCAAAGATGCAATCCCCAACTGCCACGAATATGCACCAAGCGCATGTAATGATTTCAAACCATGGGCCAGTGATAACTGCAGACAGTTCTGTGGATTTTGTCGTAAGTTGTCGTGTATTTTTAGATTTCAAAAAGTCAATGTGATATTTCTTATGAAGGCAAAGTTAACAGAAAAAAACAACATTATTTCAATTATTTGCCATACAATTTAATTCAAGTAATTTATGTAATTTTAAAGTAGATATAGGAGATCAAGATATCGGCAGTATTGCAATCTGCTATGGCTTTTTTATTTATTATGCCGTTTTATCTGTAAAATTAATACATACGTATATAATCAAATGCAAATGTTATGAAAATATCTTATATAATACGCAAGGAAAACACAGAAGAAAGATAATTTGGAATGACATTACTAACAAGATGTAATACAATATTAAGTACATTAGTAAATCTAAGCTGCGACTGGGCGTGTTGTATTAGATGAAATATTTTGCAGGATAGATACAGAATTATTTTGTTTTTAATGTTTTCTTATTCAGAACTTGGAAGCGGCAAACAAGTGCTCACAGGTTTCTGTAAGTGTTATCATTATTATTATCATTAATATCATCATCATCAGCAGCAGCAGCAGCAGCGTCATCATGATCATCATCAGCGTCGTCATAGGCATTTATTTTATGATCCATTTTGAATTTTGTTTTGTGATTCAAACCTTTTATAGATATATTTGCAAGAAAAAAATGATACACACAGATAAAAGAAAGTTACATTTAACAGAAACTGTTCAAGTTGTACGTTGGCTGATGGTATATTTTTATAAATACTTCCCTTTTTCACACAGTGCGTCACTTACCCACACTTAAATTGTTTCGGATAACTCAAACTTAACAACAAAGCGTCACTCACCAACACTTAAATTACCTAGGATACCTCAAACTAAACAGCCAATGCGTCACTTATTAATACTTAATTGCCTCGGATAACTCAAACTAAACAGCAAATGCGTCACTTATCCACACTTAAATTGCCTCGGGTAACTCAAATTAAACAACCGATGCAACCCTTTAACATTCACATATTAATTAATTCATTTTTCTGTATTATTATTTTTATATTTTGTTATTATCTACATTTGTCATTTCATCCTTTCCAGTCGGCAAGTGTTATTACAACGGTAAGACCTACAATCAAGGTCAAACATGGGATGACGGTTGTGCTTACGAGTGCACGTGCGATGACGCCACACAAGGACGTTACAGTTGTTACAACAAGTATGGCGTATTCTTTTTGGCGATTATGTTTATTTAATTTATTTTAAATAAATACCTATCGCGTCTTAGCTTGATTTAATTTTTTTGATAAAAAGGAAGATGGTCATGGTACGATGTAATTGAAACTATACTAATATGGTGAAGACTTAAGAAGCCAGCTTTGACTTTTTTGTTGACATTGTTCGTAATATGTAATCTTGAGAGAGTATGACAAATGTTAGCATCATTTTGACGGCACAACATTACCATTTGAGTTAGTGTAAATACCATGCATTGGTAAAAATTAGTAAAAAATTCAACACTATGTTCATGTACATTGCAAAATATTATTACGTTATACAATGTTGTTAACGGCTAATGCTAACTCTATAGAAAGGCCTAGGTGCTAAGTCAGTTTTATGTGTTTTCAAACAGATGTCCACTCTATTACAACTTGCCACCACAATGTACCCTGGTAAGGAAGGGTGGTTGCTGTTTGGAGCCGGTATGTGACTTCAAGGGAACACATCTTACCACGAACGGACAGACAGTTGGCAAATACAACGGAGTCAGTAAGTGAACCGATTATAGTGTACAATAATTTATGCAATATTAATGAAACGTTAACTACAATTATTATCAATTAAGTGATGGGGTTTCTGGGAACAAAAAATAAACAACAACAAAGAAACAAATAAAAAACGAATTGTAATAACGAAGTAGATTAACCACATCAAATAAAGACACTTCTCTTAATAACTTAAAAAATGTCTTGAAAAAAATATCAGCAGAAAACTTAATTAAAGATCTCCAAGAAAGAAAGAAAAAGATAGTATATCTGGATAACCTTGATGTTTTTCACATTACATAACACCTGTTTATTCTTGTTCTATGTTTGCAAAGTCGGTTAAAAGAAAAGTACTAAATTGTCGGCTGAATACAGGGCACTTAGTGCAGTAACGGAATAAGTCCTTCTTGGTTTAATAGTAGTTATAAATCAGTTATTGCACTAAAGTGACGACCCTGAGTCTAAACTTAAATGTAGACGACATCTTGTGTGATTGGGGGCATGGTTTTTGATTTTGATTGTCATGGGTGCGTTTAGTGTATATTTAGTACAATTTATATTAAGGAACTGCAGGTAGACAAAAAAATCTATTTTCTTCTTCATTTTCTTGGATAAAAAAACTTATAAAAAGTGAAGGCCAAGAGGAAGCTACGCCGCGGTGAATGTAATATAAGAAAAGGAGTTTTGTAGATTATGAAAATCAATGTAAACTGTACAATGTTTTTAGATGTATGTATGTACAAGAACCAACCTTACTACCAGGGACAAACATGGCAAGATGGCTGCGACAAGAGTTGCTATTGTCAAGATGGTTCAGTCGGTCTCTGGACTTGCCAATCTGTGTAAGTTCATCTTCAAATTCAAAACATACTGTGGACAAATCGGCTCAAAATCGTGAAAGTATGCCCACCCAAGTGTAATTGATGAATACATAATGTAAAGTTAAAAATAGAATAGTTTTACGTTTCGTCATAATTTGTATTATGTTCAATTTTATATTTTACTATGCAAAAGTAATAAAAAAAATTCACGTGGCAGACGGAGATTTTTTTATAGATATCGTTCGGAATGAATCGAGAGCGTTCAATTTTAGGATGCTTTTTTAATCACCATAATAATAGTCAATCATTTTAAATATAATACCAGTATTACTTCAGTTAAACTTGACAGAAAAATAATGAGCTTTATGTCACTTTAAACTACATTGATGTGTACAGCTGCATAAAGAAAGTAAATTCGTGCAATGTTCAATAAAACTTATAGATTTTTTTCTCACCATTGATTAATCTTATTTTATTCAATAAAACCATAATATGAGATTTTTCATGTAAACCCGGTGTTAAGATGATTTCATCACATTTTCAACACCCCAATGGTTACTTTTCAAAAACTGAAGAACACTTTTATATAATCTGTTTAGGTGCGGACATTACGATAACTTACCATCACAGTGTCGTCTGGAGAAGGCTGCTGGTAAATGTTGCGAAGAACCAGTCTGCACATTCAATAAACAATTCGGACAATTCACTGGAGCCGGAACACAGTCTGGAAAAGGATCTGGTAATTACTTCCGAAATTCTAGTTTACAAGATTGAACAAAATTTGAATAGGAAATGATAATCGAATCTTCTTCTTTAAGATTGCAAAAACTACATTTTGTTTTAATCCTTTAACGTGTTAAACTTGTGAAATGATTTCTAATTTTGATTTGGAATACTATTAGCCATTTGAGATACTAAAACATGTACAAATATGTTTTTATGACAACATTTTTTTACCCTTTTACACGTGTACTACAGGTGCTACAAGTTATACAACACCACCACCATGTATAGACAAAGATGCTAACTGTGTCAGATATCCCAAAGGCACGTGCAATGACCACCAGTACGCAGGCTGGGCACAAGATAACTGTGCAAAATTCTGCGGATTTTGCAAAAGTAAGTTACGAAGCTTCTAAGAATTGTATAAATGCAAAATTCACTCACAATCGAAAAACTACATTTATTTTTTCTAATTCAGAAATTTAAACAATAATTTTGTGCAATGTTGTTTAAAAAATACACCCCCACCCTTCAAATAATTATCGTTATCTTCCAGTCTTAATCTGGCAGGATATAGAATAATATAACATTGAAAATTTCTCAAATGAAAATAGAAACAAAACAAAAACAACAGTAGATCATTCTTCTACACAACATAAATTACATGCAGAATTTTTCTTTTTCAGCGAATGCTGTTCCAACCCCAGGACCCAATGGTAAGTTATGACATACAGATTTTTATAGATTGTAATTTAAACACTTGTGTCATTAAAATTAAATATTCAGTGTCAGTTTCATTTTCTTCAACTTATAAGGTTCAGTATTCATTCATGAAAGGAAAATATTATTTTCTTTTCAAGTTTCTTTATAATCAATCATTAATCATTTGGTCAGGATAATTTAAACAAGAGAATAAAACCGCTTGATTTTCAATTCATTTATATATATTAAGACAGTCTCTAGCATATGAGCCGCGTCACGACAAAACCAACATAATGGGTTTGCGACCGGCATGGATCCAGACCAGCCTGCGAATCCGCGCAGTCTGATCAGGATCCATGCTGTTCGCTTACCAACCCTATTACAAGTAGAGAAACTGATAGCGAACAGCATGGATCCTGATCAGACTGCGCGGATGCGCAGGCTGGCCTGGATCCATGCTGGTCGCAAACGCACTATGTTGGTTTTGTCGTGACGCGGCTCATATATGTTTGCGCAGTCTCCAGATTTTATGCGTAGAATTTTGTGTGTTCTAAATCTTTTTCATATAAATATTAAAAATAACGCATTATACAACCTTTTTGGCGTAAATCAGGAGTAAAATTAGTAGGATCATTCTGAAGTTGTAGCAAAGATACAAAGTTAGCAAAGTACAGTTAGGATAAGACCCTATTTAATATCACATGTAGGGTGTCTATAACTTAAGAAATTTTTTCAAAGTTTTATTAAAAGTTTTATAAAATATGTTCATGTTTTGAATGTACAGATTACTGTGTATACAATGGTAACTCATACAGACAAGGACAAAGATGGGACGATGGCTGCGATCTGGAGTGTGTTTGTGAAAACGCTCAATATGGCTTCTACAGATGCCAAAAGAAGTAAATATATCTTAATTTAAACTTTATACAATTGAAAACGATTCTTCTTTAAAGGGACCGTTGAGTTTTATTAAATGACTATACAGCTAGACGGGGCAGTGTCTGACGAAAAGGGCCGAAAAGTTGCGATTGCTATACAGCTAGACGGGACAATGTCTGGGGTTATACAGATTGTTATACGAAAAGTATGTAGTTATACGGAAAGTAGACGGTTAAACAGCAGTTCGGCGGATATGCAGACAGTAGGTAGTTATACGGCATATTTGTCACACCGTATATTGGTTACAATTTCACTTCACTTTTTTCGCATATATAGAAATTGAAGATACATGTACATTATATCTTATTCAGATGTGCTGATGTGGTCAACCTCCCACTTGGATGCAAACAAGTTAAAACACAAGGCGCCTGCTGCCCGAAAATCGAATGCTCAGGTACCTCAGGTTCCTTCACTGGGTCTCAAACCGTCCCTGGAACCATTGGTGGTTATCCAGTACCTTCACCAATGATGACACCGGCCCCAGGACAGACTCTTGCACCAGGAATGGTCCCAACAGCTCAGCCTGGCGTTATCACAGGAGCTCTGAGTAAGTTTGATCAAATCAAACAATAAGTCCCAAGAATTCAACATAAGATTAAATATTCATAACATATTAACTTGTCACTTAGTTGACTTCTACTTAAACTATCTTTAGCTGCATTTCAATTTCAAGATAACATTTTGCTTTGTTTGTTCTGCAATGTTTAGCTAATATTAAACATTATTCTTCAAATCAATTTAAAGTTTTTATATCAAGACACTTAATGTGCTTTTACATTTATATACATGAAAATTGACAAAGCGTGGGATATCATACATACTATAAATAAATGGATTCTCTGCAAAGTTTTCGTTTCAAACACTCTTAAAACCGGTTGAACTTACTTCTCAAGAAAAGCAGGGGACCCAGAAAAAAGACGTTTCTTAGTAAATTTTTAAATAAGATTTTATAATAAAAGTAAATTGTTGTTTCTATCGTGATCAGATGGCTGTCTCTACAAGGGTACACTGTATTCAGCCGGAAGGAGATGGGACGATGGCTGTGATTACACATGTGTATGCAATGATGCCTCTACCGGACAATACAAATGCACACCCAAGTTAGTATATCTTTCTGAAAAATCTTTATAATAATGTAACTAGAAATTAAAGGACCTCCGCAAATCATTTGCCTCAGTTATTTTTCGTTTTAAAAACTAGCAAGGGAATTTATCAAGTGATGGAACAGCCTAAAGCATTCTCTAAAAACATTTGCTGCTCGGAGCAATAATTGATGATTTTGTAATTAACCAGTATAGAAATATTAACGGTCTGTATATCCTTTAAGGTGCCCATCATTTAACAACTTACCTGCAACGTGCCACATGCAAGACAATCCAAATGATCCTTGCTGTCAACAACCAGTGTGTACACCGGGTACCGGAACCGGAACTAGTGGTTCCGGAGTGGTTCCCATCCCAACATACGGAAAAGGATTCACTGGATACGGTCGTCCAGTCATGCCTTCAATTGGAACTGGAACAGGTGGAATGAACCCAACACCTATGCCAGGTCAACCAGGTGTAACTATTACCGGAACCGGAAGTAAGTTTATTTTATCTGAGATGTTTTGTCTAACATTATTGCTTATTCAAAAAGAGAACGAGTATCTTTTAAATGGGTATACAAATTTCTTTACTGATGTTTATTATTAACATTTAAAATAATTTGTTCTACTTCATTATTTTCAGGGGGATGTGCCTACAACGGTAAGATATACGGACAAGGTCAGACCTGGGACCAAGGTTGTGCCTACCGCTGTGAATGTATTGATGCCAATGCTGGTCAATATAGGTGCACTGAAAGGTAAATATGTTACATATAAAGTAATGAAGATTGAGAGACCACCTCCAATTATGTTGGTGTTTATTTTGATAGTTAAATTATGCGTGTATTTGTGAGTACGATATTATCATTGTTTATTCTTGGCCATGAAAGCTCTTATGATCATTTTAATTGGTGATTGTCATCAAGAAGAAACAACCCACAAGAAATCATCATTGGAGAATGTATTGTTATAAAACGACAGATGTCCAGATAACGTGTTAATGTATTTTAGCAATACATTTATATTCACAGATTCGAACTGTCAAAACCTGATAAAAGTGTTGTTTTCGCGTAAATATTCAAGAGTTATCGTTATTATTTACATAGGCAGTTTCTAATTCAACATTTTCCCCCGTTTACAGATGTACAGCTTACACGAATATCCCATCACAATGCAGACTTATAACTGATCCCAACGATGCTTGTTGTAAAACAATAAATTGCGACTTTAGCAAACCAGCCACCACCATTGCACCATTGTTTGCCCAGACGACACCCGTTGCCGGAGCAGGTATGAATCTCAATATTTCTTAATTAGAATAGTAAAACTGTTACCATAACAAAACGATTATTTGTTCTACATTAAGTGTCCATGGACTTTTATTTTTCGGAGTATTCCGATATTTGATTTTCAACAGTGAACTGAAAATAATTCCTCGCTTTTTAATTCATAGTGAATTTTTCCAAGTAGCAAACGTTTTGCCAAGTAAAATGCATATGCTGTTTTTCAGCCATGGATAAAGACAAATTTCTGAGACTTTGAAATATAAGCAATCCAGGTGATGTGCTACACAAAATTTCAAAAAAAAAAAATTAACCTAGCATGACTAAGAAAGAGATTATAACATTAAATAAAATCGAATTAATACTCATAGGTACAATAAGAAGTAAGATGTTTGCTTTGCTATCCGGTTTATGGCCGTGATAATGTCAATACGCCATGCGCGTCTGCTTCTAGTTTTTCACTAGTTAAGCGAGATTACCTATATAAAAGAATATTATTAGTCATTTGCTCCAAGACTCGAAACAGTCACTTTCCCAGGAAAAAAGCAACAAAGACGCGATAATTACTCTGATTTAAAATATATCTGTAGTTTCATTAACAAACTATTTTAATACAGAACGATTTACCGTATTTTTCAGCTTTCTGCAAGTACCAGGGTTATTACCATCGACAAGGTGAGGTATGGAATGATGGATGTGGTCTTACATGCAGATGTGAAGACGCCGCCAACCATTATTATCAGTGTACAGACAGGTAAACTTAAAACCTCGACGTGCTTTATGAACAAACCATATTAGAGCGGCCCTCAGCCTTATTGTTTAAGTATTTTATTGTCGCAAATTTCATTTTCCACCTTAATTACTTTGATTTTACAATTATATGAAACGATTTATCTAACAAAAATACATATAATTAACCTCTAGAAAACTGAAGGCCGCTATCTGTAGAAATAGGATAGGAGACATTGTACCATTGTTTGCTCACACAATATTCAGGCGAAATCACTACATTATTGACTCCTAGTCTGTACAATTTAAAGTGTATGTGTTATTGCGATAATCCAACACGTTCATAAAAGAACGGGCTCAATTGAAAGATGCATATGTTTTTAGTCAGTTTTGCACCCTTTTCCAATCAAACATAGGGTTTTTATTATGTTTAAGCAGCCATTTTTTTCTAGCTTCAACAAAACGCTGGCATTGACAGTTGGAAAGGTCATTTGTCTTGTTTAACAGTTGTGCTTGTGAAAAATGATGCGTCTTGACCTCTGCGTTGACCTTCTAAGGTCATCAAAATTGAAACAAAATTAAAATCTTGCATTTCTTATCGATATCTTCTGTCGTAACTCTTTCGCAATTGTCATTTTAATATTTTCATTCCAGATGTCCAAAATATGACAATGTACCATCAACATGTACCTTTGTTGCTGATCCCAAGGACCCAAGTTGCTGTAGAGTACCTCAATGTCAGGGAACCGGCTCCGGAGTTCAGGGCTTCACCGGTTCATTCGTTGGATATGGACGTCCACCAAGCTTCAGCCCAACAAGTCTGGCCAAGACTGGATACGGAAGTAAGATTTTTTTTAAAGATTAAACCATATGTCTTCTGTTCAGTATGTTTGGCAGTGTATACAATCATTTTGTTGTTAAAACTGAATAATATAAAATGAATAATGCGTAAAGAAGTTATGCTTAACAAAACCAAAAGGAGTCATTTTGAATGAATATATGATTTACTTTAAAATGGCCGTTTGAGGAAGCTAATTGTCTTACTATGTTAACAGGTGCTTGTCTGTACAAGGGACAAATCTACAAACAAGGAGTCACATGGCAAGATGGATGTGATTATGAATGTGAATGTACCGATGCTTCCAAGGGAATGTACAAATGTACAGAAAGGTCTTTACTCTATTTAATTCAATTAATTAATTTCTCATTAAAATATTCCATACATTAATTCTCCGGGTAAAAAGTAATTATCGTGTCCATTTCGAATTTCTAATCAAGATGTTACCTAGGTAAATTGGATTTTTAAAACGTTAACTTCCGTTATTTGTTGAATAGTATGCATTGAAAAGTAACAAATGTCAGGTTCGCGACAAACAATTCCTTTAACATATTTCGTCTTGTTGTTGTTGTTGTTGCTGCTGCTGCTGCTGTTGTTGTTGTTGTTTTTGTCTTCCTCTTTTTATTCTCATTGAATTAGCCGTGAAAATTAAAGAAATACGTTATTTTTATAGAAAATAAAATAAGCAATATTTTCATAAACATTTAAGATGCCAGAGGATTGCCTCCGTACCAAATGGATGTCAGTTCGCCCAGGATCCAAATGACGCTTGTTGCCAGGTATTAAAATGTGACCCTACCTCATCTCTCGGGACATGCACGGATAAACTAGCCAACTGTGCCGGATATGGAACGTACATTTGCGGTCAGAACTACCAAGACTGGGCCGCCCAGAACTGTGCCAAATATTGCGGTATTTGCGGAGGAGGTAAAGGGAGATAACTTTTTTCTTTGTATTGGATAATAACTGATTTGATGATAACACGGAAACACAGTTTAATATGATCTTTTTTTTAAAGAAAATCACACATTTTGATAAACAATGTAAATTTCTTATCTCTGCTTCCGTATATTACTAATCAAAAATCACAAACAAATGAATTACTGAAATGTGCGTTATTTTCACTCCCTGTTTTCTTTTTCATTATAAAGGTACCAACCCACTGACCGGTGGTGGTGGTATTGCTACAGGCGTATGCAAGGACGCCATACCAAACTGTGACCAGTACGGAACTAGTGTATGCGCAGATCCTCAATATAGCGGTTGGGTTAGCTCTAACTGCCGTAAATTCTGTAACAAATGTGGTATGTGTGATCAATCACATTATCAATTTAAATAAGTACATGTATATACTATCATTTCCGTAGATGCTTTATTGCTTTTTTATACATAATGCGCATGCGCGAAATGCTATTTCCGTTTCTATGGAAATATCGCATTGTAAAAAAAGTTTATATCGAAGACTGGCAGTTTTAACAGAGTTTATTTAGGTTTTACTGTTATTGGTTAAATTTAATTCTGTATGACTGTTAAATTTAATTTGCTATTCATTTTCTTAGAAATATAAAATAAATGCATCCATGCCTTTGAAATGAATATATTTGGTTATCTTTCTATTTCTTTGGGTTTTTTTTTCATAGATTAACTCACAAAATGTTTTAATCAATCTAGTAACTACTGGAACAGGCACTGGAACTGGAACTGGAGGTACTATGACCGGCACTGGCACAGGAACTGGCACAGGAACCGGAACTGGCACTGGAGGAACTGGTACTGGCACCGGCACTGGCATGACAGGTATAACTTACATTTTATTTGTATTTATTTACTTTTTTTATTTTTATTTAAGTACAAAACTAAAACTTCGAGTGTACAAAAGATGTAACTTAATTAATTCTAAATTACCAAAATTCTCATTAATTGCTTTTATATTAAGCAGTCACAGAAAAACAAAAACAAATATATGAGCTATGATACATTAATTAACACCTAACTAGAGGTTTACTGGTGCGAAACCCAGGTAATCCTCGCATGTATCAGTGCTATACACTTGGCATGTTAAAGAACCAAGAAATCTATTCAATAAGAGCTAGGGACAGGTTCCCGGATTCCCTTGTATCTCATAGCTTTCTCTAGAGTCTGCTACTGAAAATAAGTGCTTTCACTTTTGTAGGTTATCCTTGACCGCCCGGTCTATAGAAAATCAACAATAAATCAATCAATCAACACGAAAAGCTATAAAATGTTTTTGTTGTTTTTTTTTATATCTAAACGAAAAGATTGACAACGGACGAAAACAGCTTATATGCAATAACATTTTGTTTCTGCAGGCACTGGAACCAGCGGATCTTGTGTTGATGTACTAACAAACTGTGCCGAATACACCCAGGCAGCGTGTATGAACCCCTATGTAGACTGGGCCAAGAAGAACTGTGCAAGATTCTGCGGTTACTGTGGTAGGAATCTTTATTCACTAATTGAATACAACTATGATATGAATAGTGATGATTTTGATTATGGCGTTCACCTTTCAAATTTTTCAAACATAGAAATATTGGTTTAGAGTATTTGAGTCATGTGATTGTGTACCATGAAAGCAGCATGTCTGCAGATTCATGCTAATTTTCATGAAATTGTAAAATATTGTGAAGGGAACAAAGAAAATAATTTTCACGTTGCAAACAGAAATTACAACACATGAAAATTACCAATAAGTGATCAGATATGTAAAAATAGCCCTTATTGCGTTAGTATCGCAGTAGAAATATTGTCTGAAAAAATACTAAACAATCGGCGTAAAATGTAAACATGAAAATTATTAGTTTTTATCTTGAATCTTTTTACTTTTATTAAAATATCGGTTCTTTTTCTCAAGTTTGACTTTTTAAACAATTTTGGTTCATCTGGAGGCATGCGTCTTTAAGTTCTTTCAAATCTATTACTTGGATAAACAAAACTTAAGAGGAAAAAACTTCACTTATAGGATCGCTGACCAACATTGAAAATGGAATTATGAACTTTATAAGTAAAATAATGTCCTTTTATTTTATGCTCAAACATTTCATATTGATTTTTTTATGTTATACACAAGATATTTTGTAACATGCTTGCAGGTATGACGGGAACTGGTACTGGCACCGGAACTGGAACTGGTGGAAGCGGAACAGGAACCGGAACGGGTGGAGGAGTTATTACAGGTTTTAACACAGCAGCACCCGGATCAGGTTTCACTGGATTCAGTAAGTAATTCTATTTTGTTGTTATTGTTGTTGTTGCTGTTGGTTGTTGTTGTTGTTTTTAATTATAAATCAGAAGTTTTTGAATAAACACTATGATTAATTACCTGGTCTTTGGAAACCAATCACGAGCATGTACTTATATTTATCACAATTACAAAAAGTGTAAAATTGGCGCGTGACATACCATGGTATTTATTTGTATTTATGGCATGAAAGCCTTTTAAATTTAACCGGTCTAAGTCAATGAATCACAGTTTGACCAAAACCCGATACATCTCTATTAATTCTGCCAAGTCTAATAAAAAATGCAAAAAGTGAAGAAAACACAAAGAGATGGCAAAATAACAGTTTCTTTCGTGTTGTCGCATTTTCGTGCAAAGTCGAAAATTCGACATGGCGTTCAACCGCCACCATCATTATATCTTTTGAAAAATGGAAACTTACAAAACAGTAACTTTGTTAACAAGTACACACTATCCTTGTGTAACGTTTTTAAGGCACACAAACCTTGTCGGTGAAAAGCTAGCTCACCACCGAGAGTGGTTTATGCCCTTATATATTGGATACTATCCTTTATGTGAATTCATCATCTTTTGTTTTCGCATATTGTAATGCTCATTATATGACGTTCTCCCAACGTTGTTACATTACTTTCCCCTCCGAGAAGTCTCGTCCCGAGACTTGGCCTGGGAAATCTGTGGGTAGGGCAACTCCGGTCTGGCAGTTATCTACATCCCCCCACACTGGCCACCAAATGTAACGTTTTTAAGGCACACAAACCTTGTCGGTGAAAAGCTAGCTCACCACCGAGAGTGGTTTATGCCCTTATATATTGGATACTATCCTTTATGTGAATTCATCATCTTTTGTTTTCGCATATTGTAATGCTCATTATGGGTATTATGACGTTCTACCAACGTCGTTACATTACTTTCCCCTCCGAGAAGCCTCGTCCCGAGACTTGGCCTGGGAAATCTGTGGGTAGGGCAACTCCGGTCTGGCAGTTATCTACATCCCCCCACACTGGCCACCAAATGTAACGTTTTTAAGGCACACAAACCCTGTCGGTGAAAAGCTAGCTCACCACCGAGAGTGGTTTATGCCCTTATATATTGGATACTATCCTTTATGTGAATTCATCATCTTTTGTTTTCGCATATTGTAATGCTCATTATATGACGTTCTACCAACGTCGTTACATTACTTTCCCCTCCGAGAAGTCTCGTCCCGAGACTTGGCCTGGGAAATCTGTGGGTAGGGCAACTCCGGTCTGGCAGTTGTCTACATCCCCCACACTGGCCACCAAATGTAACGTTTTAAGGCACACAAACCCTGTCGGTGAAAAGCTAGCTCACCACCGAGAGTGGTTTATGCCCTTATATATTGGATACTATCCTTTATGTGAATTCATCATCTTTTGTTTTCGCATATTGTAATGCTCATTATATGACGTTCTCCCAACGTTGTTACACTTGTACTTTATTAGATACAAAAAACAACTAATTATTTCAGGCGGAGGATGTGTATACAAGGGTAGATACTATGCCGCCAATGATGAATGGGTAGATGGCTGCGATTACAACTGCACGTGCGTAAATGGACAGACTGGTTTCTACAGATGCGTTGACAGGTAATATATTTTTGTTTTACACCAGTCTATAATATATGCTTTTTTCTGAAAACGACTTGCTTTTAGCGCCAAAATCTATATTCTTTTGCTTAAAAAGGACGCCCCTTTCTTTTACCTAGAAAAACGTGTACATGGTTTACCATCCACTATGTTTGTCCAAATGGTGACCTACTTTTGCTTGACTATAATGCTTCGAATTGTTCTGAAATATTGGCAAGTATGCCATCAAAGTCAAGCTGTATGTGTATGAAGTGACCAACTGCTAAATTTTCTTGAGATATTTTGATTTTTGGCATTTTAAACCCGTGTGCTTAAGTATCGTACACATACAGCATAGAACACATTTTTAAAGTATAGTTAATTGTACACATTCATATAGTATCTCTCACATAAAGTATTGTTCATATTAATAAGGTGTCGTACACACATAATGTATCATACACATAAGGTATTGTACACATTTATAAAGTATTGTATATAATCGTATAATTTAATCATCGTGTGTCTGTTGTTGTTATGTTATAGTTATATATTGTTTTCTCCATCAGATGCCCAACCTATAGCTTACCAGCCGGTTGTGTATTAAAGAAAACAGCAGGACAGTGCTGTGGTGTACCCGATTGCACAGGAACAGGAACCGGAACTGGAGGTTAATATATACTTTAAAACGCTTGTGTTTCCGGTCAGGAATTTTCATGTTGTGTTTACATTATGTTACTAGTATTTTATCTCTTCTTAGTCTCTCATCTCTATAAGTATCTCTAGCCTTATTTTTTTGTATTTATCATGCAAATTAGTTTTGTCTACAAGCTTTATTTTTTGTGTCATTTTTATGGTATCTGCATTATTTTGTTGTTAATGCTCATTTGCTGTTTATAACACTGATGCCCATATGGGCCTAGTTGAAAAAATAAAACTTGAAAACTTGAAACTTGAAAGCTTAATTGAATTGATATATTGTCAAATTAACAAGAAATATCATGTAAAACAAGGAAAATGAAATTTAAAATAATATCATATTATAAACTCTCACATACATTAACAGTATACTAAAAGACCATTGCATTAATATCGCCACATGTTTTACATGCATAACTTAAAGTGACATTATGCCCACCCTAGGGTATATGACGGGGACCAGATTAAAGATAAAATAAGTTTTGCATTTTGTCATGATTCCATACAAGATCATTATTAACTTTGCATGAACGGATAACTCAGGGTACCCCAAGTGATTTTCTGTAAATTACATTATATCTCATTTGTTTTTGTTGCCATTGCTATTGAGATGTTTCACAAAGTTTATGGTTGCTAATATTAGCCTGATATTTCCAGGTTCTGGTACTTCTGGAACCGGCACAATGACAGGTGAGAAATTTTTATATCTGCTTCTATATCATAAAATTGTTTTACGTCATCTTCATTTGTAGATGCGGGAAGGATGTGATTTGCTATTTATCAGTTAGTTTTAGATGCTGGACAAATGTGATTTGTTCTTTATAAATTAGTTTTTGATGCTGGACAGATTTGATTTGTTCTTTATCATTTACTAGTAGTTTTTTACGCTGGACAGATGTGATTTGTTCTTTATCAATAAGTTTTTGATGCTGGGCAGATGTGATTTGTTCTTTATCAATTAGTTTATGATGCTGGACAGATGAGATTTGTTCTTTATCAATTAGTTTATGATGCTGAACAGATGTGATTTGTTCTTTATCAATTAGTTTATGATGCTGAACAGATGTGATTTGTTCTTTATCAATTTGTTTTTGATGCTGGACAGATGTGATTTGTTATTTATAAAAGTTTTTGATGCTGGACAGATGTGATTTGTTCTTAATTAATTAGTTTTTGATGCTGGACAGATGTGTTTGTTCTTTATCAATTAGTTTATGATGCTGGACAGATGTGATTTGATCTTTATCAATTAGTTTATGATGCTGGACAGATGTGATTTGTTCTTTATCAATTAGTTTATGATGCTGGACAGATGTGATTTGTTCTTTATCAATTAGTTTTTGATGCTGGACAGATGTGATTTGTTCTTTATCAATTTGTTTTTGATGCTGGACAGATGTGATTTGTTCTTTATCAATTTTTTTTTAATGCTGGACAGATGTGATTTGTTCTTTATCAATTAGTATTTGATGCTGGGCAGATGAAGTTTGGTCTATATCGATAACTATTTGATTCTGAATGTAAGTTGTTCTTTATCAACAGCATTAAATTTGTTAGTTTTTGATGTAGGACGGATGTTATTTGTCCTTTTTCATTTAGTTTTTGATGTCGGGCAGATGTTATTGGTTCTTTATCAACCAGATGTTGATGCGGGACAGATGTAATTTGTACTTTATCAGTAAGCTTTTGATGTCGGAAAGTTATCATTATTAAGCTATTGATGATGGACAGATGCTATGTGTCGTCATCAATTAATGTTTGATGTTGGGCGGATACCATTTGGTCTTTTTCGATTTAACTTTGATAATGGATTTGAATAAGTTATGAACAAGGATTGTGGTTTTCAGGAGGCACTGGTACAGGTACTTCAGGAAGTGGAACAATGACAGGTATGTAAATTAGAAACAGTGTGAAAATATTAGGTTGGACGGTGCTGTTGTATTGATAGTATTGACAGTATTGGTCAATTTATTTAGAAATTGATTTCGGGTAGATTATTTCGGGTAGATATTGCACTGTTCTGTAGATACAGAGTATAACTCCCGTTTAATTACCTATTGTATTGTTTATAGTGTTCAATTTCAAAAGTACAAAAAATACATACTTAGCAGAGCATACAAGTTGTAATGGTTAAATAAAATGTTATAACTTGATGTCTTTAGATCTTAAAGTACTTTTATGGTGATAATATTTTTTTTTTATTGAAAAGTATTATTTTGTCATAACATTGACAAAGGCATTTTTTTCTTTTTTACTTTTTTTAGTAAAATACCAAAATAGCATTTCAATTTTAACAAATTTGTTTTGATGGTTATTTGTTGGGTTTTTTTCTGCAAATTATACTCAATCTATTAAGTTTGCCATAATTTTAATTCCTTTTTCCTAAATCTTTTGTCATAAACAAAACAGCTTGTTTTCTAATTATTTGTCATTAACATTGCCCTTTCTCATCTACCTGTATTTGCTTATTTGCTAATATTGTGTTTTACAGGAAATACACAGGGTTGTTTCTATAACAACAAGCTATATCAGCAGGGTCAGTCTTGGAAGGACGGTTGCAAGTACAACTGCCAATGTGTTAACGCTGCTACCGGCCAGTACAGTTGTTCTGCTCTGTACGCCACTTAAATACTTCTCTTTTGCGTTGAATTAAACAATATTTCACTTTTAACAATTTTGAAACTGAATTTATTATTATTTCAACAAATAAAAGAAAAAAAGTTTAAGTGAAGTGTATACTCAAATTTTGTAGTGAAACATGTTTAAAAAACACGTGACTCTTTAAGTTCATGCTTATCTCGTTTATTAAGATATTTTTTCAGTTATTTTTATTTTTAACAAAGGAAATTATAAAATAGTACATGTAATTATCAACATCCACGTGTATGTAATACAGCTGAGAGATTTAACAACAATTTTACTATGTAAAAGAAAGAAAAATTTAATTTCACATTCAGATTGTCATTCTATTTTACTTTTTCAGATGTTTGAATTGGCAATTACCAAGTGCTTGCCACTTAGATGCCCCGGCACCTGGAAAATGCTGCCAGACACCCAACTGTCCCGCCGGATATACCCTCAATTACCCACCAGGTTACGACAAGAATAACCCGCCATAAATTCACGGTGCTCATGCTGTTTTTTGCTCAGTAGAAAGTGTACCATAACGAACTGATTTATGTTTTTTTGTTTATAATTTGTTACACATTATGTGCTATGTTTTTTTCCTGGCTATATATGTCCCATGTTTGATATATAAATATAAAAAGGCATGCATAACTTTCATAATGATCTGAGAATTTACTGAATTTTGTATTTGTAAGAAAAATTGAAAAAAGAGTAAATGTTGCTCATATTACATCAAGACGTGCCTTAAAATAATAAAAAAATGGCGGCATGTTATTTTACTTTTATATGTTACTGTAAAGTGTTCATATATCACAATAAATTCATAAAGAATTTGTTCTTTTTAGCTTGATCGTTTTTGCTACGGTTTTACTAAAGCTCCATATTAATAAGCATTAGGCCATTGTGAACATGTGGTTTGCCAAAAAATCTTTTCCGGACTAAACATGGACTGTAGTGTGAAACTTTGGTTCTTAACTTTAAACAGGTGTTTTAGATATAATATACAAATCTACAGGTAAAATAAGTTAATCGCAGAAATTTATTGAAATTTAGGAAATTCTTACTGAATTTTTAAAATGTAGTTTTGAAACTTTGGATCTTAATTTTAAACAGGATGTTTAAGATGTAATATTTACTTGTACCAATCTTCAGGTAAATTAAGTTTATTACAGAAATTTATAGAAATTTAGGAAATTCTTACTGAATTTTCGGGCTAAACATGAAAATTGTTTAAAAACATGTTTTTAAACTATGATTCTAAACTTTAAACAGGTGTTTAAGATACAATATGCTCATTTTAGGTAAAATAAGTTACTTACAGAAATGTATTGAAATCTAGGGAAATTCTTACTGAGTATATATATTGGTCCTACCTTTTAAAAAACAACTTGTTTTGATGGCACTATGCATGCGTACTGTGTTTACCTATTATGTTTAAGTTTAAAATTTAACATAAATTCTCAGTTTATTTTACATTCGAAAAGTACAGCAATTATCAATATTTTCAAATTTGGGCATAATGTATTTTTAAGTATTTGCAATTCAATTTTTAAGAAAATATTTTATATATGAAAAACTAACACACATCCTAAGAACCTACCCTTTAACTCTGACATAAGTCGTGAGGAGAAACAAAGAAATTGTCAAGCCTGACCTAACAGTGAAGAACAACAAGACGCTCAGACCCTGATTGAGGTATAAAAGTTACGTCCCTTTTTTGCGGTTACGCCATTTATCTGAATATAGCGCCGCTACTGTTTTACCATAAAAAATAATGTAAGACAACTTTTTACATCCATAGACTATATCTGCGTTCTTGACTTTACACAAACTTGTATGGATCTATATATTCTTAAAGCCGCCTGTCTCTTGATGAGCCAAATTGTTTCAAAACAATGAACAGTGACAAAAAAACAAATTGTTTTGAGACAAGTAAACATATTCACAATTTTAGAAACAATGTACATGTTATATGCTGTTAATAACTGATTTTGTAGAATTCATCACCAAATTCTAGCTTTATCCTGTGATAAAGCAACACAAATGAGAGATATACTGATATATGTAATATGTGAGTCATGAATGTCATGCAGGAACAACATTTTTCTTTACCTAGATGGCTTTACAACGTCAGATTTTTTCTTATAAATCATGTCAGTTGCTATGGTCCATATAACGTTCAATAACATGCGCACCTCGCATATATCCCGGTTGCCCATTACTAAATGAACAAAACCATGACAAAACCAACATGGGTTTGGGACCAGCATGAATCTTGACCAGCCTGCTTATCCGCGCAGTCTGATCAGGTTCCATGCTGTTCGCTTACAAACCCTATTACAAGTAGAGAAACTGATAGCGAACAGCATGGATCCTGATCAAGCAGGCTGGGGTCTGGATCCATGCTGGTCGCAAACCCACTATGTTGGTTTTGTCATTACGCGGCTCAAATGATCATTGTATTGATATAGGAATAAGTCCCAATAACTGACTGTATTTTCTGCTGAAATTCAAATGACAGCTAAACTTAAAGTTATATTGGCCAGTCGCTCTCTGTTATTTAAGTGTGACCAATTGTTTAACTTGGTTTCTAAATGATCTTGACTACTGTCTCGCCAACGTTTCAAATATCTCTGGCATTGCCAGTGTACATTTAGCCATTAAGACTGTCATAGACATAAGGATTGCTGCGAGCATATATGTTTGTAAGTAGTCTACACTTAATGAGGGTCCATCCGCCCGGAGGGCACATAAAGCAGCTTTCTCTGTCCAGTACGGACCCGGACATGTGATCAGTCATGCCCTCAAAGGGTTAATTTTGAAACACAAAGTGATGATAATTTACCTTTATGCAATTTCCAAGGAGTATCAGTCAAAGGCCAAAAGTAATTCACTGTACGGCGGTCAATGAGAACCTTTATGTACATAATTCTGAGACAATATGAAAAGAAGGTTGCCCTTAAAAGGTAGACAAAGTAGATGTGTACCGAAGGGCTGGGTAGTTTATGGTTATCTACCCGCCATGCCGCAAAGCTTCTCCTTCTCTGCGATGTGCACGCATCGAAGGGAAGAGAGAAGTGGCTGCGGGAAAATTTATTGTTGAATTCTTAAATGAGGCAAACTTATCTTGACAGCATATTAAATGCAATTTGGCATTTTTTAACGAGTCTGGTATTCAAATACGTATTCCAATTGATGATGGAAAATATCCAAGCCTTCAGAAGAAGCTAGAGGACGCATCCCATTTTTTTCAACTGTCTATACTTTTGGGAACCAAGGAAACCAAATATTAGAAATTATTTTGGCGATACCAAGTTATATTTGGTTGCATGTTTTATTGATGTAATGCCCTTTAAATTGTATCAGCGCCTGTACCACATCTACTCCTTTTGCAGACGTATACTCTAGCCATTTTGAAACAGTACGAAATATACCCAGATAAAATTTGTTGTTGTAATATAATTATGTTAAACAAAAACAGAGATAGTTGTCTGACTTTGTTTACTAAATACAGCAATTTCGAATAACTAATGGTACTGCATTAACGAATAATATACGCATGAATAAATTCAAAATAAGTATGTGTACGTAGGAAAGGAATACCCTCATCATATTGCACAGTTTTTACAGACTACTGACTAGACAGCAAGATAGACAAGCAAAAATCTACACGCCCCGCCCCCTCCCGCTCTTGGTACATGACAAGTAAGACAAAATGGAACCCTTTAAGGTTTTATACTAGTTGACGTCCCCATCAATATGTAGAGCACTGGACTTTGAATCAGGCGGCTTGGGTTCCATTCCCGAACGGTGCATTGATTTTAAAAGGCCTTCTATGGTCATTCGCAATGTTCGTGTGCTCTTGCAAGTACAGAAGGTATCAGCTCCTTGCGAAAGTAAAAGCATATAGTACTGGTAAACTGCTTGACAGCCTGCCCAGAAACGTTGCGTTTGCCGAACTGTGCTCTGTTGAATTCAAAGTTTCTAAGTCCCGTTATCCGGAAGGTAAACTACCAACACCAACAAGTTCAAAGTCCTGGTAGATAAAGATAAGTTAATTATAATTTATAATTAGTTGATAACCATCCAGTGGACTATCTTCCGACAAGATTATCTTCCAAACCACATACCGATTTTTATGCTCCTCTCTTATCACTACCTGGTCGGCGCAAAGTCATCGTCAGTACATACGTCTTATTTTATGAATGAATGTCTCAAACCCACAAAAGACAATCGTATGGTGCTGCCTTTTGTCAGCACTCCCTCGGCTATGCTAGCTAGATAACGTATTACCATGCTTTTGTGTCGCTTATTTTTAGTTTAAGCATCTTCTGCAACCGACACTATGTCTTTCAATTGACAACGAAACACTAACTAATTTAGTTACATAGTGGTGTAAAAATAAAATCATGGTTTTGTTGCATTTGGCAAAGTTAAAAGTCTTAAAACGTTACGTTTTCAGTAAAGAGTTTGTAGATCATGTAAAATTCTCAGCGGCTACACACCCGGATGTATGCACGGTTGTTCTGATCATATTATTTAAGTGGTAAAAATGTCAGCTGTCTTGTGTATATCGTGCATAGTACTTAGCAATGCCAGTAAATAGCTGAACATAGTTACATTGTCGATTAAAGTAAGTGGACCAGTTTGTTCAATAAGCTTCCTATGTTGCAAGGTTGTCGAGTGTCACGTCTTATCAACATTCAAAATATCTATAGATTGACAAATGACGGCGCATTGAGACTAACGTACTTATACAAACGACCGCGCTTTGGGGTTAAACACAATTTGACAAATTACCGCGCTTTGGGGTCAAACGCACTTTGTCAAACGTCCGCACTTGGGTCAAGCGCATTTTGCCAAACGACCGCTCGCTCTTTGAAGTCAAACGCACTGTTACAAACAACCACACTTTTGAGTAAAACGCACTTCCACAATCGGCCATACTTTTGGGTCATAAAAATAAAATCAATAGGTTTCTCTATTTCTAGTTATATTAAATGGGGGATAATAGTTCTACATTAATTTGTTATACATGTCGTTCTTTCTCTTTTGAAAGTTGTAGATATGGCTTGCATTGCGATGCGTCCAAAATGGCCACATAATTGTGGATTTAAAAAATGTATATTTAATAATATTTTAAATTTACTTATAGTATCACTTACTTCATAATATTATTGGTACTTGTCAATCGTTAAAATCATTAAGATTTCAAAATGGCAGTTTTTTACGAGATGGAAACCAAATATACATATTCTTAAAGGCATTTCCAGACTGAGTGATCATTTTCAATTCATGAAGATGTAAATAGTTCTACAAACTATATTTTTTTCTTAATTTTTAATGATTTTCGACATTGTACACGTTTTTATTAACAATGTAATGAGGTCCAAATATTTCTGAAATTGTGAAACTTTCACAGCTGTAGCCCTCACGGAACTATACTATTACTTCTAACTTACTTGTTACAAGTAAACATAAATTGGATGGTTTGAAAATGAGATGAAATGAGGTGATATTTATTGCAGTGCTATCTGTTATTTATAGGAATACATTTACGATTTAATAGTGTTTAAATAGATTGTGGTATAGTCACTTTTTTAGATATTTTAAAGGGGAAATAACCATCAAATATTTTTATAACTAACAATTAGTAAACGGCAAATGCATTTTAATTACTACAAATGTACTACATCAGATTTAAAAAGCCTGTATGTTGTACTTAATTTTAGTCACATTTTTTAGATATTTAAAGTGAAAATAACCATTAAACATTTTTATAACTAACATTTAGTAAACGGCAAATGCATTTTAATTACTACTACATCAGATTTAAGGATCGTGTATGTTGTAATTAATGTTATTACCACATTTAAGTGAAATTTTATATTTGTATATATATACTTATGCTTCAAACATCAAATAATATGTAAAATATGTATTGCAAATATTTGTCCACATTTTATGTGATCATTTAAATATATGCATTCATTTCTTATTGAAAAAGAATTGACTTAGACTTTATAGAAAATAATTACCTCCCTTTATTAATATGAAATGTAAATTCGGTAATATCTTTACAAATGATGCTTTTTGGAACTTAGAATATTGATAAATCTTCATTTGAGCATTATATTTATGATATAAACAATAAAAAATGAGTTACAGGATCTTTAAATGACGTTAAGTAAGATTATTTGTAAGTTTCGGCTCCAACGTTGCAGATTGTAATATGTTAATATACTCAGTATTTCAGCAGAACTCAGTTGACACATTTAGAACTTTGGAACCTAAAGACCATAAATATGTATCATATTATTGTTGTTAATTTCTCGATTCTGACTCCAATGCGCGCTTGGCCCCAAAGTGCGCTGTGGAGTTTACCGCACTGGGGTTGGACTCTAAAGTATGTTTGACCCAAAAGTCTGGTATAGCATTACCCAAGATATACTTTAACTGAATGTATAAGATTTATTATAAATTGTTGTTGATTAAGGTGGTGATGATTGATACACAGTAAAGAATAATAGTGTGATGAAATGTGGTTTAAAATTCGAAAAATAAATGATTGAGTATGAATATCTTATTTTATACATTCATTATCTGTGAAATATATGAACGAAAACCTGCTTACTATCATTTTTTGTATAGATTTTTTTTTGTAAAACTAATGAGTGAACAATGGGAATTTACCATGAACACGTGACTACATGGCACTTATATGACTGAAATATTCCGCTTACATACAGTGTTAGTTACGAAACGTTGAATCCTAAAGTTCATAAAAACGTACTGAAATCCTGTGTTGTCAAGATACTGTTCTAAAAATAAAGACTGATTTCGCTAAACCTTGAAGTAAGTCACGTGATCAAAATCTTAAAGGTGTTCACTCGATTTCGACATTAGAAAAATTTATGTAATTAGCCCTAGCCTCTTTAATTGGCTGTTGAAACATATATATAAAACCACAATCTGTTTAGATAATTTGCCATTTCACAGAGTACTAAATATATTTAAGATAATGTTGTTTCAGCGACAAAAAAATATAATTTGTTGCTTCATTTAATAGATATTATAAAATTTTAAACATACTTAACGATTTTATAGATAAGTCTGTGTTAAACAAATTCTTCAAGATTCTGGGTACAAACCTGTATAAAAGTGTCAAGGCTTTCAGAAAGAAGGTAAATTAAATTTCTTGTATTTCATCATAAATATCTTATAATAATTTTTCTTTTATTTCAATTTGAGACGTTTTAGAAATTAAATTATGTAATACGTGATACACAAATGTTACAAAATGAAAGTCGGTCAGTATGTGCAGAGAACATTATGTTCAATTTTTCTTAATGCACGAGCTCCGTTTCTAATAATGTATTGTTAAGGGATTTCGTTCACATACTTTAAACTTATGTCATTCGTAATGTTATATAGTGTTATGATATAAAATGCATATATAATTGTCATTATACTTTTTCTTTTCAAATCGATGTTACCTTATTTGAGTTTAAAACATTTTATATATTCATACAAATCAGGCAGGTGCCATAATAATTGGCTGAATATGGAATTTCCGCTCGTAAACCTAATCCAAAATTGATGTAGAATTTGCGTGTATATGTATTATTTTGTTGCCAAACCGAGGTCTATTGTATTATGCAGTATTGCAGCCGGTCATATTTCTTTTGCTTAAGAATTATTGCATGTTTATGCTAGAATTAACTTTTCTACACATATTCCACAGTTATACATGTTTGAGAATATATTTTGAATGCTAAAACTTTATTCTCAAATTCTGAAACGTAGAGAAAAGAAAAGTTAATATTACGTAAAGCATGAGGACGGAAATTTATACAGCAAATTTGATGTACTGGCAACATCTTAAATGGCACGAAAAAGTTATGTTAAAGTTTAATCTAAATTAAAAAAAAAATTAATTAGAATGACGGAAAAGATTGATTCATCATGTCGATCCTTAACAAATTTTGGACTTTAAATTGACTTTAATTGCGCGTCTAGACTCGCGTGCAATAAGTAATAGAAAGAGTATCGAAACACGAGGCTATCTGATTTTACACGGGGGCGTAGCCCCCGAGTTTAAAGAAAACAGCCGAGTGTTTTGATGTCCTTTCTCTTTTGTATCACAGGCAAAATAAAAAGAACACGTTCCCTGATGTCATAACATGGAACCCCAATTTCGTTTTTGTTTATTTGATGAAATATATATTAATTGCACAGTCTTGTATGTTTTGAAGCAAATAAGCTGAATGGTCCCGAATATGATTAAATAGTTTTGTATTTGAACTGTTTAATGTGTTAATTTATGTTGAAATCTAATAGATAACATAAATAGTTGTGTTTTATCTAAATAATTCATGTTTGTTGTAAGTTTGTTAAAACCCTTCACGTTATCCTTGTTCGATTGATGAGTAAAGATTGTAAATATTTCAATAACTCAAAAGAAGGGTCTAAATTCAGTACAAACAGAGACGCCTGTCTTTCAATATACCTCTGTTTTTGTCATCGATGTCAAAGATCACTGGGACATTTTATCTAAAAAAAATAGAAATACCACTTATTACTTTTTGACTTGCATTTTCGTTCAAGTGATTGGGCATAATGTAGATATAGCTAAAAAGATTAGTACTTTGGGTAAAAAATATTGCTTTTTTCTTTTGGATATAAAAAAAACTTGAAAAAAATTATTATTGTTGTTGGTGATGGTGGTGGATCTCTGCTTCTGTTGTTGTTGTAGTTGTTGTTGTTGCTGCTGCTTCTTCTGTTGTTGTTGTTGTTGCTGCTGCTTCTGTTGATGTTGCTGCTGCTGGTAGTGGTATTGGTGGTAGTGCTGCTGCTGATTGTGTTGCTATTGCTGCTGCAAATGTTGATGTTGTTGAATGTGATGTTGCTGCATCTGTTGTTTCTGCTGTTGTTGATTGTTGTGGTGCTTCTGTTGCTGCTCTTGCTCTTGTTGTTGTCGGTAGAGGCGATTTTGCTACTGCCTCTGTTGTTGTTGTTGTTGTTGTTGTTGTAGTGTAATTTATCTGTACACGTTTTCAAAATACCACATTAAACTTAAAGATATCTTAAATTGTTTTCATTAACCTTAAGTTTTCCTTCAGTATACGATATGTGCAGACCAAGATCAACCTGCACTTCCCTGCCGTCTGATAATGGTTTGCTCTCTTAGCTATTCATTCAGTACATATTTTGCAATATCCCCTAAAATGACAAATGGTTTTGTCCAGATTGAAAGATGGACAAGTCCGCTTAAGATATTTAGCGTGGTAAAGGTAAACTTTATGTACATTTTGTAGATACATGATATGCTGGTCATCTTTCACACGTGATCTGAGTATGAAACGTGATCTTTGTAAAATGTCGGGTCATCTGTACACCTGATAAATTATTATAGTATCCATGAAACGGCTTAGCTGCATTATTCGGCCAGTTGAAACATTTACTGTGTTATAAAATTTGAAGTAAACTTAATATTTAACTAACCCCCTGATGTACAGAAGTATTTATCTTACCTAGCGATAACTTGGCTGTGTCGTGAGCGTTGAAATGAATTTGATATTTTGATATTTTAACCCCTTGTTGTACAGAAGAATTTATTTTACCGAGCGAAAGTAAGAAACAGGTAATCATAATGAGAAGACAGGAAGGGCGTTCCATAGATTTGCATCAAAGTTTTAACGTTCACATGTTCATCCTGACTTAAATTAAATACGATTATATTTAGTTTGTTTTTTACGGAATGAAAATTTTCCTTTGAACAGATATGACAAACGAAGAGCATTTAAACGGAAAGATTTTCGATATGAGTAATGGTGTAGAATCTAATGGATACAGTCGACCAGAAACTTATGGATCTGTTGATGTAAGCAATGGTAAAAGTGGAATGATGATGGATAATGGATCGTATGTTTATAATGGTGAGAAAACAGCTCACGAAAATATCGACATAAGTTTGGCGGCAAATTACCGAGGAAAATCCGTAAGTTTGATTTTGAAAATTAAGATGTTTAACATGTTTTATTACTTGAAACAAAAATCACCGTGCAAATATTCTTGTCACAGGGTCAGAAAAATGCGCAGTCTGAGCAGGACTTGAACCCGTGACTGTTGGAATACCGTTACTGAGCTATTCGGCCGCTCACACATTTTCCCCTAAATAGTGAGCAGTTTTGTAAGTTGTTGTGCCTCAACTGGGGGGGGGGGGGGGATTTAGATTTACCCTTGTCCGCCCGCCCGTCCGTTCTCTTTCTTGTCGCATGTAGCTCATAAAGTATTTGACTGTAGAGTTATGAAAGTAATACTGGTCAGCATGTGTAGATGTGCACCTGGGATTTATTCAGTATTTGTAGAGTTATTGCCATCGACTTATTGCAATTTTCAAATTGTGTCGCACGTAGCTAAAAAAATATTTGACCTAAAGTCAAAGTCATGAAACTTTACAGGAATGTTGATCAGCATGTATAGCGCACCTTGGTGTTTGCATGTTGATTTATTCTGCATTTGTAGAGTTATTGCCTTTGAATTAGTGAAATTTGCATTTTTCAACTTTTGTCGCACATAGGTTATAAAGTATTTGACCTAGGGTCATTAAACTTTACAAAATTGTTTCTCAGCATATGAAGCTATGCACCTGGATTTCGTTATGGCTTTATTCTGTTTTGTCATAGTTTTGGCCCTTGACTTAGTAAAAATTTACAAATTTCTATTTGTGTCGCACGTAGCTCAGTATTTGGCATAGAGTCATGAAAGTTTACAGGAATGTTGATCAGCATGTGAAGTTGTGCATCTGGGTGTTAGCGTTTGGATTTATTCAATATTTGTAGAGTTATTATGCCCCCTCCCCTTCGAAGACTGCTAATGTCGGTCGGTCTGTCTGTCCGTCGGTAGACCATATGGTTTCCGCTCATCATCTTAAAAATATTAATCACAAAGTCTTCATATTTCACATAGTGATTGGTCATAACTATTGTTGATGGACCCTGTAAGGGTCACTAGGTCAAAAGTTAAGGTCACATGGGGCCTTGAATGTCATAACGGCTTCCGCTGATTATCTTTAAAACTATTCATCACAAAGTCTTTATTTCTCACATAATAATTGTTCATAATAAGTAAATGACCCCTATTGATTTTGGGGTAACTAGATCAAAGGTCAAGGTCACCGGGGTCTTAAATGTCAGAATGATTTCCCCTGATTATCTTGAAAAATATTTAACACAAAGTCTTCATCATCCACATACTGATTAGTTATAACTAGTAAATGACCCCTATTGATTTTGGGGTCACTACGTCTAAGGTCAATGTCACCGGGGTCTTAAATGTCATTTTTTTCCGCAGATTATCTTGAAAACTGTTTATCACATAGTAATCATATTTCACATATTGATTGGTCATAACTATTAGGTGACCCCTATTGATTATGGGGTAAATAAGGGAAAGGTCAAGGTCACAGGTGCCTTAAATTTCAGAATGGTTTACGCTCATTATCTTGAAAACTTTTATCACAAAGTCTTCATATTTCAGATATTGATTGGGTATAACTTGTAGATGTCCCGTATTGATATTGGGATCACAATGTCAATGGTCAGGGTCACAGGGGCCTTAAAGGTCAGAATGGTTTCCGCTCATTATCATGAAAAATATTTATCACAAAGTCTTCATTTTTCAGATATGGAATAGTCATATGAAGTAGATGACCCTTATTGATTATGAGATCACTTGTACAAATGTCAAGGTCAAAGGGACCTTAATTGTAAATATGTTTTCCGCCTATTTCCTTTAAAACATTTAATCACAAAGTCTTCATATTTTACTTATTTATTAGTCATAATGGGGTCACTAGTTCAAAGGTCAATGTCTTTATATTACACATATTGATTGGTTATAACTAGTAAGTCATTATTTTTCTTTTTTCCATAACTGTACACTTCCATGTACCCTTTACTGGCAAGTTTCTATAACAAAATTACCAATAATGTGAGTGAAGGGCTTCATATGTGTCGTACGACATGATTTAGTAAAAAATTGCAATTTTAACTTGTGTAGCGCGTAGCTAAAAAGTATTTGACCTGAAGCCATGACACTTCACAGGAATGATTATCCGCATATGCAGCTGTGCGCCACCCGGGTGTTTGGTTATGGGTTAATTCAATATTTGTAGAGTAATTGGCCTTGACTAAGTAAAAACCATTCCAAAAATGTTGTGTTATGTGTACCTTGAGTTCCTGAGTTAGAATCAAACAACTTTACGGGAATGATGACCAACATCACTGTTTGACCTAGAGTCACAAAACAGTAGAGAGTGGCGCACCCGTGTCCTATGGACACATTTATAGTTTGTGTGTTTGGAACTGTAAAACACACACACACACACAAACAACTTACAAATCCTTCGTCAAATGTAAAAGGTAACATTCCAATATGTTTTAATACGGAGATGACAACATTAATTTATGGTTGTTAATAGCGTATTAAGTTAACTAGAAAAGACACAATTATACAAATTCTTGTAATAAAGAGCCGTGAGCTTATACAGTTTGTAATATTCTAGTCACGTTTTGAAAAAAATGATGCGTGTCATCACATATTATAAAGTACATCCAGAAATTCCTGTAGCAATGATGACATTGATGATTAAATGATATAAGTATAAATCTTTACAATATGTTCTGTAAATTATGTAAATGGATGATATTTAAGTGTTATTTTTTCCTACAAATACTGGATTTATTTTAATCGAATGTAATAACGGTAAATATTTCATTAGTGGAGGCAGCCACGTGCGAAACATGATAATTTTCATATCAAAAGATGAAAATAAATCTTGTTTTATAGAAAAAAAATGAATATTCTGTTTATTATTTACATGTTTCTCTTTTTATATGCCCGAAAGGGCATATTATGTTATACCCCCTGGCGTCCGTCCGTCCGTCCGTCCGTTAGCAATTTGGTTTCCGGAGCATAACTGATGATTGTCCATATTAGATAGGAGACCCCTAATGATTTTGGGGTCACAAGGTCAAAGGTCAAGGTCACTTTTACCTTGATACTGAAAACAGTTTCTGGTGCATAACTTAAGTTTAATTTGGCCCACAATATTCAAACTTCATGGGATTATTGTCCATAATGGGTAAAAGACCCCTATTGATTTTGGGGTCAAATGGTCAAAGGTCAAGGTCACAATTACCTTAAAACCAAAAAATGTTTCGGAAGCTTAACGTTTGTTCCATGTGGCCCACTTTATTCAAACTTCTTAGGATGATTGTCCATATTTTGTAGAAGACCCCTGTTGATTTTGGGGTCACAAGGTCAAAGGTTAAAGTTACTTTTACCTTAATACTGAAAACAGTTTCCAGAGCATAACTTAAGTTCCATTTGGCCCACAATATTCAAATTTCATAGTATGATTGTGCATATTGGATGAAGACCCCTATTGATTTTTGGGTCACAAGGTCAAAGGTCAAGGTCACTATTACCTTAAAATTGAAAGCAGTTTCCGGGGCATAAGTAAAGTTCCATTATGCCCACAATATTCAAACTTCATGGGATTATTTCCATATAAGGTAGAAAACCCCTATTGATTTTGGGGTTACAAGGTTAAAGGTTAAGGTCATTATTTATAACTTAAGTATTAATCAACCTACAGCTGTAAAATTTTATAGGATGAACAGCTTATTCCCATTTCTTACAAATGCTTCATCCTTACTAAAAAAAAACACTTTCGGGCATATAATGCTCTGCCTAGCGGTGCTCTTGTTTAACATTACATTTGAAATATTTCCCCTAAAAGCTTGTGTATTGGCTAAGCTTAGAAGAAAGTAGTCCGGCAAGACATCAGTGAAAATACGGAAAATATTTTTCACTGTAGTGAAAAATAATTTATACAGTAAAAATAATACGGGAAATGAAAAAAACGCATACTATTTCATCAATATTTCTCAATATTTCATTTTATAAGAATATAATAAAGGTTCTTTTATGATTATTTTAACCAAGAAGCAAAAATTATTATAGTCGCTATTTTTTCAAATGTCTACATTACTTCGTCAGCTAGATCGAAACTACCTTATTCAATAATTGAGTCTTTGACTGAAATATTGTTTCTGTCAATCAATTATTAAAATGTAATGTATGATAATGCAAGTAAATTTATACAGGCTTTTTGGCAAATAGCTATTGTTAAAATAATATTCTGTATTCTATTCAGGTTTCAGAAATATGAAACCTATGGTTTCCCATTAGGGCCATCGCAACACACATAACTCGAAACAACGAAAACACGAAAATAAGACGGTACAACGAGTGTATGTGTTGCGGTGGCCCTAACGGGACACCGTACGTTTCTTTTTTCTATACATTATTTTTTTTACACATGATATTCTTGCATGTAACTAGATTCTTCTTGAACTATCTACGTGGATGGTTGGGTTTCACATTGTGCGTAAAAATGCTGAAGATGCTGCGTGTTAAATTTATGTAATAATGAATGCATGAACGCACCAGACCAGTAATCTAAAGATCACTAGCGGTGTGGGTGCAAAGCCCGTCAGCGGCAAAGCGTTGTTTCCTTGAGCTATAAAGCTCAGTACTGGTTGGTTCCCAGGAACAGATTCAAGAATGATTTTATAATGCTTACAGCTTCCTACATAATCAAAATTAAATAAATTCTGTATAAATAACTCATGAATAGTTGTTTTTAAAGCTTTGGTTCAAGGCGATTTATGTTTTTTTTTATTTTATCTGAAATTACAGAGGATAACATGGCGATTATGTCTGGCAGTCATTTCAGCAATTATGGGTTCGGTAGTGTTCGGTTACAATACAGGAGTTATCAACGCCCCAGAAACGGTATGGTACTTTACTTAAGCCCGTTAAGAATTTTTTCAAGCCAATTAAAATTACAAAGCAGTCTTTCGGGTGAGACTTACATCAAGGTCCAATGTAAAAGTGCTTAAAAACTTGGGACGCAAAAGAACAAGGAGAAGCTTCTGGAATTGGAGGGCATTTATGTATCCATAATCTAAAATGACTAATTCTCTTCTGGAGGACTTGGCGAGAATAAATAAACTCAAATACACACACTGCAGTAGATATTATGTTAAAGGAACTTCACTGAGGTCCAAAAAAAAAAAAAAAAAGCCGTAAAATATGGATCAGCTGGTGCACTTTAAGCAGAAAGATATGCAAAAGATATTTAGGCAATATAAAATGTACTCAGAAATAAATCGAAAATCGTAGTTTTATGTTATTTCTAGCCCGATTTGAGTGAAAAGCGTTACAACGATCTTCAATATTTTGGGTCATTTTTCGCGACTTGAAAAGTCATTCTGGAAAAAACGGTAAGTGAATGATCTAAAATTGTGGACACAAGTTATTGGTCTTAACCTTTCTAGTCCTGTATTTTCAACAAAACAAAAAACAACAACAACAACAACAACCTCAGTGCAGTTCCTTTAATGGAAGAAAGCAAGTGTACAGTATTATAGATTCTTGCGGCACGGGTATTTTACGATTTTTTATAGTGAGACGCATAACCTGTGTAGTAAAGACTTTATAATTACGGATATATCATGGTCTTGAAATTTATTTAAACTGAGAGCAGATGTTAATATATGAGCCAGGCCATGGCAAAACCAACATAGCGCACTTGCGACCAGCATGGATCTAGACCAGCCTGCGCATCCGCTCAGTCTGATCAGGATCCATGCTGTTTGCCTACAAACCCTATAACAAGTAGAGAAACTGATAGCGAATAGCATGGATCCTGACTAGACTGCGCCTGGTTTTGTTATGGCGCGGCTCGTCTTTCGTTGTGTCTTCGAATAAGTACACATATTTTATCTTAGCAAAATGTTTATTTCGAATTAATGCGCTAACTCATGCATGCTTTATTAATTTTGCTGTCTGAAAATCAATTAAAGTCCGTTTGATATAAAGATTAATTTGAATTAAACAAGCTTTTAAAACAGGCGTATTTCATTTCCTTCTGTTTGATGTTTTATCAAGTTTTCGCAATATCCACACTATGAAAATTTTATATTAATGCTAAATCGTGAATTTGAATTGCAAATTTAGTTATCTCCTTTACAGTATTGGTCTGTTAAAAAAGTTCTACCTTTTAAACTCATTAATTCGTGTTCTTATTTTTTGTGACTTAATATAGAGTCGTCCCAAATTTCTTTATCCTAAGATATAAATCTGATTTAAACATTTTTTTCAATCGGTCAAATCGATTATCAGTCCCTGGTAATAATAAAAGTTAAGTTTTAAAACTAATTAAAAGGAGTGATGGCATAGTGGTTAAGGTGTCTGCCTCTCAACCCTCCCTCTCAACCCTGGGTTCATGGGTTCGAGACTAACATATGACACCAGAACTGGTTACAAAAAGCAGACTCAAAGCGATTTATATATAAGATGCAAGTCCCTGCTATTCCCAATGGATGGGGGACTGCTTTTCTTTTGGTAACCTAGTATATAAAACATATTCCATAGTCAACTGTCTTAAGATTTACAGTATTGATTTATTTCATTCCATATTTTGATAATTCAGTACTTATAATTGTCATAAATTTGTATTATTCAGCAAATCAAGGCTTTCCTTAACTCCACACATTATGAGAGATCAAGAGATCAGATGTCGAACGCAACAATTACTTCCCTTTATGCACTGATTGTGGCAATCTTTGCTGTGGGTGGTATGGTGGGCGGGCTAGCAGCTGGTTGGTGGGCGAACTTCTTTGGCAGGTAATATTCACACAAATATATAAAGGATAAGAGAGATTATTTTACTAGTCGTGAAATTTTTTGCTATGCTTTGTTTATTATAGACTTAATAGTATGTCAGCATCACTTCATGCAAATAACAGACAATACCGGATATGACCACAACATGCCTTTAATAGCTGAGGCATAAGAATTGCATCATCAATTTAGCTCTGCGTGATCGCAGGAGACTAAATTGGCTCGAGTCTATGCATCTCTTACCTCAAGCAGGTGAGATGGTTTTGACTCTTGATGTTGCATGAAGTTTGTAACACCCGAGGTTAGCCAAAATCATATTTCCTGTTTCGGCGCCATATGATCTAATGTGTTGGTGCTCTGTTAAACCAAATAAGAAAAAAATAAACACAATCAAAGTCAAAGTCTCTGTTATTTTCGTAAAGAAGTCCTTCACAAAGGTGTGGCTGTATAATTTACGTCCTATTTCACCTGTGCAAGGCATGTTGTAGAAAATTTGGTATCTTAATTGCTCCGAATCGTAACATTTCATTCCTTAAAAAAAGAAACTGTTATTTCCCACTTACTTTTAGGTCAATATTTTTTAATGTTATTTACACGAAAATTCACTTGACAGCAAAGGTAAAGATTGACATTAATCCGTCCGTGTGTAAAAACAATTGAAGAAGTTACGGTCCGTCTATGTAAAACAAACGATATCTTTAAACAGACACCGAACATTAAAAAATTACATCAAAAATATTTTTAGGGGCTTTGATATTCACAATAAAAAATACAAATTTACAATATTTTGAGCATTTTTTGCAGAAAGTTTGGAATGATCTTCAATAGTATTATTGGAATAGCGGCGTGTATTTTGATGTATCTTAGCAGAACAGCCATGTCATACGAAATGATAATCGCCGGCAGGCTTTTGGTCGGTATTTCGTCGGGTAAGTAAAATGACGTCGGAATTTTTCCTTTTTATATATACATGTAATTCGCTACTTGTTTAAATAGCTTGATTGTGGAACATGTTCTGGAAACTTACATTTATAACTTTTGAATTGGCTTCCTTGAACTGTGATCAAAAATGTAGAAATATGAGGCCAGATAAGGGTTCGAACTTACAGTACTTTCATTGAGAATCAGACAACTTTACCACCAGGCCACTGCTCTCCTTTACAAATAATACGCTGTTTCTTTATAATTACAAGATTTATAATCAAAACTGGAAATATAATTTTCATTTTAGCCCCCCCCCCCCCCCCACACACACACACCCGCTCCCTCCATTTATCTATGCTTAACATACCCTTATACGTAAAAATATTTCAATATTTAACTAACAATCATGTAGTATTTGTTTTCCTTCCACATTTACTCATATAATCAAAATGATCAAAACCATGTTACACTTAAAGCTGTAGAAAGTGTAGAGACTCTTTTATTTATCTTTGATGTTATATATTTACAAATACTTTAAATCATCAAGATTTTTTTTACTCAACATGAGATAAGGTCAGTAAATTTAGGACTATTATAAGGGATTATCTCAAAACATCTTCATCATGGGCACGCATGTTTGTTTTGTATAGGATATTGACCCGAAACTTTTGCTTTAATCACACTTTTTTATCCAGTCAAACGTGTATGACTGCAATATTAATAATTAAACATATAAATATTATGTTACAAATATTATCTATGTTATAAATATAGGATGACTTTCATGAAATTTGGCTGTTCACAAAGTTGCAAATTCGAATAGTCGGTTCAGACAAATTTGATAAATCATCTATTTCTTGCCTCAACTTGAATGGATAATTTCTATAATTTCTAGGGTTTGATTGCTATTAAAGTCTTGGTCCAAATATGATAATCTTTTTGTTTAAAGTCGAATTGTTTTACCCTTTAATCATATATGAAGCTGAGCTTTCAGTTAGATATCTAAGAATAATTTCCATTAAAAAAGAACAATTTGAGATTTTTATGAACATCATCAAACATAGTAGTCATAATCCAATTCAAAACCCGAGAAATATACATGTAGTCTAGCAAGATGTATGCTAAATGGCTAAATGCCAGTCCAACAAAGCAAATTTGCCAGGATTATGAACATATACTTAATACAAGTTTTCCGCAAGCACCTGGCAACATCTCCACATGAATCAGTTGAGTGTCAGAATTGTTGGACAGATGGCGCATGTTTCTGTAATAAAAGTCTCTGACGTGACACATAATTTTGCCAACCAACTCGTTCTGAAAAAAATAATGCCTCACCCAGGATTTGAACTGACGAGTAAAAGACTCGTAGCTAATAGGGTGGGTTGTAACGTTTTATGGAACATGAAAATTATGTAAGAAGAATAGTAGTCTGTGTCCTAACTTAAAAGTAGACTGACTTACAGATGTAACAGGACTGAAATACTGTTTTAAAGATGTTCCTAACATTAATCAGATAATAATAATAATAATAATAATTAGATCTAACACTTTCCAGTCTACACGACTTAATTAAATTGATCTTTTTTGTTCGACATGGTGACTGATTTTTCAGGATTATATACTGGTCTTACACCGATGTACCTGTCAGAAATATCATCCCCGAACACCCGTGGAGCACTTGGCACCTTACACCAGATAGGCGTGGTCACAGGCATTCTGGTATCTCAGATACTTGGTTTTCCAGAAATCCTGGGAAATTCCGATTATTGGAATCTCCTATTAGGTATGTTTCTTAATCATATAAAAATGGTTGAAAATGTTACTTTATAATATAAAAATGTTTGGAAAGTGATTCTTTATCAGATAAAAATGGTTGGAAAATGTTTCTTTATCAGATAAAAATGGTTGGAAAAATGTTTTTTATCAGATAAAAATGGTTTGAAATATGTTTCATATAAAAATGGTTAGGGAATGATTCTTTATCAGATAAACATGGTTGGGAAATGTGACTTTATCATATCAAAATGGATGGATAATGTTACTTTATTAGATAAAAATCTTTATAAAATGTTTCTTTTTACCATACAATAATGGTTGGAAAAATGCTTTAAAAAAATGCTAGATTTTGCTTTTAGTTCTCTAAGTTTAGAGGTAAACTGATTTTTAAGTTTATTTGCCATATAATGCCTTATTTCGAAACTTTACCAAGATATTTTACCGCTGTTATGTACATATACATTACGTCATTATTTAAATACCATTTTAAACAATAGATCTATGGTTGTATGGGTTCATATGTTATATAAACATTTTATGTCCTGACCGTTCCAGGTTTAGGTGTTGCCCCTTGCGTTATACAGATGATGACCATGCCGTTTTGTCCCGAGAGTCCAAGATTTCTTCTCATTTCTAAGAAAAGAGAACATCAAGCTAGAAAAGGTAGTCATACAAAAAGAGATCAAATAAATTTACATCTATACAGTACCTATTCAATATTAAATAGTGTATAGTTTGAATGTGTAATGATATCTCAAATATGAATATTATTATTATCTGATCCAGTATTGTTCAGTATTGGGTTGCTGAGCCAACAATATTATTTGTAACTTATCGATACATTCCGTCAAAGCCCGGTTAAAAATGACACACACATGTATCCAATCGTCCAATATGAAAATAATATATTTATTTGGATCCAATAAGGGAATGTATTGGACGGTCACGAGGTACAAATGCAGATTGTTGATTGGTTAGATTAATTAGATATATAATAATATAATTTATAAAAATCTTTAACTATGAAATCATGAATTTTGGTTATATATTTAGTTGAATTACATTTTCGAAGACGCATTGAAAATTTAAAGAGAGGTTTTCTTTTATCTCATATTTAATTTGAAATATTCTTGTCTATTTTAGCTCTTGAAATATTCCGTGGGACATCAAATGTTGATTTTGACATTGAAGAAATGAAATCTGAAAGTAAAACCGTTACGGAGGAAGATTCTGTAAGCTATTTTGTTTTTAAGCGTTCTGTTGTTGTTTTATTTGTTGTTGTTTTTAGAGTGTTTTTTTCTATTTTAGAAAAAAAACTTCGAAATAGAATGGGTAAAAATTCATATAGATAGCTCTTTGTTCGGTTATCGGATTCGTTTTGATTGGCTGAAAATGTTAATGCATTTGATTTTGATTGGCTGGTTATGTTTACACATCTGATTTTGATTGGCTGGTTATGGTAACGCATCTGATTTTGATTGGCTGTTTATAGTAACGCATCTGATTTTGATTGGCTGATTATGTTAACACATCTGATTTTGATTGGCTGATTATGTTAACGCATATGATTTTGATTGGCTGATTATGTTAACGCATATGAAATCGACCGAAGGCGGAACTCGTGGTCAAATCAAAATTTCTCTTTCGTTTGTATACAGAATTGCAAATTCGAACATTTAAAAAGATTTTTTTAGAAGATTTATGAAGTTCATAATACATGTTTTAAGTCGTAGATTAATAAAAAACATCATAATTTAAAAGCTTTTATCAACTATATATTCTAAAGCATATCCTGATAAGGTTGAAAATAGTTTAAATCACAACAGTAAGTTTATGATTTTATTATTATCCATAGTTTTATTATTGTTTTTCTTATTTCAGGTTAGCATCATTGGTTTGTTCAGGAGGAGATCACTAAGAAGAGCATTGTTAATCAGCGTGATCATGCAGCTCTCTCAACAACTGTCTGGTATCAATGCTGTATGTATTTTGTATGTTGTTCATCTTAACCTACTGAATTTGTGATATGGATTTGCCCTGCTTTTATTTGAAAGCTTCGGGGAATTCAGGATCAAAATACAAAAACTGAGCTTCCAACGCTAAAGGGCCTTTCCAGATTGCATAATATTGCATCGTTCTATACTGGTGGCAAAGGCTAAGGGTTGTATAGTTTCTTCCTCTACTGTAAATAACTTTATATTCGCGTGATCTTTATTTCACGAAAACACCATTCCCGAATCATTTCGCGGATTCATGAATTCGCGAGGGCAGCGAATATAAAAAGGTTTATATGCAAACAAATTTAATATTATTTTGCATACTTTTCTTTTGTTATTAGTTTATTCCTGTGATTCACAAAATATTAATTTAATAAGAAAAAGACACAAGTGTGTTCACGTCACGTCAGGACTGTTGCAGTGGCGGGACATCTCCTAATGTTGTCAGTGGAAAAAACATGTATAGAGAAATATTAAGGTTGAAGGTTTTATGAATATAAATGAACTCAACATCATAACAACACTAAGCGGGCAGCAAACAAATTGAACGTTTGTTTAAAGTTCTTTTTTTATTTGCAATGTCAAGTATGTTTATACAAGGTCTTTCAAATATTTGTAGTTGAAATGCTTGTGAAATCTTGATTTTTAAATATATGTCAAACACATCTTTTCGACCCATCCAATCAAACTTGATTATAATGAAAGAAATGTTCCAAATGACTATGTAAATTATATAAGTTGACAGTTTTTTCATTGCATGTTACGATAGGTGTTTGGGGTTCAGACAATGCTCCCACCTTGCTCCACCCCTGTCAACTCTTAGTTACTTTTCTCATTGTTTCATGAATGTAGAATCTGTTTCAATCACAAAACGTGTGTTTTCATTCAATTTCCACGTAAAAAGAAACAAAAAATCCCTTATACCGCCAAGTTTCAGTTAAGTAAAGGGGAATTTTTAAAATTAATGTGGAAATTTGGGATAGATGGCCCACTCCTATCAAAAGTGACTTGGAGTTGACTAAAGGCGGTCTGATCTGAGATCATCTGACCCTATGTGTTTGTGCATATTACAAATCATTATCTTTTATTAATTAAAACATTTTCTTTTTCATTTAAAAATAGTGTGTTTTAAATTTTTATTTCAAGTCATGAATCTTCGTTTCCAGATTTTTTACTACTCGTTTAACCTATTCAAACGCGCTGGTTTATCAGAAACGACGGCTGCGCACGCAACTTCCGGTGTAGGAGGTACAATGATTGTCATGACGGTTGTATCAGTGCCTTTGATGGACCGGGTAGGCAGACGGACATTACATCTATTAGGTCTCGGCACCATGTTCATATTCACAATTCTGATCACATTGTCACTTTCTCTTACGGTAAGTTTTCAGACCTGTCACAACAATCGTGGCTATATTTAGATATTAAATACTGCTGTATTATTATTATTCGTGAGGAACTAATTTTCGTGTTTTTCGTTGATAGCACAATCCACTACTTTAAGATCCAACGAAGTTTTATTTCGCCTACTGTAAGATTACTTTGCACCACATTATTTACATTTTATCTTTTGTAAAACGAAATAGTCCATGCATTTAAGAACCCAGGAAAATATTCTTTGTGAAAATTTCATGCCTACAAAATTAAGTGAATTCACAGTAATTTACTTTCATTCTTTCAATTTTGACCCAGTAGAACTTCCGGAAATATACAATGTTGACTTCTACAGTGTATCTTGATTCAACTAATTCACCAATCGCATTTTCACATAATTAAAGACATAACGAACTACATGTAGATTTCAACCTATACCAGCACAAGTTCTGCCTTTGTGGTTAAAGGAACTCCACTGAGATCCAAAACCCTAAAAACCCTAAAATCATATAATTTGATTTTTTACATAGATCAGCTGGGGCTCTTAAAACAATATTATTATTAAGAAATATAGATCTACTCAGAAATAATTTTAAAAAATCGTATTTTGTACTGCTCTTAGGTCGGTTTGAATGAAAAGCGTTTTATTTCAGGGTCATTTTTCAAAATAAGAATAAATATTCTGAAAAAAGAGTGAAGAAATGATCTAGAATTTTTTACACAAGCTTTTGGTGTAGACCCATATAAAATGGAATATGAATCTCGAACTTTTTTTGTCAGTCTCGTCGTGTCAAAAAAAATCAGTGAAGTCCCTTTAAAGATGAAAGCCGCCAGACTATTTGAAATGATTATCGTAAAAACGGATCTGTTTACTCATCAAGCCATGATCCTGTTACTTAAATATATCCGTTTTATAATTATTTGTGCGGCAATGATTACTTTTAAGTATAGTACACATCCTAGATCTGATTATCTGTTTATTAAGTATAAAGAGAGAACACGTGCAATTTAATAAGCAGAAAATTTCTAAATCTATACATTTATTAGCTCGACTACTTTGGTTAAAGTTGGTATCTCAAAAACTACTAAAGTGTATTGGTTGAAACTTCACATTTTTATTTTTTATTACAATAGGTCATTTTCCAAGGCCCATTACTCTAACATTGGTTTTGTCAGAATCATGGCCCTTTTTTCCTGTACCCTTCTTTTACTAGAAATCACAAAGAATAGTCGAGCACGCTGCCCTACCAAGAGCTTTTGTTTTGATATTTTCTTACCATTATTGGTCATATACTTTTATTATTTTACTAATTCTACTTTCCAAAATTTTACTTTTTACTTTTCTCTTTTCCATTATTTTACTTTTTCTATTCTCCTTTATTTTACTATTTCTATTTTCCATTATTCTGCTTTTTAATGCTCCCGAAGAGAGGCATATGAAAATCACATCGTCTGCCTGTCTGTGCGTCCCCACTTCGTATCCGGACAGTAACTTTATCATACATTGAGGGATTTTGAAAAAGCTTGGCGCAAATGTCTATCACATCAAGACGATGTGTTGCATCCAAGAACCACGTCCCTACCTCAAAGATCAAGGTCACACTAACATTTTGAAGTTTCACATTATCACAAATAGAGTTAAAAGGTACACACATTCGTGTCCGGACTGTAACTTTATAATTCATCGAAGGATTTCAAAATAACTAGGCACAAATATCAACCACATCAAGATGATGTCTCGCGTCCAAGAATCACGCCCCTACCTCAAAGGTCAAGGTCACAATACCATTTTGAAGTTTCACATTATTACACTTGGAGCTAATAGGTCGTGCTGTAACTTTGTCATGCACCAAAGGATTTTAGAATAACTTGGCAAGAATGTCCACCACACAAAGACGATGTGTCACGTCTAAGAATCACGTCCCTACCTCAAAGGTCACACTGACATTTTGAAGTTTCACTTTATCACAATAAGAGTTTATAAGTACACACATTTTTGTCCGGACTGTAACTCTGTCATGAATTGAAGGACTAACTTAGACTAGCTTGGTATAAATGCTACATATCAAGACAATGTGTCGTGTCGAAGAATCACGTACCTACCTCAAAGGTCAAGGTCACACAACCATTTTGAAGTTCACTTTATCACAAAGAGTTTATAGGTACACACATTTGTGTCCGGAATGTAACTTTGTCATGCATCGAAGGATTTTAGAATAACTTGGCATAAATGCTACCACATCAAGACGATGTGTTGCGTCCAAAAATCACGTACCTACCTCAAAGGTAAAGGTCACACTACTACTTTTGAAGTTCACTTTATCACAATTAGAGTTTCTTTTTTATAGATACACACATTTGTGTCCGGACTGTAACTTTGTCATGCATTGAAGAATTTTGAAATAACTATACATAAATGTCAACCACACTTAGACCCCTGTCCCTACCTTCAAGGTCAAAGTCACACTTAAAGTTTGAAGGTACTCATTCTCTCGAGAAGAGTTTGAAGATACACATTCATGTCCGGACTGTTACGTTGTCATGTATGGAAGGATTTTAAAATAACTTGGCACAAATGTCTACCACATCAGGACGACGTGTCGAAGCTAAAGGATGTTGTCCGTCTGTTTGTCCCCTTTACACAACAATCATGTCCAGACTGTGACTTGAGAGATTTTGAAACAACTATGCATAGAAATGTCTATCTCATGTCAATGTTGTGTCGTGTCCAAGAACCATGTCCCTTTTCAAGGGTCAAGGTGAAGGTTCACGCTAACACAAATAGAGATTATACGTACTTACATTTGTGTCCGGACTGTCACTTTGTCATGCATTGAAGGATTTTAAAATAATTTGACAATCAGACATTAATGTCTGCCACATCAAGATGTTGTAATGCATCCAAGACCCTTGTCTCAATGTGTTAAATTTGCTATAAATAGCATTTCATTTCACAAGAACAATATTGAGCAGTTAGGTACTTCAATTCTCTTTTCTTTTCATAATCCATGCATGCTTAAGAAACCATTTCGGGGGGGGGGGTGGATTCGCCTCTTGCGTGACAGCTCTTGTTATTTCCCATTATTAAAAATATCAAGTTTCCATTATTATACTATTTCTGTTTTCCATTTTTTGGGGGTAGGGGTCCATTAATTTACTTTTTCTGTTTTCCATTATTTTACTATTTCAATTTCCATTCTTTTAATATTTCTATTTTCCATTATTTTATTATTTCTATTTTCCATTATTTTATATTTCTATCTTCCATTATTTAAAAAAATATTCCGTTATTTTACCATTTCTATTTTCCATTACTTAAAGATTTCAATTTTCAATTACTTTCAATTATTTTACTATTTCTATTTTTCATTATTTTACTAAGGAGATATTCGAGCTATCTGGGTTCGAGCGAACGAGGTTTAACTGTATTTTTATTTTCCACTATTTTACTATTTCTATTTCCATTATTTTACTATTTATTCTATTATTTCTCTAATTTAAGTATTTAGCATCTTGGTTGAAGATTGCCAACATCATAGTGTCACTGTTGTATGTCGTGGGCTTTGCCATCGGTCCTGGTGAGTTGACATTTTTACAAGTTGCCGTAAATTGTAAAAACAAGTCGTTGACAAGCAGCATTAGCCAACATTTGCAACTTGTGATAATTAAATGATTTTAAAATTATGCTCGAAGGGATAAATTCAATAAGTATATTAAGTGGCTGGCACTTAATAAATATTAGGATTGGTAAGTAAGTAGGAAGAACTGCATTGTAACAATTAGTTATATGTTTGATACCATCAAAAACACTTATGATATCAATTACTTCCTTAATTAGATAACATTATTTGGGAGTGTTAATTGTTTATAATTTGAAATTTTGGATGATTATTTTATGTAATTGTAAAATGTTTAAAATTCATAAAAAAAACAAAATATAGGTCTTTTCTAAAAACATATTTAAAGTCAAAACTTGCTTTGCTAATGTAATGAAATCTTATAATCATATCCACCTAAACGAAGACGATTTTACGATGCCATATTTTGTACTTTGACTTGATATCTTTTATGTTAGCCAATGGCTTGCATATCAAATATTGATTCACGAATCTAATATCGCCTCAAACTTTCAATTTTCATATTGAAGGACAGTAAATACCGACTTGCACATCAAATATCACATCAAATGTCGATTTTTCATGTGATATTTTATATAAAAATATATATCACATGAAAAAAATCGATTTATATAATAAATATTGCATAAAATATCAATTTACATGGCAAATCTCACATTAAATATCGTTTTTTATATCTAATTTAACATCAGATGTTAACATACATATTGAATACAACATCATATGTCAACCAACTTATTTAATATCGCGTGAAATATCAATTTACATGCCAAATATCGATATGCACAAAATATCGCAATAAATACCGATTTCCATGTAAGATTTTACATCAGATCTCGATTTAAAAATCCATTTAAAATGAAATATTGCTTAACACATCAGATATCGGTTTTAAAATGAAATATCGCTTAACACATCAGATATCGGTTTTAAAATGAAATATCGCTTAACACATCAGATATCGGTTTAAAAAATCAAATATCGCTTAACACACCAGATATCCTTTTTTAAATGAAATATCGCTTAACACATCAGATATCGGTTTAAAAATCAAATATCGCTTAACACATCAGATATCGGTTTTAAAATCAAATATCGCTTAACACATCAGATATCGGTTTTAAAATGAAATATCGCTTAACACATCAGATATCGGTTTAAAAATTAAATATCGCTTAACACATCAGATATCGGTTTTAAAATGAAATATCGCTTAACACATCAGATATCGGTTTAAAAATCAAATATCGCTTAACACATCAGATATCGGTTTAAAAATCAAATATCACTTAACACATCAGATATAGTTTTAAAATGAAATATCGCTTAACACATCAGATATTGGTTTTAAAATGAAATATTGCTTAACACATCAGATATCGGTTTTAAAATGAAATATCGCTTAACACATCAGATATTGGTTTAAAAATCAAATATCGCTTAACACATCAGATATCGGTTTAAAATCAAATATCGCTTAACACATCAGATATCGGTTTAAAAATCAAATGTCGCTTAACACATCAGATATCGCTTTAAAAATCAAATATCACTTAACACATCAGATATAGTTTTAAAAATGAAATATCGCTTAACACATCAGATATTGGTTTAAAATGAAATTTGCAACCAGTTTAAAAAATCAAATATCGCTTAACACATCAGATATCGGTTTTAAAACGAAATATCGCATAACACATCAGATATCGGTTTTAAAATAAAATATCGCTTAACACATCAGATATCGGTTTAAAAATCAAATATCGCTTACACATCAGATATCGGTTTTAAAATCAAATATCGCTTAACACATCAGATATCGGTTTTTAAATCAAATATTGCTTAACACATCAGATATCGGTTTTAAAATCAAATATTGCTTAACACATCAGATATCGGTTTTAAAATCAAATATCGCTTAACACATCAGATATCGGTTTAAAAATCAAATATCGCCTAACACATCAGATATCGATTTAAACGTTAAGCCTCGATTTATGCTCATAAATGAAAACTCTCGATTATACATTGATAAATGTCCAATGAATTATTTCTGATTTTTGACTGTTGTTTATACATAAACTAACTGTACTGATACATTATATTTCATGAATAACATACATATTTATCAGTTTTTTTTTAATTTCAATTTTAGGTTCGATACCCTGGCTTATTGTTTCAGAACTATTTTCTCAAGGAGCTCGTCCTGCGGCTATGAGCGTTTCGGTTGTTGTAAATTGGGCGGCTAATTTCGCCGTTGCCTACGCCTTTCCATATATGCAGGTAAATATGAGACTCGAAAATAAAAAAGAATAGGTTTAAAAGGTTAAATAGTAAAACAAAGGACTCGTTAACAAAGAATTTGATTGGCAGGCCTGTACATAAGCTTGCAATCTGAAGTTGTCTATGTTGCCAGCTTATTTGAACGCTAAATGATAATGATTTTAGGTCCATTAAAACTAATAGCCTCATGTAGTATATATACGGAGCCCCTAAGGTGACACTTTCCACACTTTTTTCCCGGCATTTAATTCGTTTTTACGAAATATTATTCGTTATTACGAAATATTTATTCGTTTTTACGAAATAGTAATTCATTTTTACGAAACATTAATTCGGTTTTACGAAACATTAATTCGTTTTTACGAAATATTTATTAGTAATTACGAAATATTTATTCGTTTTTACGAAACAATAATTCGTTTTTACGAAAACATAATTCGTTTTTACGAAATATTAATTCGTAATTACTAAATATTAATTTGTTTTTACGAAATATTAATTTGTTTTTACGAAATATTAATTCGTAACTACGAAACATTATTTCGTAATTACGAAATATTAATTGGTTTTTACGAAATATTAATTCGTTTTTACGAAATATTAATTCGTAATTACGAAATATTATTTTGTAATTGCGAAATATTAATTCATTTTAACGAAATATTAGTTCGTAAAACCGAATTAATGTTTCGTAAAAATGAATTACTATTTCGTAAAAACGAATAAATATTCAATATTATTTTGTAATTACGAAATATTAATTCGTTTTTACGAACTATTATTTCGTAATTATGAAATAACGTTACGTGTTTACGAATTTATAATCTGGTTTTTTTTAAATAATAATTCGTAAAAACGAATCAATTTTTTTCTGTGGAAAAGGGCTGTGGAGTCCCTTTAACATATTTTTTATAACTTGATGGCGCACATTTCACTTCCGATGATTTTTAGCACTTTCCGTTTTCTTTTTTTTCAGAGCGGGCTTTCCGATTTCTCTTTTCTTCCGTTTACGGCGTTACTTGGTATTTTCTTCTTATTTACTTTGAAATTTGTTCCTGAGACAAAGAACCGAACAATTGAAGAAATATTACAAAGTTTGAACAAGCAAAATGAATCAACAACAACAACGAGAGGAACTTATGAAGAAAACATTTATACCACAGACAAAGATATCAATGTTAAGTTTTAAAATCTATGAACCAATCAATTAACATTTACCTGTTTCTAAATGTATGTAGATACTAGAGATTGTCGCGACATTGAATTTCATAGTTTTGTTGATTTTTGTACTAGATTCTGAAAAGAATCGGCCATTTCCATGAAAATCCGTGAGTCCCATTTTATTTTAATATTAAAATGATTATGACAAAAATCGTCGAACCTCACGTGACAATATCACGTGACTATTGGTTAACAGGAAATGTTGGATCGTCATAGCACGATATTCATCCGATAATGACAGTGTCTAACTGGTACAGTATGGCACAATGTTTATATAACTACTACATGGTATATGTCAAGTTCCTTAACTGCCACAGTGTCTAACTTCTATATCTCACCGTGTCTAAATGATATATATTTGACACAATGATTGACTGTAACAATCAAATTTGTACATAGCAAAATATGTAATAACAGCAGGCCACTGTGTCTAACCAGTATACATGTAGGTCACGTTTTTTAACTGGTATAGGACTTCTGAATATATACGATGTTCATAGATTCCAGTTCAATTTTGCAATCGTATCTACCAAGAATGAATAAATTAATTTTATTTTATGCTTTTCAGTGGATTACTGATTTATCCGTGAAAATTATATTTGATAATTTCACAGTGAAAAGTATCAAAATATAATTTCACTACTTTTAAAAGTTTTCCCCCATGTGGTACCTCAATTTTTTTTGCTGACAACATTGTCAGGGCTGTTAAGAGAAACGCAAAGCTAAACTTGATAAATAACTTGAATTTCAAAAGTAATAAAAAGAAGAAAACTTACTTCAATTCATTCAAAGTACCAATCACCAAATATCGTCTCTAAATATTTTGTTTCATTTTTACAGTCTGAAAAATACAATTCCTTCCACATGCAAAACTGCTCTTGATGACATTTGGGCATATTTAAGTATTCTACGAGCAATAACTACCTAATGCAATATCAAAACTTGAAACGCAATGGCAGCCATCAGCCTGGAGAATAAGTAAACAACCCAGCGTTCGTATGGCAGCCTTTCATTTCCAATTTCCTAACCGCGTTTTGAATGTTTACACATCTGTCAAGACTTTTTTATTGTCTGTAACAATCCTCAAATAAGTTTTCTTTCTTCTAAAAAGATATATGACTACAAATCCAAATGATATCCCTCTGAATCCAACACAATAATTTTCCTCCCTCGAAATATACAACTTTTAAAAATGGGGGCCGCTTACATTTCACAAAGCCAGGTCTAATATAAATTCGCAGAAAGTAACGGAAATAAGGTCGGATGGCGTGACTTCATATTTTTTGAATAAATAAATAATATCACCGTCATTTGGCGTTGATTATCGAATTTTATTTTTCAGCCCAAGACTTCTTGTGTTTTATGAGAAGTTCGACTAATAGAGAATAGAGGCTACCAGTGGGAAAACAGATTTTAATATTAAAGTTAATATTAAGGAAATTTCGTTTAACCTTGTTTTTTAGCTTAAAATAAGAATAAAATTTGTTTGTTTGTTCTGTAAGATGTAATTTTATTTCATCTCGTGATAACGCCACTCGTGAGAATAGTGTTTTTAAAGCCCACTCGATGAAATAAAATTTCATCTTACACACAAACAAAAAATATCCATTATATATTTAACGAAATAAAAGATACACTATTTTAAAATCGTAATTTGATCACTGTCAAACAAATTTCAAGATATTTAGCAATGAGATAAAATAAATAAATACATGTAAACACAAATAAAAGAAAGCATTCAGGCAAGTACACTAAAGCAAAAGTATAAAGACAGCAATATTCCCGACTAGTATAGTCCTTTTTTCTTGTCATGTTTATCATTCAAACAACTTTACTGCGGTATTTTTTGTAAGGTTGGGTACATTGCAGAAGTTGCTATTCCACATGTGTTCTCGTCTTCCTTCCGTATCAATCTCAAGTAACCTTCTTCCCCCCAGGTGACACCGTAACTGAAAATAAATTAAGGCATACTAGTATTCATGTCAAAATATTAAGGGATTTCATGTCGTTTAAGATACCATCATACTCGAGATGCTTGCATATTTTTGTACTTAATATTATTAATATTATAAAACAACATTATTAAGAAGACCAAGCGTTAAATACAATGTATTAGAAGTACTAGATTAGACTGTCATTTACATAAAGGGATCTTCACCTGTTTTTCAAGAGCCAGTACGGTTGACCTTCATCCGTAATTCCATATCCTACCAACAGTAAGGCGTGGTCAAGATCTATTATTTCATTCTTACATTTAGGGTTGTTATAAACGCCATTACTATACAGTCGAAATGTGTCTGCGTCATCGTCTGTGTCGATGGATACGACTACAGGACCTTCTATAGCAACAGCCTCCTGTAAATATACCACACATACAACACATGCAAAAACTTTTTATTATTGAAATATACATATAACAATCCACCATTGTCTCTTACAATGTCGGCCAATGTCTTCATTTGTCGTATTTTATACATGTACATTGTATTTGATATGGACAAGCTTTTCTTTTAACTCCTGGTCATAACGACGCTTATTTTGTTTTATTAGTCATAAAACTGAAAATTACGGAATTTGTCGAAAGGTCAAGAATAGTTAATTAAACTAATGTTGATCACACTGCTTTAATAAATACATGTACAATTGTATTTCAAAATTATACAGAATTTAGCGTATTAAAAAAGCTTAAATGTAAATTGTAAAGCAATTAGGACTCATTAAAAAGACTACCACCAAGTATTTCGTTTTATTAGATAGATTTACTATTTTACACAACTAAATTTGGACAAATCACTAGAAAACATACCTATGTGCAGCCAAACCTGTGATCAATGGGCATCTAAGAGAGAGACCGAATATGGCCTTTATATACAAGTGGACTTAATATGTAGGTTACTTTGTTCTTTTTAATCAATGAAGAATTGTCAAAGAGTGGCCTTTATTCACAGGGTGTTCTTAATTCAAAGGTGGTCTTTAAAACAGGTCTTATTGTTTAGGCATACCTTTCCTGATTAAATATTGAATAACCCAACTAGATCGCATATCACATACAATGGTTTCTTTTATGAAAACTATCAATATTTAGTTAAAACTAATCGATACAAGATGTTTTCATGTTTTAAAAAACCAAACTACTGAGTACTACTACAAAAAGGGTGATACTATAGTTTATCAAACTTGTTTTTTACCTTCAGATTTTCAACATTTCCATGCTTCCATATCATCTCGATGTCTTGCACCCAGCAACCAAGCTCCCCTTGAGATTGAATACATTCACCGACCTTTCGTAACAAAAATATAAAGAATTTAGTAAACTATATGTATGTAGGTTTTTGTGTTCTTGCTGACGTGTCAACTGAAATTATCATCATTAAGATTTACTTGAAAAGTTTTCTGTTATGATAATGTGTAGATTTTAAAAGTTTTTTTTCAATCTGGGACAAAAAAGAACCATAATTTTTTGTCACAGTTTCAATGAATAACATCTGCAAATAGTTCTGTAGAACTATTTTGTATGGCGGCGTAATCGGAAGTGAATGATGTCATGTTGGCTTCTGGGTAAACGATTTTTGTATTTTCTGATCGCGGATCAAGAAATACAATGCTGACATTCAATCTCAGGAACAGCGTTTCCCAACAATCCTAACAACAAAAAGTAGTTCTCAAAACAGCTTAAACTAGTTGAATATCTTTTTTTTGTAACAAGTATCCAGCGAATAATAACTCATTCAAAGTTTAAAAGTAGTATCGGCTTATTAATTGTCAATAAATGCACACTCACAAATTACGCGGATGAATATCATTTTAATCAATGAAAATTGCTCGACTTTTTCCGTAAAGCTTAGAATTATTGTGATCGCCTAATAATATAAACTCATGTTGTTGTTGTTGTTTTTTTAGTGTTTTTTTTAAGTAATTTTAGCGATTTCTTAAGGAATTAGCCACGATATTCAATGATAAAGTGTGGCTGTCATAAAAAGTGTACATAAATGATTTCATAATGCAAGTTAGAAACTCTGGTCATGCAAAGTTCCGTATGTATCAAACTCAAACTGTTATAGCAAAAAATCTAAACGCAGTCGCTGCAACTCGGTGTCCTGCAAGATGAATTCTAGAATATCAAAATATTCGTATACAGGAAAATACATACAGATACTGTACGATTTAGATTGCAAATATTAGAAAATACCACAGAGCTTGCAGACCTTTGATTTGTTAATCTGTATCCACAGCTCGTACACGATAATAAGCAACATGGTTCGATTGTCAAAAGGAACCAGGCGAGGCTATCAATTATATTTTGACATGTTAAAGGAATTACCTTCCCTCTATAGGGATAAGAAGCTTCTGTGTCAAGTCCCTTCTCCAATGTATATTTTAAAGCAAACAATGGATTACCATTGTCACAACCATGGTTACCTAGGAAACAAAATCAAACATCGTAATTTTTATCATATTTATTACTAGAATCATAATCATTACTATCGTTATATCATTATAATTATTACATATATATTTTATTCTATGCTTTTGAGTGGATTACTGATTTCACAGTGAAAATTATATAAATATCATTTCACACTTGAAGAGACTACTTTTAAAAAAATTCTCCATATGATACTTCACTTTTATTTTTTTGGTTACAATACCGACATAATCCGGCCTGTTTAGAGCAAAGAAAAGCTGAAATTGATACATGTAAATAAATTAAAGTTCAAAATGATAAAACTTACTTTAATTCAATTTACTGATCACCAAATATTGTCCGTATTTTTTTATTTTCTTCATGACTGTTTGATAATAACACTTCTTTCCACATGAAAAATGCAAAACTGCTCTTGATGACATTTGGGCATATTTAAGGATCCTACGAGCAATAACTGTATTGCAATGTGTAAAAGCAATGACAGTCATCAGCCAAAAAGATAAGTAAATAATCCAGCGTTCATAAAAAAGCCCACGTTTCAAATCCCTATTCGCTTCTTGAATATACACATCTATTAACAACAATACTAGAATATGTTTATCATTATTATTATTATTATTATTATTACTGCTACTTCTGCTACTACTACTACTACTACTACTACTACTACTACTACTACTACTACTACTGCTACTGCTACTACTGCTGCTACTACTACTACTGCTACTACTACTACTGCTGCTACTGCTACTACTACTACTGCTACTGCTAATGCTACTACTACTACTACTACTCCTACTACTACTACTGCTACTGCTACTACTGCTGCTACTACTGCTGCTGCTGCTGCTACTACTACTACTACTACTACTACTACTGCTACTGCTACTGCTACTGCTGTCGCTGCTACTACTACAACTACTATTGCTACTACTAATGCTACTACTACTACTACTACTACTACTATTGCTACTGCTGCTGCTACTTCTATTGCTACTACTACTACTACTTCTACTACTGCATCTACTGCTACTACTACTACTGCGCTGCTACTGCTACTGCTACTACTGCTGCTGCTACTGCTGCTGCTGCTGCTACTTCTATTGCTGCTGCTACTACTACTACTACTACTACTACTACTACTACTACTACTACTACTACTGCTACTGCTACTTTTGCTGCTGCTGCTACTTCTATTGCTGCTACTACTACTACTGCTACTACTACTACTGCTACTGCTACTTCTGCTACTACTACTGCTGCTGATGCTACTTCTATTGCTACTGCTACTACTACTGCTACTGCTACCATTGCTACTGCTACTTCTGCTACTACTACTACTACTGCTACTCCTACTACTGCTACTGCTACTTCTGCTACTACTACTACTACTACTACTACTGCTGCTGCTGCTTCTGCTACTACTATTACTACTACTGCTGCTACTACTGCTACTGCTACTACTACTAACTGCGCTGCTACTGCTGCTACTGCTACTACTGCTACTGCGCTGCTACTGCTGCTACTGCTACTACTGCTACTGCTGCTGCTGCTGCTACTACTGCTACTGCTACCATTGCTGCTACTACTTCTGCTACTACTGCTACTGCTGTTGCTGCTGCTACTTCTATTGCTACGACTACTACTACTGCTACTGCTACTATTGCTACGACTACTACTGCGCTGCTACTGCTACTGCTGCTGCTGCTACTACTGCTACTGCTACCATTGCTACTGCTACTTTTGCTACTACTACTATTGCTGCTTTCGCTACTACTACTGCTACTGCTACTGCTGCTGCTGCTACTTCTATTGCTACTACTACTACTGCTACTTCTACTACACAACTTCTTACTACTACTGCAGCTGCTGCTGCGGCTTCTTGCTACTACTACTACAACAACTACTACTGCTTCTGCTACTGCTGCTGCTGCTGCTGCTGCTGCTGCTGCTGCTAATTCTACTACTACTACTTCTACTTACTGCTACTGCTTAATGCATTATTGTTAGAACTTGTTGCCAAACCAATTTGCTTTTGATTTATTCTTCTATTTTTGTTTGTAAATTTACATGTATAAAGGCAATTAAATATGGTTGAACTAAGTAATGTGCTGAGGTTTTATGAAATTATAATTATATATACCTTCTGCTTTACTACAGTCTATAATATTTTGTACTGACAACGGCTCCAGATCTTTGTTGATTTTCAGACATTTATGACTTTCTAATGCCCCGACTGCTGCAAACGCATAGCAACTACAACATTTCCCCTGTAATTATAGACTTTAAAAATATGATATGGCTTAATATTATTGACGCATAACAATTTTGTTGAAATTTACCCAAAATTTAAAAAAAAAATACCAACAAGCTAATTATTTGTTGTTTTCAGTGTTGGCAGATTTGCAATTTTTTTTTTTAGATAAACACTTAAAATGTTGCACTTCGCACATTATGCCTCAGAAACAAATTCATTCCCTTAGAAAAGGCAATCATGAATTTTATAATGTTTAAATAATGGTTTTAGAGAATGCTAGATGCCTGATATCTTTAAGTTAGTCCTAAAGTTGGTTTTATGTCCTAGGACTTAGGATTCACTGAGGACTTTCTATGAAACGAAGCCCAGGTTTTGAAGCAGTGCCTTCTATGCTCCTTATTTGTATATCGTGTGCGGGTACAATATTAAATAGTTAAAAGAAAGTTTAAAGATATGAAGTTCAATAAATAATTACCTGATCTTTTACTTCTGTGACGCAGTCTTTATCTCTCCAGTCAACTTCTTCAGGTAATGGGTATACATTATCCCAACTCTTTGCTCTTCGTTTATGACTGGTATTAGTTTGGATATGACTTGAATCTAACTTGAGATTGGCATAGCTCCTCTTGAACTCTTCTGATGTCTGACAAAAAAATGAGTTAATGTACATTTGATTTATATAAGCTTACTTATTGTCCCGCCCCCACCGGTACCCGGTAAAGAAACAATAATAATTACTTATACCCCGGAAATAGAACGAGTATTGACAAACATAATATTATTATATCATACATATTATGTCCAAAAGTGAAGAAACATTAATGTATTACCCTCAATAATAGAAAAAATACATGTATATATCTTTAATAATAAAAAAATAATGATATTCCCCCCAAGTATTGAAAGAGTAATTTGTTTATTCTTTGGGTAATTCCGGGTAACTCAGTAAAATAATTTCATTTCTAAAATTTTCAAAAGACCTATTCAAGAAGTGCTATGGTTTAAGCATATTTATTTAAGCTCGACTGCAAAACAGGTTCTTGCAAACTTATATTTATCATTTACGAGTCTTTTTCCTGGAACCAACTAGTACTGAAACATTAGGTTTTAGGGCTCGAACCCATGATCCATGGCTTGAGAGGCAGACACTTGAATCACTTTATCAAGTTCACTAACCATATCAGCAAATTTGTTTACTCCCAACCAGTACGTGTAGTCTCCGAGATCCGCCGCCTTATTGTGGAAGTAAATTGTCTTGAAATTTTGAGTAAAAACCGAAAATCTGCAACATGAAGTAAAAGAAAATGTTTGAACATTGTACTTACAAAGACTTGTGACGAAAAATATATTTTTAATTGATAATTTGCACTGGCAGACAGACACCAGTAAGCAACTTTCAACCTTTATTTTCCCATTACTCCATTCGCACGGCTACCTACATAGCAATCGCAACTTTCAGCCCTTTCCGTCAGTTTTCGGATATGGACTAATGAATAATAGCCGATGACGTTCCGATTGCCTACATAGCTCACAAACGTAACCGTTCAGTACAGTCCTGATTCAAGCAAGAACAGTTGTTTGGTGTCATTTTCCCCTTAAGTATTAGTGCTTTGCCACGTAGAACCATGGTCAAATATTAAACAATTAGGCAACAATCGCATTTCATTGTTTAAGTTAGGTTTCAATAAACAATCGTGTTGCAGTAATCTAGCTAAAGAGACTTGAACAGCGAACAGGTTTTATAGTACTGCTAGACCTGTTTACTGTCGCACAACGTAAAAATAAAAGCGACATATAAAGTAATGCAGTGATCATGAAACATGACAACCTGTTTTAAGACTTCTTGAGGTGCTTGAATATTACTTCGCGCCGTCTTTTTTAGTTCGTCTTAGTATCAAGTACAACAAGACAACTATCCGAGCATCATAAATGAACATTCTGAGAAAAAAGCTAATACCAAAAGGGAGCAATTTACTGTTGAAATTCACAGACGAGTGTTTGACTCTGTTCATGAGAGACAATAAAAATTCCAGTGTCTCAGGTCATGCATGCCTACACAAATACCATCATGAGTGTTATTTAATCTTTAAACAGTGGTCAGTATTCGGGAAGAACCAGAGAAAAAAGTCATTTCATAGCATTGGTATAGATTTTGAATATTTCTATCTGCGATTGACATCGACGAGTCTACAAGGAGATTTAGCAGATATTTAAGGATTTTTAAGTAGCAACCTGTAGTGTTCTTCTGCCCTTGTGCGGTAGGATCGGTTATAGTTTGCTTTGAAACTATTCCATTCCTTGTCGATTTCTTGCAGGTCTAGTGACATCACTACTGACGTTAAAACCAAAAGAATAATGGTGCATTTCACCAACCTGAATTAATAAAAAAAATGGTTAAACTTTCAAAGCAGTCAAGGTCGCTTCCACGTATACTATGCATGTACTTTTGTATGAGAATTAAAGAATTGATTTTTCAAGAATAGCTATTTTAATCTGTAGGCCTATGACCGAGTGGTAGTGGTAAATTTAAACAACCGTGCACGTCAACAAGCACCTGCTTAAGTAAAGTCACGAAAAAAATCGCATATACGGCGGTGATTATTGAAACTTCCACGTGACACTTTAAAATAAATTGGTCTGCATTAGGCACATTTTCAAGAATTATTCAAAATATTGAGAAAAATAATAAAAATGTATCATATTATATTCCTATAAAAATGTGTCTTAAAAGAATGAATCTAAGAATACTTAGTAATTTAAAATGTGCATTTATATGATGAATAATATATTTTGTTCTTACTGCTAGATCTTAAGTAATAAGTAATATCAGATCATACTTACCAACATCATCCACGTAATAATTCTACCGTGGTTTGGTAATAAGAACGATACTAAATACTATTTATACTAACAAAATTATGTATAAGTATAACAGACCTTATTATGGACCAATTAATTAAGTTGTATAAAATGGTATATGGTCCACTAAGTCATTTAGAAACGGTGGGGGATCATACATACAGAGTTTGTTGCGTTGTCTAGTGTGTAGAAAATAGACCAAAATCATACAAACAAACAAAGATAGACAAATAATAGATAATTTCTAATTTCTAAACAAAGAAATAAATACAATTAAAAAGAAAGAAAGAAAAGTATACATTTTGTACTTACATTTCGATGTCGTATGTCGTAGACGTTTTCTTTCTCTAGTAATATCGAGTCATACATGAAACGATGTTTCTAGCTAAATCGATCAAATTTCGTATGAATTTTATCAAAGGAAGTTTCAATTAAATTTTGCATTTAAGTAACAAATATATATGATATTAATGATTGTTCGCTATCGATCACGGAAATTACGAGTTCCGATTCCGGTTGCTGAACGCTTAATTACGTGATCCTTACAAATTGTTATGCAAAATATCCGTATTTAACTTATATTGAAATTTCGTTGGCATAAAATTTCGTTGTTTTTGTCAAATCGACATTGCATTGATTACTTAATTCATTTACTTTGTTGATTGTCAGTTTTGTAAAAAGTTAGAAAAGAAATTATCAATGTCAATTCGCTCGCGATGTGCGTGTCATGTGACGCTTACAAAAACACCACAGCAATAAGTGCCCCTCGAATAATAATGATTTTGCAGCAGATTTCTTGCAAGTAACTGCTTTTCGAGAAGTAACAGTTTAGATCCGCGATTCTGACTAAATTCCAAACATTTTATTTATTTTACAGATAAATTTAAATAGAAAACACATCAATGACGAAAAAAAGACTAGAGTCAAACTCATTGCTAAACGTATACATTGATTTGTTAAACTGTCCTTATTTCAGAAGAACATTTACAAAAGGAAACATTTTGTGAGAGTTGTTATTAAGAGGCAATGTGTTCACTTGCAGACATTGTATTTAAAGAAAGAAATCACTGTTAAACAGTTTGCATTAGCAGTTAAGGATTTCATTAACAGACACAGATTTCAAAATAAATATACGGTCACTTTAAAAACAAGAGCTGTCAGTGAGACAGCGGGCTCGATTATTCTCAGTGCTTGACGGTAAGAAAAGGGGCACAACTCTGTAAAAAGGTTACACAAAGCTAAGGGACACATGCCAATCATGCTAGATAGTCACGTAAAATAAGTTTGTGGAGTTTTAAACCATTACCGTCAGTAGTTTTGGTGATACCAACTTGCACGCAAAGATATAACCAGTTTGGATGGCAACGTTGGGGCGAGTATGAATAGCTCTCTGTTCCCTGAATAGACGAGCTAAATATTCTCATAACAACAGTTTTCAATGAAGACACGGGGCGATAGAAAGCGCAGCCACTATCAAACATTTTTCATTAGCAATTATGGGATTCCTTGATAGACACAGCGTCTAATAGAAGGCACAATCATTTTTCAAGATTTCATTTCACTAACAGATGTAGGGTTTCATAAATGGCACACTCACTACCGAAATAGTTCCTAATAGCAAACAATGTTTTAACAAGAAGACACGGTATTCAGTAGTTCACATTGGAACTATCTGTATATAATGTTTCACAAACAAAAACAGCGTTCAATAGAAAACGCTGTTGCTACCAAACAGTTTGCGTTAGCAATCAATGTTTTCTTTATAAGATAAGGGATTCAGTTGAAAGCACGGTCACTACCAAAGTTTTCATAAGCAGACAAAATGTTCAACTAACATACAAAGGTGCATCGGAAAGCACGGTCATGTCAAACATTTTTCATAAAATTTTCACTCACAGACATGGTATTCAACAGAAGGCACAGTCACTATCAAAGAGATTTCAAGAAAAACTAAACGATCAATCGTGGTGGTGTTGGTAGTTTATCCTCCGGATCACAGCAATTAGGCACATTGAATTCACCAGAGCACACTTCAGCAACCGCGTCGTTCATGGACAAAGCAGTTTACCAGTACTATTGATGATAGTTTCCTTCACATTCGCACGGAAATGTCACAACAAACGTCTATGCCAGAGCAGAGATACAAAGCAAATGACCGTACTAGAAAGCATTTCATGATCAACAACAACGAGTGGACCTGCACCGTGCGGACCTGATTCCGGGTCGCCCTAATTGGCATTCCTAACGCTTTACCTTTTGTGCTAACTGGACGATTCTACAACCAATGGGCTGAGGGGCAAGCACATGTTACATTTGGCAACATCTCCATTATCTAACTTTAGTGAATCGGCAATACTCTTTTTAATTTAAGCATTTTATAATAAACACGGCTAGGTGTATTGGAAGACTTTATTTTTTTCACAAAATGATGACGATATAAGCTGTAATATAATATAGGACCATCCTGGAAAAATACATGTATATCTTACGGACCATCAGAAAAAAGTGTACATATCATGTTTGCGAAAAGCCAAAGACAAAGACAATCAAACTTTAAAAAAAGTACTGAGATTTTAAGAAAAGTAAAAAGATTCAAATAACATGTTCGAATTATGTCTGTTCAATAATATTTCTACTGCGTTACTTAAACATTAACGGCTATTTTTGCATATTTTGACCTCGCAATGTGAAAATTATTTTCTTTATTCACTTCACAATATTTCACTTTTTAATTCTTTTTCGAAATTTTCATGAAAATTAGTAGGAATCTGGAGGCGTGCTGCTTTAATGAGTGAGATAAATACGAATATATTACAAAGTGCTCGACTGATTATGATTGATTGGTTAGACATGAAGATTATGTAATGTTGATAACCTATAAGGTTTAATAACTCAGGGAAAGTTAATATCACGTCAACTGTTAAGTCTTGGCACAGTAAAATGATTACATGTACTGGTATTTTGACTGAGCGAATGATCTGACATTATGAACCCATGTAATTGATATAGACCTAATTCAATTGGTATACAATCTCGAAAGAATCTTTTAGTCCCGTGATGTCAAAAACAATCAGTGAAGCCCTTTTCCTCAACTGAAGAAGGAACGCCTTAAAATCGAAATTTGAATTTCTTACACAGACAAAAAGTTAATCATAAGAAAAATAAGAATGATGTTCAGAAATGAATTGAAAATCGTATTTCTGTGCTATTCTCAGCCCGTTTTGAGGGAAAAGCGTTGCAACGCTTTTCAATTTTGAGTATTTTTTTTCGATCAGAATAATGAGTGAGCATAAATGTGTAACTTAATGGCGCACATTTCAATTCCAGTGATTTTAAGCATTTTCTTTCTTCTTTTTTCAGAGCGGACTTTTCGATTTCTCTTTTCTTCCGTTTACGGCGTTACTCGGTATTTTCTTCTTATTTACTTTGAACTTTGTAACCGAACACTTGAAGAAATATTACAAAGTTTGAACAAGCAAAATGAAACAACAACAACAACAACGAGAGGAACTTATGAAGAAAACATTTATAACACAGACAAAGATATCAATGTTAAGTTTTAAAATCTATGAAGCAATTAATTAACATTTAAATGTCGATAAATGTATGTAGAAACTAGAAATTGTCGCGACATTGAATTTCATAGTTTTATTGATTTTTGCAACAGAGATTGGCAACTTCCTGGCCAGTTAAAATATCACGCGGGACTGCTAAACTTAAAACATATTAACCAAATATCAAAATCAGTAAAATAATACATTTTCTGGAAGCTTATGCATTTGTCTATGGCTGCAAGTAAAAATATTTACAGTTCCCATTTAAATAATGATACATCAATTTTTAAAGAGAACTACTAATAATTTTTGTTACAAAACTATTCATATGACGAAAAAAAACAATATTTCTAAGTGAAATGCATGGAAAGTTACTAATATTTTAACATGCAGCAATAGATAAACGATTTACCTTTCAAATGGTATATAATATTAAAGGATCAAATGAAAATCCATTAAGTTTTATTTGCTTCAAAATGCCTAATTTTTCACTCTTTGATAGGCATGAGTGATATTTCAATGGAGTAAATAGGAGCTGCTTATCTCTGTTATCTATGTCTCTGATCGCAGATCAGAAAATTAAATGCTGACATTCAATCTCTGAAACAGAATTTTCACGACAAACCTAACAACAAGTAGTTCTCATAACAGCTCAAAACTAGCGATGTTAAAGAAAGAAATATTTTTATTTTGTTACAAGTATCAAACAAATTACAACGCATTCAAAGTTTAAAAGAAGCGTTGGCTTATAGAATTGTCAATTCACCAATTACGCGGATGAATATGAAAATGCTATTTTTAGCGATGTCGATTACCGAATACCTCAGAGCGTATTACACTGTCGAGTAGTGGAATATATACATGTCGGACTGTTTTAGGGAGAAGATTTTCGCTAAATTATTTACATCAATTTTAGTATTTTTATACGTTATAAGAAACAAGATCTTCGTCGTTGTCATCATTTTAGTTTATTGTTTATATAGCACATTCTGCATACAGGATGAAGAAATCGGTCAAAGGGAATTAACTTTAATCACGTAACGATTCACTTGTTTGTGAACACAATATGTTTTTCTTTTTGAAAATAAGTGATAGGTCTTTTGGCCGCGGCTGCATAAGACAGTCCTGGTTTGGAATACTGCGTAGGGGTCTGGATTGTTGTTTGAGGCATAGAACTATATGGCTGTTTAGATGTAGAGTATCCTTGGCTTTTGCTTTAATCCTGAGCATGTGTTTTATCCTTTTCCGGCCACGGAAGATGTAACCAATAGCGGTAGTTTAATTGCAATTGAGTAGCAAATCCCTGTGATGCATATTTCACGTAAATGTTTCCTTCAAAAGACCACGCTTTTTCAACATTTGACTTGTCTTTTACACGACAGGATGCCAACATGTCCGCGTTCATTTTCGTCAAATCTTCGTTGACATAAATCTTATGTTCTTTCAGGTGTTTTGACCTGTTGAAATGTTCGACTTTTGTTTGGCGTCTTACAAATTTAACTATAATTGGCCCATGCTTGCCGACTTTGTATTTTCCAAGTCTGTGGCTGATGTCAATATCTGCTTTCTGCAGAACAAGATCTGATTTGCTTTTTGTATTGTGTCTATTAATTTTTGCAATCGTCCGTAATGCCAAAGATTCGAAAACTATTTCTGCGACTGTATTGTTCGGACTCGTTTTCAAATTTTTCGTATAGTGGTTGATCTTTTTCTTTGAGTTCATTTATAATTAAATCTTTTGTTCTAGTTTTTCAATTGTCTGAGCTTGTGTATGGACGTCATGTTCGAAAACCTCTACTCTCTTAGTCATTGCACTAAGGAAACTTACTTTCATTTCATTCATTTTATCTTCGATAATTTTCTTTATGAAAGTGGTATCATCTTTGGATAGGAGTGTTGATAATTGAATACTGATGCCTGCCAGCTGCTTTTCAAATTTTGTTACGTATAAAGTTTCCTTTAAACATGCAGAAGTATTATACACCGAGCTGTCGTCCATAATGCAATTATTTTTGGGCGTGCTATTAGATTGAGGTTTTGGATTACTGTGCTTTACTTTTTAGTTTTAGTCTTTTTACCTTTTTGTTTAAAAACTGGGTAAACAGGTTGATTGTCAATATTGTCACTGGCATCTAATTCACTAGCAGTTGAAGAACGTTTTCTGGCTTTCATTTGAGCTCATCATGATACATAAATAATTTCAACATAAATCTTCCATAAATATATAAATATCACACTGTTCAACAAAAGCATATTAAAGCCAATAGCGGCTCAGTCATGCGTGACCGCAAATTTTGTCAGGGACGGTAGACCCTCAGGCTATTTTGCGCTCACAAATTGCTCACAAAAAGTCTCTCCACACATTCAATTTCTAAAAGTTCAAGATAACCTCTTTATGCAACATTCAAATTCAAACTTACATATTTTAATAAAATTCCATATCCTTCATGAATGCAACAGTAACTCAATTATACGAATTTAACATTTACATCGCTATAAAAATCGTGAAAGCCTTTAGCCAAAATACAACATTGTTTTGTTTACATTTAACCGGTAGTCACCACCTTTTAACCGAATAGAAAAAATATTACCACACATTGATGGACAAAAGATTACTTCACATTGATGGACAAAAGATTACCTGACATTGATGGACAAAAGATTACATCACATTGATGGACAAAAGATTACTTCACATTGATGGACAAAAGATTACTTCACAATGATAGACAAAAGATAACCCCACATCGATGGACAAAAGATTACATCACATTGATGGACAAAAGATTACTTCACATTGATGGACAAAAGATTACTTCACAATGATAGACAAAAGATAACCCCACATCGATGGACAAAAGATTACTTCACATCGATGGACAAAAGATAAACCCACATCGATGGACAAAAGATTACTTCACATTGATGGACAAAAGATTACTTCACATCGATGGACAAAAGATAACCCCACATCGATGGACAAAAGATTACTTCACATGATGGACAAAAGATTTCTTCACATCGATGGACAAAAGATAAACCCACATCGATGGACAAAAGATAACCCCACATCGATGGACAAAAGATTACTTCACATCGATGGACAAAAGATAACCTCGCATCGATGGACAAAAGATAACCTCACTTTGATTTAGTATTACTTGATTTTATTCATGCTCTTTGTATAAGGTCTCCGTGGTGCAGGGGTAACGAGCTCGTTCAGAGTGTCAGAGGTCTGGGGTTCAAATCCCATGTAATGCAGCTATTTTCTTATTTTTTTTAAAAGTTTCTTTGTTAAGGAAGTAGCCACTTTAGGATAAAGTGTGGCTGTCATAAAAATGAACATAAATGATATTTTGATGCAACTCTAGTCATGCAAAATTCCGTATGTATCAAACTCTGGTGCCCTGCAAGAAGAATTATAGTACATAAAAATAAACTTATACAGGAAAATAATACAGATATACAGTGCGATTTAGATTGCAAAGATCAGAAAATACCACAGAGCCCTTTGATTGTACTACGAGAATAGGCCATGTCCGTGAAAATCCGTGAGTCTGATTTATTTTCCACATTTTCATCACTACAATTATAGCTTAAAATTCACGTGACTATTGGTTTATAGGAAGCAGTTGGGTCGTCATAGCACAACTATTCAACCGATAAAGACAGTGTCTAACTGGTACAATATTGCACAATGTGTAACTACAATTTTTCATCGCGTCTCACTGGTATTTATAAAGTTCCTTAACTGGGTATGTCTATACGACACCATGTCTTAATGATATATATTTGACACAATGATTGACTGGTATATGTATTAATTAAATTTGTATATAGCACAGTTTGTAATTACGAGGTATAGTCAAAAAGTTCCCGGACTGGTCTGTTTAAAATGATTATTGTCGTCCGATTGTCATGAAATTTACCGTGAAGGTATTTTTAACTAATTTGAGTAGCAACATGTATGAAAAAAATCAATTTAGTAAATATATGGAAATTATTTTTCACATGAAACACGCCCGCAACCCGTGTACGGAGCATTTTAGAATTAATTTGATTTTTCTAGAAGTGAATAATACTCCCTCATGAATGTCTCAAAATACTGGCGCCAGAACATCGTGATTTTTGTACGTGACGTCAGCTGAACGTTACTAGTAAACAACTGCAAAAATTCAGCGTGATCGGATGACGTATCGCCATTTTGTACACGATTATTCAAGCCACGTGAAAATTTCTATACGAAAAAATGTCAACCTCAGAAAAACGTACGGAGCAGCGGGCAGTAATAAAATTCTGTGCGATGTCTGGAATGACTCCGACTGATACTTGGAAGTTTTTGAATCAGAAGGAGGGTGTTCATAATTGTTCTAGGACACTTATGTTTGACTGGCACAAGCGTTTTAGGGAAGGTCATACGGAAATTACCGATAGTGCACGAAGGATTTAAACATGAATAAGGTATGCGCCCGCTGGGTACCTAGGTTACTTACAGATGAAAACAAAGCAACCCGTGTAGACGCTTCCCGAGAATTTTTACGGCGGCGAACGATTCCTAAGGCGCATTATCACTACGGATGAGACGTGGGTGAACTTTTACGTCCCGGAGAGTAAACGAGAGTCGATGGTGTGGAAGCGACCTTCATCACCTCCCCCCACGAAGGCGAAAACCTGCAAGTCGGCGAAGAATGTTATGTATATTTTCTTCATTGATAGCCAGGGTATGCTGTTGCAACATGCGGTGCCAAGATCGGCGACAGTCAACAAAGAGTACTATCAAAAGATAAGCATTAATTATGTCGCATGAAATGTTTTTACTAAATTTCTATGTTTATTTATATGTAAGGTGAAAAGTATATAAAATATACAATGTAACAAAAAGTGAAAGAAACTATTATTTTTATAATTTGGCGCATTTGTGGTAGTTTCAAATAAAATGAATTTGTTATTAACAGGTTGTGCGGAGAGATCTAACGAACGCTATCAGGAAAAAGCGAGCAGGGTGCGACATCGAAAATTTAATTTATCACCAAGATAACGCTACAGCACACCGCGCAGACGAGATACTCCTTACTATTGACTTCTTAGGATATGAGCGGCTACGTCATCCCCCTTATAGCCCCGATCTCGCCCCCATAGACTATTGTGTTTTCCCTAGACTGAAAGCAGATTTGAGGGGTCGGAGGTTTGATACAGAAGATGAGCTCAAATATGCTGTGAGGTCCGCAATAAGAAGTTACACTCCAGAGTGGTATGCAGACATTTACAGGAAGGGGGTACAGCGGCACAGGAAGTGTATTGAACACAATGGGGACTATTTTGAAAAAGCATGAACGTGACGGTAAGTTGTTCCTGGAGTATGAACGTCACCTGAACGTCGTTAGCGTCGTCGACGTCGCCGAAGTGCTCCGTACGTGACATAGTGTGTAACTTTAACGGGATGTTAAATATGTGTAACATTTATGAAAATCATTGACTCTTATATATTCATGCAGCGATTTCTCTAAATTTTAATGTGATATATGTCATTATAAAAACATACACAAAATAACAAAGTTATCGTAAGAGACCGGGAACTTTTTGACTATACCTCGTACATCACTGTGTCTAACAGGTGTACATGTACGTCACTTTTCTTAACTGGTATATGACACTTAATGACTTTCTGATGATATATTTCGCAGTGTCGTAATTTCACGATGTCGTAATGATATGGGATACAAATGTCCATTCCAGATCAATTTTGCAATCGGGTCTACTATGAATGAATAAATTTTGCAATCGGGTCTACTATGAATGAATAAATTAATTATATTTACCGAAATAAAAGATATACAATTTTTTTGTCAAACAAATGTCAAGATATTTAGCAATGAGTTAAGATAAATAAATCAATACATGTAAACACAAATAAAAGAAAGCAATCAGGTAAGTACACTTAAAAGGACACAAACAAAAGCATTAAGGCAGCAATATTCCCGAATAGTATAGTCCATTTTTTTTCTTGTCATGTTTATTATTCAAACAGCTTTACTGCGGTAATGCATGAAATACCAAAATTGCTGTATTTTTATAAGGTTGGGTACATTGCAAAAGTTGCTATTCCACATGTGTTCTCGTCCTCCTTCCGTATCATTCTCAAGTAACCTTCTTCCCCCCAGTCGACACCGTAACTAAAAATAGATTAAAGCGTACTTGTATTTCTGTCAAAATATTAAGGGATTTTATGTCGTTTGTGATACCATCATGCTCCAGTTGCTAACATATTTTCTTATTTAATATTAAATTTTACCCGAAGCAATCCGATAATTTTTATCAATTCCGGCATTTGATGGCAAGATGCAATACAGACTGCAGTTCCCTGCCTAATATACTTTCATAGTGTTAGGGTCTAGGTATCCTGTGTTATGGTAACAAGATAGTCTGATGTTACCGGATAAAACTCAACGTTTACTTGATCTTTTAGGGTGGAAAAAAATGACAAATTATTGATAACTGAACTCTTATAGACTTTTAACAGAGGAATGAATTTTTATAAACTTTCGAAAATTAAAAGCGAACATTATTAAGAAGACCAATCGTTAAATACAATGTTATAGAAACACTAGATTAGACTGTCATTGGCATAGAGGGTTCTTCACCTGTTTTTCAAGAGCCAGTACGGTTGATCTTCGTCCGTAATTCCATATCCTACCAACAGTAGGGCGTGGTCAAGATCTATTATTTCATTCTTACATTTAGGGTTGTTATAAACGCCATTACTATACAGTCGAAATGTGTCTGCGTCATCGTCTGTGTCGATGGACACGACTACAGGACCTTCTATAGCAACAGCCTCCTGTAAATATACCACACATACCACACATACCACACATGCAACACATACCACACATGCAAAAACTTTTTATTATCGAAATATACATATAACTATCCACCATTGTCTCGTACAATGTCGGTCAATGTCTTCATTTGTTAATAGTAAAAGTTTAACCCGAAGTTATAAAATCAAGCACAAAATTAATTAATATAAAAAACAGAAGAACATAAAAAAGAAGCATCATTCTCAATGAAACAATTATAAACGTAACATATACAAAATTAATGTGGATCATGTTTTCATATAGGATTTCTATGGACTCAGGCGTTGACAAAATAACTTATTCAACATGAATAAAAGAGGCATGAATTGCAAACCCATTGTGACAAAAGAATTCAGTATATGATAAATCAAGAAGTCAGTCCATCGCACATAACATCGAGTGGTTAACGCGTCGGACTAGTAATCTAAGGATTGCTGACCGCGTGGGTTCAAACCCTGTCAAGGGCAAGGAGTTGTTTCCTTGAGCAAGAAACTTTACATTCATTGCTGAGTAATGGTTGGTTCCAGGAACGGATTCGAGAGTGTTTCAATAAGCTTATAGCTTCCAACACAATCGAACTAAAATAAATTTGTATAAACCAAATATCTCAACGTTTTAAAATAAAAACAGATGTACATTGTATTTGATATTGACAAGATTTTCTTTTATACACGTATTTCAAAATTAATCATACAAAATTTAGGGAATTTAGAAAGCTTAAATGAAAACTGTAGAGCAATTAGGACTCGTTAAAGACTACCACCAAGTATCTGGTTTTATTAGACCGATTTACTATTTTACACAATTAAATTTTGACAAGTCAGTAGAAAGCATACCTATGTACAGTCAAAACTGTGATCAATGGGCATCCATGGGAGAGATAAAAAATGGCCTTTATATACAAGTCAGGCTTGGGGTAATGCTACTGGTAATGGTAATGCTGTAGGAATGCATTACTTTCTTGAGAGTAATGCAATGTAATGGCACTGCATGCCGATTTGCATTCATTACTTCTAATGGTACCGGAATGCAAAATTCAGGTAATGAAGGTGCATTACTTTGCATTACTTCACCAAACCTACTACATCATATATGGTATGGATGATCCAAATAACACAAGATAAAATTGTGATGGCCTTAATCAGTCAAATAAAATATAAAATCATGAAAATTCAATGTCCCCTCTCACTTATATGTCTGCACTGATTTATAAAATAAGTATCAATTGAAGCATTTATTGTACATGCAGGCATGCACATTGTTCAGTGTAGAAAGGAGTTTAATGGTGATATTTTATACACCTTTAAGAAAAGCCCTGCTACCAACCATAACCCTTTATGCAAGATAAAATTACTATTCGACACTTGCCTTTGTTTGACCATTGGGCACTTTAGCACCTTTTTGGAGTTTTCATTGTTACATTATGTCAAGCAACATGTACCAGACTAATTATCACGAAATGCATAGTCACTATTACTGACTTTAAATACAATTTAATGTAAATTCAGTTTGGTTGTATTTTTATTTAAAGGTAAAACACAAAGATGATTATTTAAAAAACTAATAATATATTTATACATATGTACATGAATAGTTTGAATTTTTGTAAATATAAGCTACAAAACATCTTAGATTGGCAAAAAGAACTTGTCTTATGCTCAAAAGTAATGGTAATGATACTGCATTACTTGGTACAAGTAATGGTAATGTACATTTACTGCAATACTTGCCCAAAAACAAGTAATGGTACTGGTACTGAATAATTCAACTAGATCGCATAGCACATACAATGGTTTCTTTTATGAAAACTATCAATATTTAGTTAAAACTAACCTATACTAGTTGTTTTCATGTTTTAAAAAACCAAAATACTGAGTGCTACTACAAAAAGAGTGATTATACAATAGTTTATCAAACTTGTTTTTTACCTTCAGACTTTCAATGTCTCCATGTGTCCATATCATTTCGATGTCTTCCACCCAGGAACCAAGCCTCCCCTGAGATTGATTGCATTCACCGACCTTACGTAACAAAAAATATAAAGAATATATGTAGGTTCTTGTGTTCTTGCTCGCGTGTTAATTAAAGTTATCATCGTTAAAAGTTACTTGAAAAGTTTTCAGTTACAATAATCAGTAGATTTCAAAAGCTTTTTTGAATCTGGGACAAAAAAATAACCATTATTTTTTTGCCCTAGTTTCAATGAATAACATTTGCAAATAGTTCCGTAGAACTACTTTGTATGACGGTGTAATCGGAAGTGAATGCTGTCATTTCGTTGGCTTCATTGCATTGTCGTCATTTCACTGTCGCATTGCCGCCGTCTGGATTATAAAGTATAAAACGGTTTTCTACGTTTCCGGTTTTTTTTTATACCTTGTGTCTATGATACGATGTGCACATGATTAAGCAAAACGGTCCAATTGTCAATAGGAATTAGGGGAGGCTATCAATTATATTTTACACGTAAGAGAAATTACCTTCCCTCTATAGGGATAAGAAGCTTCTGTGTCTAGTCCCTTTTCCATTGCATATTTTAAAGCCATGAATGGATTACCATTGTCACAACCATGGTTACCTTGGAAACAAAATTAAACACTTCCTATGACTTCGTAATTTTTATCTTATTTTTTATTAGAATCATAATCATCAATATCATGATATCATTATAATTATTAAATGTATATTTTATTTTATGCTTTTGAGTAGATTAATGATTTCACAGAGGAAAATGTAAAAATTTCAATGAAAAGACTACTTTTTATAACCTTTCCCCATGTGGAACCTCACTTTTATTTTGTGTTTACAATTCCAACATAATCCGGCCTGTTAAGAGCAAAGCAAAGGTGAAATTGATAAATAACTTAAATTTCAAAAAGAGAAAACTTACTTAAATTCGTTCAATTAACTGATCACCAAATTTCTTGTTTAATTTTTAATTTCATTCACAACAGTTTGATAATTACATTTCTTTCCACATGAAAAATGCAAACTGTTCTTAATGACACTTGGGCATATTTAAGTATCCTACGAGCGATAACTGTAATGTAATTTATACCTAATGGTTTACTGCAGTCTAAAATATTCTGTTCTGACAACGGCTCCGCTGCTTTGTTTGGGAATTTCAGACAAGTATGACTTTCTAATGCCCCGACTGCTGCAAAGGCGTAGCAACTACAACATTGCCCCTGTAATTATAGACTTTAAACATACGATGTGGCTAGTACGCATAAGAATTTTGTTAAAAATATTCATTTACCCAACATTTAAAAATATTACCAATGCATGTATTCTGCTACCTGTTATATTTATTTTTCCCGCAACAAGCTAATTATTTGTTGTTTTCTGTGCTGACGGATTTGCATATATTTTTTTAATTAAGATGTAAAATGTTGCACTTCGAGCAGAAAGTTCTTCACATTATTATAAATGAATTTTAAATAATGGTTTTAGAAAATGTAAGATGCTTGATACCTGAAGAAAGAAGCAATAAATGCGAAATAATTGCCATAAACGGATACTATAGAAGAACACCAAAATTTAAAAGCTTTAAAGTGTTTCTGCGGAATAATGACATAGGCCAAAGGGATGAAATACCATTCTACCAAAATTAATTTTATTTTTAAAATTCAATAAAATGTTCTGTAACTTTATATCCGTTTTACTGCTATTATCAGCTGCTTTGTTGCGTACGCAGTAGCATAAAAAAAATTCGTTTCGTAAGCAAATTGTCAACCATTGATTGTCAGCCTTTCCCAGACAAACATGATTTTAAACGTTAACGCTCTCAACGTTTATTATGCAGGGTTGCGTTTCATGAAAAGTTTTTTGTCTGAAATCAGTCTTAAGACCAAAATTAAGACAATTTTGCGTTTCAAAGAAAATGTCCTAATTTAGGACTCCTATGCTATGACTCTTAATTCCTGAATAACAATGTCGGTGGGCATTTATACACTTCGAATTAAAGGGTCTGTTATTGTATTTCTTAACTTTTCTCTCGATAATGAATTTTATTTATAGTCTACAGTATTTGACTGAAGATGAAAACTGTTTATTGAAATGGGCTTAAATTAGTCCTAAAGTTGGTTATATGTCCTAGGACTTAGGATGCACACGGAGGACTTTCCATGAAACGCAGCCCATGTCTTTAAGCAGTACCATCTTTGCTCCTAATTTGTTTATCGTGTGGGTATACAATATTAATTAGTTAAAAGAAAGTTTAAAGTATGAAGTTAAATAAATAATTACCTGATCTTTCACTTCTGTGACGCAGTCTTGGTCTCTCCAGTCAACTTCTTCAGGTAATGGGTATACATTATCCCACCTCTTTGCTCTTCGTTTATGACTGGTATTAGTTTGGATATGGCTTGAGTCTAACTTGAGATTGGCATAACTCCCCTTGAACTCCTTTGATGTCTGACAAGATAATGGGTTAATGTACATTTAAGTTATAAAAGCTTACTTATTGCCCCGCCCCCTCCGGCAACCGGTATAGAAACAAAAAGTAACTTACTTATACCCCGAAATAGAAAGCGAAATGACATACATTGTACATAATTTTATTATATCATACATATTATGTCCCAAAGTAAAGGAACATTAATGTCATACCCCAAAAATTAGAAACAATACATGTATATATCTCTAATAATAAAAATTTAATGGTACATGTATTTCTCAAGTATTGAAAAAGTAATTTGTTTATTCTTTGGGTAATTTCGGGTAACCCAGTAAGGTAATTTCATTTAGACATAATTAAAAAATTCTCTGGTTAAAAGATATCTATTTAACCTCAACTGAAAAACAAGTTCTTGCAAACATATTAATCAACACGGTCGTGACCCGATTATGATGTATCGGTTGAGAGGCAGACACTTAAACCACCTTAAAAAGTTCACTAACCATATCAGCAAATTGGTTTACTCCCAACCAGTACGTATAGCCTCCAAGATCAGCCGCCTTATTGTGGAAGTAAATTGTCTTGAAATTTTGAGTAAAAACCGAATATCTGCAACAAAGGAAAAACTTTGAACATTGCACTTACAAAGACGTGTAACGAACAATATATTTTTAATTAATTACATGCACTGGCCTTTTGTTTCTTACCAACTACTACATTTGTTGAACAATATGTTTTATGCGACAGACACCAGCAAGCATCTTTTAATTCTTACTCCCCCATTGCATTATCCGCTTGAGTCTTCATTTAAATCCTATCTGTATACATAGCCTACACACGTTAACGTTCAGTACAGTTCTGAGTCAAGCCGAAAACGATAAAAGAACAGTTGTTTGGTGTCATTTTCCCCTTAAGTATTGGTGCTTTGCCACGTAGAACCATTCTCAAATATAAAACATTTAATGCCACAATTGCCTTTGCTTGGTAATATAATAGTGTTGCAGTGATCTAGCTAAAGAGACTTGAACAGCGAACAGGTTTTATAGTACTGCTAGACCTGTTTACTATCGCACAACGTAAAAATAAAAGCGACATATAACGTTATGGAAGCCAGAACTAGCAGTGATCATGAAACATGACAACCTGTTTTAAGACTTCTTGAGATGCTTGAATATTACTTTGTCCCGTCATTTTTGGTTCGTCTCAGTATTAAGTACAACAAGACAACTATCCGAGCATCATACAGAATGTAGAAAAAAGCTGATATCAAAAGAGAGCAATTTACTATAGGAAATCACAGACTAGTGTTTGACTCTGTTCATAAAACACAATAAAAAGTCCAGTGTCTCAGGTCATGCATACCTATACAAATACCATCATGAATGTTATTCAATCTTTAAACACAGGTCAATAATCGGGAAGAAGCAGAAAAAGTCATTTTATAACATTTGGTAAAGATTTTGAATACTTCTATCTGCGATTGGTTAACATTAAAGAGTCTACAAAACTGATTTAGTAGATTAAAGTTTGTTTAAGTAACAACCTGTAGTGTTCCTCTCCCCTTGTGTTGTACGATCGGTTGTATTTTGCTTTGAAAGTATTCCATTCTTTGTCGATTTCTTGCAAGTCTAGTGACATCACAACCGACGTCAAGACCAGAAGAAGAAAAGTACATTTCATCAACCTGAATTAATAAAAATATCATTATGGTTAAACTTTCAAAGCAGTCAATGACGTTTGGTAACATGTAAACTATGCATGTAAATTTGTATGAATATTAAGGAATTTTTTTTTGCTAGAATAGCTTTAGTCATTTGAATGATCGAGTGGTAGAGGTAAATTTAAACAACCATCCGCGTCTACAAGCACCAACTTAGTAAAGTCTGGAGTTTCATGTAGACATATAGGCAAATTTAAAACTGTTCAATAGAATTTCTATAAACTTGACTTATTATTAGAATATGATAACAGAACATTTTAAACGGAAAAAAAAATGGGTAACCGTTCTCATTTTCGAGTTATCTGCCCTTGAAATGGACTTTTTCGTTAAATTCAAAGGCAGATAATTTACAATGAAGCGAAACAATACATTTTTTTGTCTTCTAATTTTCATGAAGCTCACCTTCGTCTTAGTCAATATGCAAAATTTCAAGAACAAATTTAGAGTGGATATTTTTTTCCACACTTAACCGTGGCATTTTTTCTTAGAAATGACCTATTTTTATGAGTTTAAAGTACCTTTGTTTTCATTGAAAAAAAAATAACAGAAACGATGTAGGGAATTGCATGCAATTATGTATTGTATCAACAATAAAACGAAAAACATTATCCAGATGTAAAAACAAAAATTTATCTGCTCTTTAAATGACCTCAAATAAGTAGAAATTCTGATTCAGGGGCAGATAACTTAAAAACAAGAACGGTGGCTCAAATTTATTTTTCGATTATAATGTTTCTGTCAACATGCCAAGTTTAAAGAAATTCTATAGAACAGTTTTGATTTTGCCTTTATATGTCTATACAAAATCTCCTGAAAATGGATTCAAAAACATTCAACCCATTAACACAGGTTAAGAGAATAAGTGGGGAAAAATATGCACTCTAAATTTGTTCTATAAATTTTGCATATTGACTAAGACGAAGGTAAGCTTTATGAAAATAAGAAGGGGGCGTGGACGGTAGTTTGCACTTTTCAGTACCGTCCATGAACAGGCTCAATCAAACCGAGCCTGCAACATTTTCAATTGTGCTGTGTTGGACAATTGTGTTGTGTTGGACTTTCTTTAGGGATTCTTATTTTTTCTCTATTCCACGTGACACTTTAGAGTCGATTGGTCGTCAATGGGCACATTTGCCAGAATTAATTAAAATATTGAGAAAAATAAAATAACTAAATGTATAATTTGGATATTCCTATAAAAATGTTGGTAAAAAATGGTGATAAGAGTACGTAGTAATATAAAATGTGCAGTTATATGATGAATAATATTTTGTTCTTAGAACAATTTATTATCTGCTATATATAGATAGGTAATATCAGATCATGTATCTCACACTTACCAACATCTTCCACGTATAATTCTACCGTGGTTTGGTAACAAGTATGTTACTAAATACTATCAACATAATTATGTATTAGTATTAGAGATCTTGCATTATGGACCAATTAACTTTAAGTTGTGCAAGGCACGGTCTTTTATTTGAAAAGTTTAAAAGTCATTTCTAAACGGGGGAAAACTAATACATATTTATATTAGTTTGCTTTCGTTATTTATATATATGTACAATGTACACTTGTAAATGCCGAATAAAAGGAGGATGTACTTATCAATATAAATATTATATACAAAGTTTGTTGCGTTATCCAGTGTGTATATAAGCACAAAGGAAAATAGGCAGAAAATTATACAATCAAACAAAAAAAAGACAAATAACTTCTTATTTCTAAATAAAGAAAATTTAAGAAATAAATACATCTTTAACTATTTTTTTAAAGAAGAAATAAATGTATACATTTTGTGCTTACATTTCGATGCTTCGTAGAAAGTTCCTTTCTCTAGTTATATCGAATAATACATGAAACAATGTTTGATCAAATTTTATATGAATTTTATCAAAGGAAGTTTCAATTAAATTTTGGGTTAAGTAACCGCTATCTATTTCGGAAATTACGAGTTCCGGCTCTTGTTGCTGAACGTCATATCACGTGATCTTTATTGATTGTTACACAAAATATTCGTACTTCACTTATATTGAAAATTCGTTGGTATAAAATTTTGATGTTTTGTCAAATGGGTATTGTATTGATTACTAAAATCATTTATTTTGTGGATCGTCAGTTGATGTCAATTCATTCGCGATGTGCGTGACATGTGACGCACGGAAATGAGTGTTCCTCGAATAATAATGATTTTGCAGTAGATAGGAATTATTTCTTGGAAATAACTACTATTCGAGAAATAGCAGTTTAAATCCGCGATTCTGACTAAATTCCAAGATTTTCTAATTTATTTTACAGATGAATCTAGATAGAATAACACATCAATGACGAAAAAAGACTAAAGTCAAACTCAGTGCTATAATTATACATTGATTTGTTTCAGAAAATTAACAAAAAGAAACATTATGTGAGAGTTGTTATTAACAGGCAATGTGTTCACTTGCAGACACAGTCTTTAAAGAAAGCAGTCTCTTTTTTTAAAGCCCGTCTCACAAAGAGACCGGTTGGACACACGGTTCCCATACGGTATACTCGGTTATACACGGATTGACTGATGTGAGTATTTAGCTCCAACCGTACCTGGGGATAAGTTGGTACGAATGCAGCACGAGTATGTACAAAAAAGCACGGACATACTCGGTCGAATACGACTTACATACGATTGTTGTGCGGTTCCAATTAAGTACGGTCTAACACGATTAAACACGTCTTTTACTCGGTTTACTCGACTTTCACAGAGTTTACATAGGATTCCGCCGACTTTTGTTCGAGTTATGCTCGAATTATCACACAGTTTTGTATGTGTTGATATAAATTGATCCATATTGATAGCTTGTCTTAATAAATTTTCGAACTTTCAACGAAGGAACACCTATATATGTGAATAATAGTTATATAAAACAATGCCAGATGCGATATATGACAGGATAAGGGAATTAGAAATCATTATTAGACTGATAAACATTGTTCGGGTCCCCAGCTCATCACGCCCGGCAGGGTCAGGAGGTTGGAGTGGTCGGCGGGCCTTGATAGCCCTTCTTGTATTCCTTCTATGCGTGTAAACCTTTTTCTTTGGATGCATTCTAGTGCAGCAAGTAATCTGGGTAGATCTAGCAGCTGAGGGTGGCAGCATTTAGACGTAGAAAGACCGTACGAGTCTTGTGGGACCGTGTCTGCCATGTATGATTCGTACTTGAACCGTATTGGTCGTATGGCGATCGTTTGGAACGTGTGTGCACTCGTGTGAATCGTACCGTTTGACATTCGGGTGTTAATCGGGTGTTGGATGTAGGACTTGGACGGTCACGAACGATTTCCATACGATTTATGTACGATCTCAACACGGTTGGGCTCACTCATGGAGTGGACTTTAAATGCGGTTGTATATACGGCCTCATACGGGCTGTTATGTACGGTCGCTTATACGATCATACACGGATAGACATCCGTACTAGTTTTTTTAAAGTTTTAAAAATCATTCACGGCTTACTCGGATTCACTCGAATGTCCCGAGTGTAACTTGGATAAGGCCACGGTTGGTTCGGCTGTATGTACGGTTTACACGGGTGGCCAACCGTCGCAGCCGTGTGTTCTGTGTGAGACAGGCTTTAAACAGTTTGCATTAGCAGTAAAATACACGGATTTCTATAGAAAATACGGTCACTGTAAATACAAGAGCTGTCAGTAAGACAGCGCGCTCGACTATTTTCAGTGATCGACAGTAAGAAAAGGGGTGTACAATTGTAACTCTGTAAAATGTAACTTAAAGCTAACGGACGCTTGTCCAGCATGCTAGATAGTCACATTAAATAAGTGTGTGGATTTTCAACCAATTCCCTTCAGTTGCTTGAGGCAATGTCGTGGCGAGTACAATAGCTCTACCTCTTTCCTGAATAGTCGAGCTAAATATTCTCATAAGCACACAAGGTTTTCAATTAAGACAGGGGCAATAGACAGCGCAGCCACTATCAAACAATTTTCAATATCATTCATGGATTTTCCTTATAAACACAGCGTCTAAAAGTCACAGCCTGACTGCTCTCACTAACAGATATAGGGTTCCATAAAGGGCACCTCTCACTAACAGATATTCGGATTCCATAAAGGGCACAATCACTACCGAAATAGTTCTCATCAGCAACAATTTTCTTACAAGAAATCATGTTCAGTAGTTCACACGTGCACCATTTAACAATTGTCTGTAGATAATGTTTTCACTAACAAAAACAGCGTTCAATAGAAAACGCTGTCGCTATCAAAGAGTTTTCATTAGCAATCAATGTTTTCTTTAGTCTAAAAGATACGGGATTTAGTTGAAAGCACTAACATACAAAGGGATCATCGGAAAGCACGGTCATTGTCAAACATTTTTCATTAGCGTAACTTGACAAAATTTTCACTTACAGACAGGGTATTCAACAGAAGGTACAGTCACTATCAAAGAGATTTCAAGAAAAACCAATCAATCAATCGTGGTGGGGTGGTAGATTTCACTCATAAGGCACACTGAATTCTCCAGAGTATAGTTCCCTGGACAGATTGTCAAGCAGTTTACCAGTACTTTATACTATAGTTTCCTTCGCATTCGCAAGGGAATGTCATAACTTTGGTACATGCCAGAGCGAGATAAAGTACAAATGACCATAGATCAACAACCACTAGTGACCTGCACCGTGCTGAATCGAACCCGGGTCGCCCTAATTGGCAGCCCAAACCTTCACTTATTCGGCTAACTTGACGATCCCATGACCAATGGGCTAAGGGACAAAGACATGTAACATTTAGCTACATCTCCCAATTATTTAACTTAAGTGAATCGGCAATACTGTTTTTAATTTAAGCATTTTATAAATAAACACGGCCAGGAGTATTGGAAGACTTTATTTTTTGTTTACATAAGTCACAAAATGTTGATGATATAAGCTGTTATATAATATAGGACCATCCTGGACAAATATATCATACTGACCATAAGATAAAAGGTATACATATCATGTTTGCTAAATAATAAATTTCACAGAAAAGAATGATACTATGTTCAACAAAAATATCATGTGTTTTTTTTCATTAAAAATTATATCGTTCATAATAATATGAATAAAATCTACATGTATATCCAAGATGATCCATTTTAAACTGGCTTTTCAAAAATGCATGCAGAAAAACATTTTATCAAAATTACCATTTCTGAGGAATATATATATATATATATATATATATATATATATATATATATATATATATATATATATATATATATGTGTGTGTATTGTTATTCAAATGTAGATTCATTTAGATATGTAGCCCACAAAATGATCAAGTAACGATATGGCCAAATGGTAAATTTACTTCTGTAACCCACAAATATGATCATCAAATGGCAAATTTACTTTTTCTGACATTAGGGTCATCATTTTACTGTTGCCGTAGATTGAAAAACATAATATAATATATTGTGTACATGTAAGTACATGTACTTAATACTCGACATAAAAATTTATATGAGTTTTTTTTTTCTTATAGGTAGTGGAAAGGTAACATAGAAATATAGCTTTATTAAATAATTAGTGTTAAAAACGCAACTGACCTGCAATTAATTGAATCATGTACATTGAATTATCCAACCTAAAAATCTTAATTGCTAAAAAACTAAATTTTCAAATATGAAATTGCTTTAACTAAATTTTCATATATATTGTTCCAAGCCATACAAAATCATCGAAAATGTAAATCCAGAGTTTTGCATCCTTCCAAATAGAAAAAAGTACAAAATACACGTAGTCCCTATTTAACTAACTCGAACAATATCTCCTTATACATATGAAATGATATTCTATAAATGAACACAAAAAATAATAATATTTGAAAATATATACAAAAATACAAACAAAATTGTTTTAAATAAATAATATCATAGTTTCGAATATACATATGCAATAATAACATAATTTTATATCCACAGAAAATTGTTAGTTAATCATTTCTTCTAGGCAGATTAACTTGTTAAAATCTGATTAGGTCACACAGGAAGTTGTCAGTTTATCACTTCTATGTATTTCAATTACTGATAAGTTTTTTTCTACTTCCATCAATTATGTAAGTGACCACCAGATTTATGCCATTTGACCAAACTCTATATCTATTGTTAACTGCAGGTTCAATTTTGGTATAATACCTTAAAATACAAAATGTATGAACAGCATTTTTTCAAATTTTCACACCTTTTAAGAGCTCTTTTAATGTTCTTACACTTGCATTTTAAATAAAAAAATTTCATTAATAATAAATACATTGTAGTTTTTATCTATCCGACTTCCTTCAGCAGTTACTTCCCTTGACCCTCTTTATCATTCTTCAAATTGTAAACGTGACCTTTTCAATGATTTTCAGTCTTTCTCAAAGATTGTACATTTGACTACAAAGTTTCAGTCGCCACTCTGCAAAATTATTTTAAACTATGGTTTTACATCAAATACAAATACATATTAATCCTGACAAATGAAAAGCCAAGTAAGTATTCCTTTTCCCACCTCAATGTTCTCCCCCCGAAAACAAAGAAATACATCAGCTTTCATAACATCGAAGGACTTTTCTAGTTAAATCTTGTTAGTTCACAATGTCACAATGTAAGTTTAATAGTTCATAATTAAGAATTTCCCATCCTTAAATTTGATCGTTCAATACAGTTGTACAATTAGTCAAATTGATTAATTAACATGAATGTCTGGTTATTATAATCTTTATCGAGACAAAAAAAGAATTATTTAAACATAATTATTGATATTATATAAGTGCACATCTTCCTATTTTCCTGCTGTACTGACTTTCCTTTTTTTTTTCTTCAAAAAAAAAAGAAGTTTAAAGTTACAGCACGATAACACTAAATTGATGTAATGATTCTTTGAATATAATAAATCATGTTCTTTCGTAAAGTTCTCTTGTCCCTGATCGTTTTTCTATAATCCTTGGGTCAGTTTATCTATGACTTGTTCCCTTTATTTGTTTTTTTGTTTTGTTTTTTATGTTTTATGATTTATGTCACTTGTCTTGAAAGAGCAAATCTTCTTCTTGGTTAGTTCTGAGATTTTTTTTTTATTAAAAAAAAATGTCATATCATTCACTAGTGACAGAAAGTCTGTCAAACATCTGTCATTTCTTCTGCATGTGACGGCAAATTTATGACCCTTGACTTTCCGCATTCTCTATCCATCCCAGAATTCCCTATATGAGATCGCTGGAAATCGGCATATGGGGGTGGGGATTGAGCCCGCATCAGATCTGAGTTGTCAAACTTAAGGGTTGAGTCCATGTCAGCACCACTAGCAATACTTGTACCAATGCCACTCTCTGTAATGAAGAAAACATTTACTGAAAATCACACAACTATAAATGTATTCATATTCAAAATACATTATGTTTTCACATTTTCTGTACATGGAGATTATGTAAAACGAATCTTAAAAAGTAAAACAAAAGCAAGACAAAATATGATATTTACATGTAAATAATGAAAAAAAATATCTGGATCAGGCCTCTTTTGGAGATGGTATTGTATTTACATTTCCAATTTTTTTATCACATTGATTAAACAGTTGTATTTCATTCTGATAAGTTTCCCATTAGTCTCATAATTTTCTAAATACGTATAAATGAAATAACCTTGTGTTATTCCAAGAGCTCAACAATTTTATCAAAGTTAAAAATATCTTTTTGTAATAAAAACATCACATACATGTATACTGTTTCATTACCCATTAACGATCCAAGTTTTCAAGAAAAAATTTCAGTATATGAATTCAGATCTTTGATTTATTTAGATATTTATTTTCTAAATTGATGCCTAAACAAGATTTATTCTTAGATTTATTTCTCATACCTGTGGACATAAAGGTAAGCGAGCGTCTGTACGTTCGTGGACTATCGGCCGGGTTTAATGCTAGGTTCATGGCCCCAAATCCTGACTGACTGCTGTTAGATGATGAGGTACTACTGACTGAAATGATCGAGTGAGGGCGTTTGTTCCCCTGTCGTAGAAGTTCATTAGAACAAACAGCTATAGAGTTGCGGGTACGAGCTGAAATGTACATACATAATTTAACAATTAAGTAGCCAAGATATAGATATAGCCAAGATATAGTAAAATTATGAAAATTTTAAGTTTCTAAACTAGTTATGTAATCTAGTTAAATATAAATTATGGGAAGACTTTATGGAAAACAATTGTGATTAAAACAAACTTAATATTCTTCCAAACAATTAGTTTAACCTAAATATCCTATAGTGCAATGTATTTGCCCATTAATGTTTCACTGAATAAACTAAATGCTCATATCTAAACAAGTTTAAGTTCATATATAAACTTTTGGGATTTTTTTTCCTTCTTTTGATTTTTAATCTAGATACCTTCCACATACGAACATGTTCAAAGCCCTTGGCATGATTCAAACCCACAGTGGTGAAACAAGAGTAATGCCAAGTCACGTACTTTAATCACTAAGCCACAGAGACCAATAGTTTATTTCATACAACAAACATAATTGAAGCGCGCCATGACAAAACCAACATAGTGTGTTTGCCATTGCATCAGCACAGTCTGACCAGGATCCATGCTGTTTGCTTACAAACCCTATTACAAGTAGAGAAACAGATAGCGAACAGCATGGATCCTGATCAGACTGACTGTGCAGGCTTGTCTGCATCCATGCTGGCCGCAAACGCATTATCTTGGTTTTGTCATGGTGCGGCTCAATTTTAAAATATAGCAAAATTACCTTCTCTATTGCCAACAGATATGTTAATGAATCTGTCGTTTATGTTGTCACTGCTAGGCTTGATGTCCAAACATGGTTTGTTCCCTATACCCATTGTAGCTAGCTCAGAAAGGCGATTCTCTGAAATGTATAACATAAGATATTGAATATATATTAATAAACCAAACAAAAGTATTTAGTTATTGTGTCAATCATTTTCTTTTGGTTCATGCAAAAGTTTTTTTTGGTGCCATGAATTTTTGGATGTTGGCAGTATCACTTACATGTTTAAGTCACAAGTACAGGGTTTTTATTTTTATCTGAAGCAACAGATGCTCTAAAGACAAGAGCCATGTCAACATGGCCATCCCCCGCCGAATGTGTTTGCTCATTGGAAGAATGTATAATGTAGTAGAGCAGAATAATTCCATTTTAAGAGGTCTTTTGGTAATGAAAACTGATGGCTATAGTGATTACAGATTTGAAACCTATGTGAATACTGATGGCTGAAAATAACAAAGGGCAATAACTGAAAAATAATGCAGGGTAGGTTATCATCCTTGTGTGCTGCATCCCTCCTCAGTAAAATCTATCCACCTATGAAGTTTCAAGTTGATACCTCAAATACTTTTTGAGAAAAAATTGAATTGAACAATTAAGTATGAAAAATAACAAAGGGCAATAACTCAAAAATTATAAAAGGTACAGTTATCATTCTTGTGCAGTGCACACCTCCTGAGTGAGATCTATGCACCTGTGAAGTTTCATTTTGATATCTCAAAGGCTTTTTGAGTTATGCTCTGGACAAAAATTAATTTTGAAAAATAACAAAGGGCAATAACTCAAAAATAATGCAGGGCAGAGTTATCATTCTTTAGCACTGCATTCCTCCTCAATGAGATCCATCCACCTATGAAGTTTCAAGATGATACCTCAAATACTTTTTCAGATAAGCTCCGGACAAAATAGCATGAAAAAAACAACAAAGGGCAATAACTCAAAAATTGTATAGGGAAGAGTTATCATTCTTGTGCACAACATTTCTCCTCAATAAGATCTATCCTTCTATGACATTTCATGTTGATATCTCAAACACTTTTTGAGTTATGCTCCACTCAGGTGAAAAATTAGGTATGAAAAATAACAAAGGGCAATAACTCAAAAATTATGAAAGGAAGAGTTATCATTCTTGTGCACTGCACACCTCCTGAGTGAGATCTATGCACCTATGAAGTTTCATGTTAATATCTCATAGGCTTTTGGAGTTATGCTCTGGACAAAAATCAATTTTGAAAAATAACAAAGGGCAATAACTCAAAAATCATGCAAGGTAGAGTTATCATTCTTGTGCACTGCACTCCTCCTCAATGAGGTCTATCCACCTATGAAGTTTCAAGTTGATAACTCAAATACTTTTAGAGATATGCTCCGGACAAAAATTTCGGACGGAAGGACGGACGTTCTCACAGGACAGTAATTATGTGGCTACTCTATTGTTCTCTCTACTGTTCTTTTTAGCCACGCAAAAGAAAATAGCCACATATAAGCATTACGGAATGAATGACATCAAAGAGAACCTATTGTCCCTCTAGCCACATAATTACTCTCCTGTGAGTGCGGACGGACGGAAGGTCTGACGGACGGACGGACGGAGACTATTACTATATCCTCCGCCGAAAATTTTCGGCGGGGGATAAAAATAACAAATTTTGCCAATGGTCAAGGGTGATACTTTAATATACAGGCTGAAAATACATCCGATGTTACAACCTCTGAAACTAACTTAGAAAACTTCAAATCAAAACCAGGGCAAATCCATTACAAAAACTTTTGTGGGATAAGGGTTAAATATAAGATTTAATTTGATGTGAAATTAACGGCTTACCCCTGTTTCTTATAGCTTGGTTCCATAACACTTTGGTCATTTCTTTCACCCAGCACTTCTTGTGTTCAGAGCTCGGTGCCTGAAGGACATAGTTCTCACCAGAGTTACGACGTCGCCACCAGATCTCAAACTTGTAACCGGAACCCTCGTAGTCCTGGGTCAAACCAATATCTGACATCTGAAAAGGATAGGCATCAGAATTTATCTTTAAGCTGACAAAAAAATGAACATGTTTCAAAGAATTCAAACTTTTGATAATAGAATATCCAAGATGTCCCTTAATGTATAAAGTCTGATAAAATTTCCTATTTCAATATAAAATTTCTGAGAGAAGTGTTAATTATATAGATCTTTATCTGAAAAAATATCATTATTATTTGTTATATTGTTCTGTTTTGCTTCATCTTAATCCTATATTTATAACTTTTAAATAACTAGTCCCTGTCTTAAGCAGAATATTTTAATTCAACTTGTAAACTAAAGAGAAACAAAAATGTTTTACCTTAAAGCTAAATTTATAGACGTAATTATCCTGGAAGCCAGTTCTGCTCCTCTTTGTTTTACTAAACAGAATGAGGTCTTCAAACAGGAAAACATGACGCATAAATTTACGTCTGCCGTGGTACACCAGAAATTCATCTTGACGCAGTAGTCTCCCTTGTTCTTGAAGATTTACCTGTAACAGCAACGAAAAATATGTATAAAACAGTTGATGTCAAAGTAGGCTAGCAGGTACCATTTTCGAAACTTTAAGCATATCAAGTCTGCAAATAATTTCTAAGACAATTTAAAGTAATTAATATATAAGCTCCTTTCTGCATTGATAGGGCCTTCTTATTATTTTATGTTTTAAGATTAAATTCTGCATTCATAGCAAAAACAAGAGCTGACAGTAGAATAGCATGCTCCACTATTCTCAAAGTTTGATACTAAAACAAGAGTCTGGATAATATAGATTTTTCTAAGTTCAAAAAGAGCCTTATTTGTGTCATAATTCTATTGGAGATATGGGCCTTGGTCAGTGACCTCCTGTTATGCTCTTAAATAAGTGTGTGAATTTTCAAACAATTCCCGTCAGTCCTTTTAAAGATACCAACTTGCACTCAAAACCTTAAACAAAAAGTGATGACGACACCTTGATGAGTACAATACATCTCTGTATTCTTTGAAAAGTCTACCTAAAAATGTGTCAAAGATTATAACAAAACAGATCTTACATCACATTCCTTCAAAGCATCCATGGCCAGAAGATCGTTGCCATGACGAAGTTGGAATCTCACCATCTCTTCGGCAGCCTTGAGGTCGTGATACTCGGCTGCTGTACGAGGACACTCCTTCAGTACTTGTTTGATCAGCAAGGCGTATTTTCCCATTCTCTGGACAGGTTTTAACAGGTAACTAGACAGATCCATCTTATCTCCCAGCTCTAACTGCTTCTCCTATAAGTATTCAAAGGAAAAATAATATAAATTCAGTTACATATTTATTTTCGGGAATTTTCTTAAAAAAGTTTTAGAATATTCTAAATTTAGGTTCAAGTCTTTGTCCTGAATGCAAGTAGATAACAAACTTTTGACTTAATTAACATTTAACCTGCTATCGGCAACAGATTCTACCCATGGAACCTTAATAGGTCCAAAATCTGCCAACACATTTGTGCCATGTGATCAGGGTCTACCAGTATACTTTTTGCTACTCACTCAGTACTTATAATTTTCCCTAAAAATGGTGGTGTTATACTAACTGAATGGACAAGTCCATTTAAGATATTGAGCCGAGTAAGGTTTAATGTATTCATGTAATGTTAGAACATTGCACTTTTACTTACTGTAAAGAATACTCTCTTATATATAATGAAAACAATACATTCTTTAAACAATATAACTCTGATCAAGTTATGATTATTTTCATCATACATTGGAAGGAAAATGTAACTTGTTACATACACTACTTTGGGACACAATCATATGGTTAAACAAACATTAATTTTCATCATGACTTTCTCCCTAAATATTTAATAAATTATTATACAAAACTTAAGACTTTCTATATTTTTGTTCATTAATGCTTAATTTCCGAACACCTTATGAAAATGACATCATCAGGTTATGACATAATAATAAAGAAGATATTTACTCTAAAGAAACCTTTGCCATACTCAGCCATCAGGGTGTCAGATTTGGGTTTGTTCTTGTTGTATAAAGCATACAAATGGAACTGGTTCTCCTGTAGGATAAAACATCATTTGAATAACAAGTTAAGGGCAAACATTTACATTCAACAAAAGCACCGCATGGGAGTTCTTAACATTTGTATGTTGAAATAAACATTCTGACAAAATCCTATGTTAACAAAGGGTGATAACTCAAAAAATATAGCTTTCAAAATTATGTCCCTTTTCTAACAACTGCACATTGTCATGATGAGAAAGTATTCCATATTTCATGACTTTTAGAATTGTTTGAATAATGGGTTACATTAAAGTTTTGCATGATGACGACAATTAAAATGACAATGCCTTTGCAGCGATCATAATAGCTCGACTTTTCCACTAAAAAATGTCCTACAATAAAAATGTTCTCCAGATACTGAATGACAATAAGAAAAGCATTAAGCATATATCAAAAACACGCCATATAAATACAAATTACTTTTAATTCTGTTGAATTGATATAGTCTTGATCTGTAACTATTTCTTAATTTTACTAGATACAGAATAGATTCAGAATTGATATAGAAATTTTCTTTGGTAGAAAGTACTTACATGCATGAGAAAATAACGAGCTATAAGAAAAGGGTTCCTCTTCGAAGCTTCCATTTCCTGTAGAAAGTACTGCTGATGGAACTGAAATATTTTCTCCATATTTCCAAATATAACGTTCCTCTTGCCTCTCAAAGCCTGCGGCACATCTTCACGCTCCATCTCGGGGATATAGTTCTCAACGATGAAGCGTAGAGAGCAGACGTAATCTCTCTCTGTCTGTACCATCTCATTCATTATCAGTTGAAGTGTTCTGAAAAAAAGTATACCATTCCTTATTACACAGTCTATAATTTTTTTGGTCAGTCATTATTTGCATGCAAATTCAATGATTTTTTTTTTCAAGAGAGGACGAGAAGAGAGGTTTGAAAGGCAATGGGAAAGGGCTTTTAAGTAACAACAATGCTCTAAGATACCCAGTTTTTCCAGCTTTACTGGAAGATGAATTATAGTGTTTTTGCTTCAAGAACTTAAGTGGGGGGGGGGGGGCATGGTTTTAATAAGAACATGCACAACTCTTTTACAGAACCTTCTTTCTTCTCATTTTATGAAAACAATTGAGCCGCGTCATGACAAAACCAACATAATGGGTTTGCAACCAGCATGGATCCAAACCATGCTGTTCGCTATCAGTTTCAAAAGAGTTGGTAAGCGAACAGCATGGATCCTGATCAGACTGCGCGGATGCGCAGGCTGGTCTGGATCCATGCTGGTCGCAGACGCACTATGTTGGTTTTGTCATGATGCGGCTCAATTAAATTTTACATTCAAATCTGATGCATATAAATTGATCAAACATGATTTTAAATACAGAATAATTTTTTGTTTGTGTTAAATTATGAAATATAAATAAAATAAAATTAGTTTGTGATTTTCTCTACAATTAACATACCTTTTACTTTTAGTTTCTTCTTCTGACAGCTTAAGGTTAGCTATGGGGTGTAGAGGGGTGTTCACTGCTTGTTCAGTCAAATGAGTGTTAACAGGAACAGGGGTCCACTCTTTACGTACAAAATCTGTTTCTTCAGCTCCCATGGAAACAACACCTTCATCCTCCTCTGGTAGACTTTAAACAAAGGTATATACATGTAATTAATTAATAATTTCTTTGTTTCTTTGCTCTGATTTTTCATTAAATAATGGCCAAGTCCTTGAAAATTAATAATAGAATGCTTATGTAAGTTACAATTTTATTTAGGAAATATCTTATTAAGATATAATAAATCTACAAATTTGAGTTCTGATTCATAAAACATAAGTACAATGTAACTATATGTTTAAATGAATAATTTTTGTAAACAAAATGGTAATGTTATCTAACCAACAAATGAATGTGCAGCCATGTCTTGCTCTATACTGGTGGCAAAGACTGATCACTTTCGGTTCCAGTGGTTACTAGTTAACAATTTTTTTTTTGGTTGATTTGGTTTTATGTCGCATCAAGGTCATATGGTGACTTTCCAACTTCACTGGTTGAGGAAGACCTCGGGTGCCCCTCCGTACATTATTTCAGGCACAAACAATGTACAGAGGGGCCCCTGATGTCTTCCTCCACCAATTAAGCTAAAAATAATAACAAAACATAATGAAAGCTCCATTAAATTTTAAAATCAATGGTCCAATACAATATTATTTATTACCTAGGTAGACTATCGGAGCTTCCAGTTATCATACTGTCTGTCCGTCCATTCTGCCTCAAAGCCCTGCTACTCTGCGTCTCACTAACTGCCCCTTGATTCTCTTCAATGATCGGAGATGCCAATCCTGTCTGAGGTGTTGATATTGCACGTCGTAATTGTTTTTTCAGATTCCGCGTCTGAGAAGCACTTCCCCCTATTTGATACTGGGGCGAACCATCTGAGGTTTGAATAGCATTCGGAACCACAAAGTGTCTTTGGTCCGAATCACGTAAATTTTCTTTCGATGAATCTGCCATAAACTGACTAACATTAGCACCATGATGTTTATCACTACTTTGATCCTGATACCCTGAAGTTGGTCCTTGAAAGTTACATGGTTGTGCGAAAGAATGTGCGGGCGAACTATCTACAGATCGGCAAGGTGAGATTAAACTGTGACTCGGAGAACATGGAGATATGATAGAATGAGTTGGAGATGAACATGTGGATGATGATGAGGACGATAATGACGTGGATTTTTTCAGCTTTTCCATTAGCAACCGCGAATAAGTCTTAGGCACAACTGGTGTACTCGTTTCTTTCGGTTCCCAGTGCGATTTAGTACTGGTTCCCTGGCACGAACTAGCAACATATTTAATATCATTAGGTTGAGAAACAGCACTATATGAGGGTGAACTAGACAAACTAGAACTATTTCTTTGATTTGAACTAAGAGCAGACGGGGATTTAGTCCGAGATGACAACACATCTTGCTCTAACTGATCCCTAATTTGCTGTAATGTATTTCCTCTCAAAGTCAACAATTTCTGAGTTTCAACACATCTGTCTTGTGCAGTTGCACACTGATCTAAAAGTTTATCATTTCCAAGTCTTTTTGCTATTTCCAACATGTTTTTGAAAGTGTCGTCTGCTATAGGTGGATGCTCTTGAAGATACAGCTCCAAGCTGTGTAGTAACTTTTCAAGACCCTCCGGGGTTGCACAGTGTTCCATTTTCATACTGGCTACATATTTCATTGCCTCCAATGCCCATTCATATGTCTGAAAATCAAAGAAGATTATGTATATTGACTTGTTAAAAAACATCATCTCAGAAAGATCCATCAATTTTGATACTCATAACATTAAATTTTTTAAAGACTAACATTTATTATGATAACAAAATTTTAGATAATACATGTAGATTTGGTTCAGTTTTCAACAATCTGAGTAACTTTAGTATGCAATGCAACATTTATTTACTGTATCAAACAAACAGGCAAATAGATAAGTAAAGTTTGTTTGTTTTGTTGGGTTTTAAGTCAAACTGTAAAGGTCATCAGCAACTTTCCAGCTTTACTCAGGTAAAGGAAGTTGATCCTCAGGTGCCCCTTTTATTATTTCAGGTACAAATTGGCACCAGAGTAGAACCACCAAACTTCTGTATTAAAGCTAGCTGAATAGCTTCCTCACATGAAAGAATTCGCACTGGCGGAATTCAAATCCACAGCACTGAGGGAAAAGTGATCTGAAGTTGGGAGTGATCTGAAGTTGGGAATCTTAACCACTCGGCCATGGTGGCCTTCCCAGCTTTACTCAGGTAAAGGAAGTCCTCAGGTGGCCCTTTTATTATTTCAAGCACAAACAGGCACATGAGTAGAACCACCAACCTTCCGTAAGCTAGCTGAATAGTTTACTCATATGAAAGAATTCTCACTGGCGGTAAGACTGCATGGATTTTTGGCACTGTACTTGTAAATTAGAAGTCAACATCCCTGCTTTCCAAGTGAATAAAATATACTTCGTATAACCATATCTTAATTTTAATCAAAAATCTTAATTTGTATATATTTTATAATTGACTAAATCATATTGTACCTTATCTAAGTACTGGTAACATTTTGAAGTACCCTCAATTCTCTCCCTTGTTTCTTCCAAACGTTCCGAGAACTGTTGTAGATGGCGCTTCAACATTCTGGCTAGTTCCTTGTACCCCGTGACCTCGTCAAAGTCTCCAGACTGAGCTAATGTACTTGCCTCCTCTAAAAGATCATTTCCTTTTTCTATGTGAGTCTGAAAATAAAATAAAAGCCATTTTTACTAATTTGTAACATCTTATTTTAGCCACAGTGAGCAAAATAAAAACTTTGCTTTTTTTTGTTGTATAGTAATTTTTAAAATGCTGGCGCAAACTGAACCTACCCATGCAATCAGTGCACACCAAGATCAGCAGGCATACCTATGCCGTCTGCACTGTTCACTATTCAGTTAGTTCATATTTTGAACTTTTCCCCAAGAAATAATTCCACTTATGAAAGAACACATAGAACAAGATTTTCTGCTGTAACATTGAACCATTTATCTGTGTTGTTTTTCTTCTGATTTCAGAAAATGGTTCATACTGATATTATAAAAGATACCTGAAAATTTTATCTTGAAGTTTTGACATCATTAATTCTAGTATAAAGTTGCACTACATGTATTACACATTATTACATGTAGATGAATATATTCCAGTAATAACAATTATAAACATCCACAATCAAGATACACTGTTGATATTTCAACAGTAGTGCAAATGAGTTTTAAAGACAGAATGAGCCTGCACTTGAAATCTTTCAAGATAACTTATCGCAATTTAACTGCACAGTCAGGTCAGTTTAGGTTGTAAGGAAGATATCCGTATCTTGGATAAAGTCAAAAGTCACATAACTTTGCTCAAAACAAAATCTCCACCTAACTTGTTCAAATACAAAAAAAACTTTGCACAAAACATTAGTCAGCTTCATTAGATATCTAGAAAAATTGTAGATTTATTTTGAATACAAAAGTTTCGAATAATTTTCAATTTATTTCATCTCTAAAAATAAAAATAAAAATATTGGCAAACATGTAACTACGTACTTCTATTCCAGCCAGATACTTGTTATAATTGCCTCTATAATTATTCCAATTACAAAAATCAGAATGCAAAATCAAGAACAAAAGTCGAAAAAAATTCAGCTGCAACTTAATTTGAGCATTATATTTTCTGTTCAAAACGGGCACCTAAATTTATAAGAATAGTTATCCTAACTGACGCATCCCCTTATAATTTTTTAATACATTTTTCTTGAAATATTTTTGCTCATCTGGAGGCATGCAGCTTTAGAAATATCCTTATATTTACATCATCCATCACCATCATTCCATCCTCATACACCATAGATGTTTCATTTTGTAACGTCAAATTCCGAAAAATAATATCAAAAACTCCATTTCAAAATTAATGCAATATTTTAACACTAAAGCATATCATTCCAACACAAAATTTTTTATAAATCAACAAAGGAAATAAAAAAAAGAATAAATGAACGTAATTTCACCTTAAATTCTGCTCTTAAAAAATTATTTAGAAAACATTGAACACCTGAGTATAAAGCACAACACTTGTGATGTAACAATATTATAATGTTATTTTCAGCCAATAACCAGGTAAAACAGTCTGGTGACACTGTGCTATCACAAACGTTTCTAGGGACAAAATCAATGCTTTATCAACGTGCGCTATTTATTAGTCTGGAACTATTTCTCCTGGAGAATTGATCGAGACAAACTAATCCATGGGTGTGACACACCTGTAGAGAGCATAATTAATATGCTAAACACCATTGATTGACATATCATGCTTAATTAGGGTTTACAGAATCTGAAAATAGCATAAGGATAATTAAAACCACATCTTTAATAAGGGTTTACAGAATTCTAAAATAGCATAGTGATATAAAACCACCTAACAGAAAAGTTCTAGAAAGTGCTTTGATTGCTATAACTTAGGAGCACTGCATGAGGTTTTAATGCTCGTCTGTTAAAATAACCAATTTTGACAAAATTAAAAAGGGACATAAATCCAAAAATATAGCTTTCAGAAATATGCCCCTTGTCTTACAACTACATCTAGTCAATATATTAGTATTCCAAGTTTCATGTTGTTAACTTTTAAAACAATTGAATAATGGGCAACATTAAAGACTTTTTGCACCATGACATCAATGACACAGCAGCAATCATAATAGCTCAACATTTCCTTCAAAACAGACGAAATAAAGAAACTGCATAAAACTTTTTGAAAACTCATACCTTAATCATCATTCAAATAACATCCTTTCAAATAAAGTTCAGTCATATAACTAAACAGTTACATTTTGAATATCAAACTTTTCTTTCCTGTAACAACAGAAGCAGACAGTCGAAGTAAGAAGATTTTAAAGTTTTTCACCAATTAAGCTGATACCACCGAACAGTATCTGTTCAAACAGATCCTAGTGTTAAAACAAGACATGTTGTATGAAAACATACAAATTCCTGACAAGATAACACCCTCCAACAATATAAACATACATTATAAACAGCTTAGAGATTATTCTAAACAAACATCCTTTGGCTTAGAGGCTATTTATATTTTTAATTGTCTTTTGGCATAAATTTTAAAACAATGTGTTATATTTGATACCTTTACGGAAAATAATAATGCATGGTGATAAATTTTAGGACTGCAAGCAAGCTTCTTTTTTTCTTTTTCTTCTTTTTTGGATTTTTTTCTATACAAACTTATTCTATTAAATTTATTTCATGTACATGTATATTAAGCATCTAGTAGAAATTTAAATGTCTGACAGCAGTCCTACACATTTACCCCCTCCCCTCAAGACTGCTGAATTTCAGTAGGGGCTTATCAGCTGGTAAATCACTTTTGGGATTTTAAGAAGTTCTAAAAAACTAGCTTGGACTGATCTCTTAAATTTCTTCCAGGCAGATATCGAAATATCTTCGCATTATTCTAATCAATACAATTCTGAAAAAAAACGTTTCAACATCTGTCTTTTTAGTAGAAGTTCATCGTGATAAAAAGGTTTCTTGAATTAATGATTAAAAATAGCTACCCTGATTACGTAAAGGAGATCCTATTATATGATAACAGATCAGACAGATAATATAAGCTGTTATCCTAGTAACCTTTGATCATGTTGTTAAAAAAATACAACACATGAACAAAACAACACTAATGGTCCAAGTTATGTTGGGAATTTATGTTAGATCTTAAAATATGTTCTAGGTCTGCTAATCTCTAATTATCTGATAGGGAAGAAAAAGTAAACACAATTCATTTATTGTTTAAAATCAGATGTTACTGCTTTCTTTTTAATTCCTTATTATAAAAAAAAAGAAAAAAATCCTTATCATTAATCACTTTTGGTCAGATTTAGCATTGAAAATAAATCACTTTCACTCATTTAGCATTAAAATAGTCAAGCCTTAAAGTACATGTAGAACTTTTTATAGTTAGATCTTATAATTTTTCATATCTCAGACCTACAAAGAAAATTTGCAAATTGCATAAAAAAAATCATTAACAAGTCTAACATACATGTAAATGGACCAACCCTTGTACATCTTCCAAAAAAAAAGAAAAAACCTAATTTCTTTTTTTTTAATTAAGATGGATGTAGTGGGAGGTGGAAGGTTAAGACAAAATAAATTCCAGTAAATTGCTCTAAAGCAGAATAAACAGCAATAATTATTGTAAAGATATATGCTAATAATATACAAAATGTAAAATAAACTTTGCCATTACACTAGCAGATATATTATAAACACAAAATACAGTATTCAAACACTTAAGAAAAACTATCTAATTAATAGTAAATAACATATTGAAGCACCTTAATCATTGATACATCAATCAAAACCACAAATTTCCAACAAAATCATTTAACAACTCAACAAGTTGCTATGCTACTGTCAGCCGATATTCCAGTAAAATCAATCAATGTTTTCTCAGTAGATTAGAAGAGATAACCCCTGTCAATCAACAAACTTGTTTTTTCTACAAATACACAATCAACCAAAACCACAAGGGAAATATACAAAATGTAGTTCAAGACTTCACTGTATGAATTTTGTAGCTAGGGAAATAAGATTTTTAACTTATTCCTTTGCAAATTGTTGGTTAGTGCAGAAAAGTCATCAATTAAATGTATACTGGCGGAGAAGCTATTTGCAAATTCTATCTTTGTAACATGGCCGATATGTGTTTGTAAAGATAATTTTATAGCAGGTACAAGTTGGGCATAAAACAGACATATTACTTTTTAAATATCTCTTCAGATTCTTATACTAGCAGATCATGTCAGATGGAAATTGCATCATAAACGGCTGTATTTAAAGCTGGCACAGGACCGGAAAAACACCACAATCTTCGAGCTCGATGATACATTCCATAATTATACAACTTCCCAATTTGGGCTCCGTATTACCAAAGTGTAATATTTAGCTTAAATAAGCATCAGTGAAATGACATTGACCCAATTAAAATAAAATCCTCCCAGAAAAACAACAGTAAAATGCATGAAAAGTGACAACATTCAAATATCTTTGAAGCATGAGAAAATTCAGGACAGATCAGCCATCATGGAAGATGGACAAAAGGACAAACCATTAGCCCTAATTTATGCTCCTGTTGGCTGTTTACAGATCACAAATTGATAAACAAATACACAAAACCATTGTATGTAGAAACTGGTAAATGTCCTGCTGACTGCAAAGTAGCTAGCTCAACAAAATAACTCCATCTTCGCCATTTATTAAGATATTATGTTTGAGTCAATGCCAAAGATGAAACACTAATGAGTGTTTAAACAGAGCTAACATACAACCGATGGGCGTTAATGGACCTGTTAATACAGTACAAGTGTTGTATTTTTTGTTCTATAACAAATCTCGCCTCATTAAACATTGTAACTTATGGTTAAATATATTGAAAATGACATATGATCATGATTCCAACATGAACTTCCTGTTTCCTCATAAACTGGTTCTCTGATTTTCACTGTAACAAACATTGAGGAGTTCTAAAAAAATATAAACAAAAAGGACCCAGTCCAAGTACAAATTAGCCCTTATTTTAAAGGTAGAATAAGTAAAACAATACTTAGAAATGTTCAGACAACCAGACTCTAAACAATTCGGTTTTTATATTTTATTTTTGGCTCAATATCTACAATTGCTTTATGAAAACATGCAAGGGGTGGGTGGATATATCTACTGGTAACAGTTAATATCGCAATCACCAGTCAACATTAACCAGTTGACAATCACCTAACAAATAGTAAAACTTGATCCTGTCAGGTCAGTCATTAGCCATTTTGCTATGTAATGTCCTGTTTTGCAATAATACTGTATTTGGGTTCTTAGAAATCATTTACTAACCACTTTGTATTAAAAAGTTACTGCCTACTTCTTAATTGATTATAAATTATATGAAATGAGTGGAGGTCTTTGAAACAAAATTATGCTTTAAACCATGGAATTGATATTAAGAACAGAAGGTCAATAATCTTTAGACAAAACTGACCTATATGGGTAATTAGTAAAATATGGACGTTCATCAAGATTGATGCAAATAAAAAATCTTAGAAAAATAAAATGTCAGTGTTCCATAAACCTTTCTATGTATGTTTGAAACACATCATAAACAGATGTAAATTGATAGGAAACATTAGTCATCAAATGATGATAAAAATGTTCGTCTTTACCTACTGATAAGCATTTAGGCTTTTATTACAAAAAATTTAAAAAAAGCCTGATGCAAACACCTGTTTTACACTGATTTTAGGTAAAAGAACAAATCAGGATAAAAGGTGAAATCTCAGGTAAACATCTCTTGCCCTGAACCTGACCCGACTGATTTGAAAACCTTTCACACTTCCTACCGATATTTATTTTTGATTTAGTTTAGTTTTATATTACTAAAATAAGATTAGGTGAGTTTACAATTTCCTGGCACTTCTTCTAGAAACAGATGATTATAATACTTATAACAAACAAATCACTTCCCATGTATTTTTAAACAAGTATAACATGAAACACTTTTCAAAATGTTTGATTTGTTGTGTGTGTTTTTTACAAAAAAAAAAGATAAATAAAAGCATGGTGTAGATGACAACCTGACTAGCAAGTGGTGGCGTGGCCGAGTGGTTAATGCGGCGGACTAGTAATCTATTGGATTGCTGACCGAGTGGGTTCAAACCCTGTTAGTGGCAAGCCATTGTTTCCTTGAGCAAGAAACTTTACATTCATTGCTTATAGTACTGGTTGGTTCCAGGAAAGGATTTGAGAGTGTTTCAATAAGCTTATAGCTTCAAACACAATCAAAACTAAAATAAATTTGTATAAACTAAGCATCTTGGTATGGGTACATAGAGAAGTACCTAAACCCAGTTTTCAATATTTCTCCCTTTGTATACATACATTGTTTTGTTTTGATTGGGTTTTACGTCACACCGACACAGTATAGGTCATTTTGAGGACGTTCCAGCTTTACTGGTGGAGGAAGATCTCAGGTGCCCCTCCGTGCATTCAGACACAAAAGGGCACCTGAGTAGAACCACCGACGTTCCGTAAGCTAGCTGGATAGCTTCCTCACATGAAAGAATCCAAAGTCCCTGTCGGGATTCGAACCCACAGTGGTGAGGGGCAAGTGGTTTGGAGTCAACGACCACGGACGCCCCATATACATACATAAGTTAATGTTATGCGATAATGTTAAGTACAGGGTTACTCTGGGGAAAGATAATAACTATACAACATAACTAGTGTGGGAAGACCTAAGATACAACTTGAGAACTTCAGACATACCCCAGCCGGGATCTTTGGTAAAGCTACCCAACCACCATACATCTCAGTATTAAATTGTCTTAAGCCCTTTGAAAACTAATGTTACACTGTTTGTCAACATTTGCATGGTTTATGTGCAATCACACCTTAACCCATTGCTTCATGAGCATTTTGTGAAAAATGGCTGTTTTCATTGAAAAGTCTCCCGTTACAAGTTCAAATTGCTATAATACTATAAAAACTGCTTCAACACTAATCAAACTTGGCACAAATGTTGACTGGACCATTGCCCTTGAAACAACATGCTCAGGCTTAAATTTTCTGTTACCATGGCAACGAGGGGACATCTCAAAATTGCCAAAAATCACTATTTTGCGTTGATTTTTTCCATCAAAATTGATTTCAAAGTGCTGCAACTTTTCAATGGATTGAGATAGAGTCAAATGCTTTTCAGCGTTGGTTACACGTTACCTTATGATCAATCTGGGGTCATTTACAGCCTCTCACAAGTCCAAAATTATCTTGGCGATGAGGGGGACTCCGCCCCCCTTCAAACCCCCCAAACAGAAGGGGGCACATCCCCCTTCTGGCAACCCCCTGATGTATCTTTTGGTTGGGGGGCCGCGCCGAAAAAGAGGTCACTTTTTTTAACAACATTTCTCAAACAAAAACAAGTGTTTGGGGCCTAAATAAGGCGTTTTTTCATCATTTGAGACAACAAAAAGGGGGGGGGTGAAAAAGGCGTTAAAAGGCGTGTATATGAAGTAATGGGTTAACAGAAAATGATGAAAATGCTTGAAATTACCCTAAATCGCGTTTTTTCATGTTTGAACATGGCCTGTCATATAAATTTGAAGAAAAATTGTTGTTTTGTAGATTTTTTTATTTTTTTCATTAACCCATTGCTTCATGAGCATTTTGTGAAAAATGGCTGTTTTCATTGAAAAGTCTCCCGTTACAAGTTCAAATTGCTATAATACTATAAAAACTGCTTCAACACTAATCAAACTTGGCACAAATGTTGACTGGACCATTGCCCTTGAAACAACATGCTCAGGCTTAAATTTTCTGTTACCATGGCAACGAGGGGACATCTCAAAATTGCCAAAAATCACTATTTTGCGTTGATTTTTTCCATCAAAATTGATTTCAAAGTGCTGCAACTTTTCAATGGATTGAGATAGAGTCAAATGCTTTTCAGCGTTGGTTACACGTTACCTTATGATCAATCTGGGGTCATTTACAGCCTCTCACAAGTCCAAAATTATCTTGGCGATGAGGGGGACTCCGCCCCCCTTCAAACCCCCCAAACAGAAGGGGGCACATCCCCCTTCTGGCAACCCCCTGATGTATCTTTTGGTTGGGGGGCCGCGCCGAAAAAGAGGTCACTTTTTTTAACAACATTTCTCAAACAAAAACAAGTGTTTGGGGCCTAAATAAGGCGTTTTTTCATCATTTGAGACAACAAAAAGGGGGGGGTGAAAAAGGCGTTAAAAGGCGTGTATATGAAGTAATGGGTTAACAGAAAATGATGAAAATGCTTGAAATTACCCTAAATCGCGTTTTTTTCATGTTTGAACATGGCCTGTCATATAAATTTGAAGAAAAATTGTTGTTTTGTAGATTTTTTTATTTTTTTCATTAACCCATTGCTTCATGAGCATTTTGTGAAAAATGGCTGTTTTCATTGAAAAGTCTCCCGTTACAAGTTCAAATTGCTATAATACTATAAAAACTGCTTCAACACTAATCAAACTTGGCACAAATGTTGACTGGACCATTGCCCTTGAAACAACATGCTCAGGCTTAAATTTTCTGTTACCATGGCAACGAGGGGACATCTCAAAATTGCCAAAAATCACTATTTTGCGTTGATTTTTTCCATCAAAATTGATTTCAAAGTGCTGCAACTTTTCAATGGATTGAGATAGAGTCAAATGCTTTTCAGCGTTGGTTACACGTTACCTTATGATCAATCTGGGGTCATTTACAGCCTCTCACAAGTCCAAAATTATCTTGGCGATGAGGGGGACTCCGCCCCCCTTCAAACCCCCCAAACAGAAGGGGGCACATCCCCCTTCTGGCAACCCCCTGATGTATCTTTTGGTTGGGGGGTCGCGCCGAAAAAGAGGTCACTTTTTTTAACAACATTTCTCAAACAAAAACAAGTGTTTGGGGCCTAAATAAGGCGTTTTTTCATCATTTGAGACAACAAAAAGGGGGGGGGGGGTGAAAAAGGCGTTAAAAGGCGTGTATATGAAGTAATGGGTTAATTAAATGTTCAATCCCTACATAACAAATAGACAAAATGACAGGTTGATGAATATCCAAAATATCTTTAAAATAATATCTACTAATAAAAGGAGACATTATTGTACAGAAATGTTACTCCAGAAATTTATAGCTGTTGTTAGAATTACAGAGATCATGAAAATTTTTGTTACTTCCTGCAAAACTCCAGGTACACCACAAGACTATTCTTTGATATATTTTTGATAATGTACATAACATGTCTGAAAATTCATCTAACATCCATATTATAAGGTTAGGTTTAAAGGTGAAAAAGCAAATAAATGTGAAAAATAAGATATTTGGAGTGGTAAGGCCGAGTAATTGCCGAAATTAATGCTTCTTCTATGATAAGTTTGTTGTTATTTTATCTGGATTTTACATTTTTGGTCATCATAATCTTTCAGGCGGTCAGTCCATCCAACACACTTTTCTGGATAACTAACCAGTTATTTCTATGCAAGTGACTGACTACTAATCGCACATGATTTAAGAAATCAGTGGTGAGAAAGAATTGTTTAAAACGCACTTTAAATAGTAAAATATTTTGCTAAACAATCTTTCATCAAAAATAATTTGAGATATTTTGCATAAGTATATACAGATATACACTTACCATTGCAGCATAGTAAAATTTCTCAAAATCTTTCTGTTGGACTCGTACTGCCTTCAAATTGTCCGCCATCACAAGGTGGCGCTGTAAACATTCGTTACCCTGGGTATGTAACCAAGATATAACCTGGAATATAAAATAATACACATTAAATGATGATAAAATAATTAAAACAAATTTTTCTTACAAATGATTTGACAATTTCATTGACATATTTACATTAGTGACGTCAGTTTAATTTTGTATGAAATGGCTACATTATAATACAAATCTGCTATTTATGTCCTTGTTATTTAGTATGTCAGTCATATTCTTTTACAGGTAATAAAACTATAATACACACCCCCTTCTGACTCAGTGCTGTAAACTGTCCTTTAAATGGACTTACCCATTCCAAAATATATTCTAGAAAGTCTTATCTTTGCCCAAAGAAACAAGAGGGCCATGATGGCCCTGAGGTCGCTCACCTGTATATAGCCCCCCCCCCCCCCCCCCGCCCAATTTTTACCCAAGGGCTTTTATTTGTTTATTTGAACAGACTTGGTAGACACCCATAAGAAGATGTTTCATGCAAAACATCTAAGTTCTAGCTCATTGGTTTTTTAAAAGAAGATTTTTTAAGTTTTTACTATACACATAGAGTAAAAAACAATGACACCCCTCGGGCAGGGCCAGTTTTGACCCCTGGGCTTTTATTTGAACAAACTTTTGTAGATATTTACTTAAAGATGTTTCATGCTTAATATCTAAACTCTAGTTATTTGGGTTTTTTTCAAAGAAGATTTTTAAGTTTTTTGCTATGTATATAAGGAAAATCAATGACCCCCAGGGCGGGGCCAGTTTTGACCCAGGGCTTTTATTTGAACATACTTGGTAGACGCCCATTAGAACATGTCTCATGCTAAATATCTTAGCTCTAGCTCTTTGGGTTCTTTAAAAGAAGATTTTATAAGTTTTTACTATATGCATATAAGGAAAATCAATGACCCCTGGGGAGGGGCCAATTTGACCCCAGGGGTTTTATTTGAACAAACTTGGTAGACATTCACTAGAAGATGTTTCATGCCAAATATATAAGCTTTAGCTCTTACAGTTCTTTAAAAGAAGATTTTTTAAGTTTTTACTATATGCATATAGGGAAAATCAATGACCCCCTGGGGCGGGGCCAATTTTGACCCCAGGGCTTTTATTTGAACAAACTTGGTAGACATTTACTAGAAGATGTTTTATGCCAAATATCTAAGCTCTAGCTCTTACGGTTCTTTAAAAGAAGATTTTTTAAGTTTAAACTATATGCATATAGGGAAAATCAATTACCCCCCAGGGCGGGGCCAATTTTGACCCCAGGGCTTTTATTTGAACAAACTTGGTAGACATTCACTAGAAGATGTTTCATGCCAAATATCTAAGCTCTAGCTCTTTGGGTTCTTTAAAAGAAGATTTTTAAGTTTTTACTTTATGCATATAGGGAAAATCAATGACCCCCTGGGGCGGGGCCAATTTTGACCCCAGGGCTTTTTATTTGAACAAACTTGGTAGACATTCACTAGAAGATGTTTCATGCCAAATATCTAAGCTCTAGCTCTTACAGTTCTTTAAAGGAAGATTTTTAAGTGTTTACTATATGCATATAGGGAAAATCAATGACCCCCGGGGCGGGGCCAATTTTGACCCCAGGGCTTTTATTTGAACAAACTTGGTAGACACTCACTAGAAGATGTTCCATGCCAAAAATCTTAGCTCTAGCTCTTTACAGTTCTTTAAAAGAAGATTTTTTAAGTTTTTACTATATGCATATAGGGAAAATCAATGACCCCCCGGGGGCGGGGCCAATTTTGACCCCAGGGCTTTTATTTGAACAAACTTGGTAGACACTCATTAGAAGATGTTTCATGCCAAATATCTAAGCTCTAGCTCTTAGGGTTGTTTAAAAGAAGATATTTAAAGATTTTTCTTTCGGTTGCCATGGCAACCAGAGTTCTGCATGGAATTAAATTCTTTGAACAATTTTTAAAGGTGACCACCAAAGCGAACATTCCTGTGAAGTTTGGATGAAATTGGCTCAGTGGTTTATGAGGAGATGTCATTTAAAGCAAAAGTTTACGGACGGACGACGGACGGACGACGGACGGACGGACGGACAGACGCCGGACGAAAAGCGATCACAAAAGCTCACCCTGTCACTTTGTGACAGGTGAGCTAAAAATCAAAAAGTTAAAGTTTGTACTTTAAAACTCTTTTTTGAATTTGCATCCTAAGCTCTGAATGCAACATATATTTAAAATATCAATAACCCAAGAACTATGAAAAACAACAGAACAACAACAATTCAAACTTACATTAGTACCATATACAGTTGTGTCCGACAAAGCATGCCAGATTAACATTTCCGATGTTAGACTGGACCTTTTTGATATAAATCCAGACTGGGACAGTTTTTTCTCCCTAGTATCTAATCTACCAGGGAATGACATTCTTCGTAAAAGTCCAGACATTGTCACAGTCACAGAAATTTTAATTCGTAAAATTCAAAAGTGTAATTTAACCACTTTCTTCAATTCTTCATAAAATTTTAAATTATTATCTTGAATTGTAACATCCATGAATTCTTCACATGATCAAATCTTTCACTTATTAACAATCATTAAATTATGAAAGCCCAGACTAAATTAAAAAAAAATATAAAATAAAAAATAAAAAAAATACAATAATAAATATTTAAAAACCTTGCAGAAGCAAAACCTACTTATTTAAGAACTGTAACTAATTTCACCATAATTATTACCAGTACATATTACTTTTAATCCATAAACAATGTTGCTGCTTTTTCTTTCAGTTAATTCAATTGTAACAGAATAAAATCACAATATTGAAAATACACCTGAAATAACACAAGTTTTGCTATGACTAAAGACAAAACACTTTATTACATGCTTTTCGGTGGTTTATAGAAATATATCAGTGATATAAAACTGGTAATTTCACTTTTTGAAACAGTGAAATTACCACTTTGATAATTTCACTGTTTTGAATTTAAGCCCCTTACATTGTTTCAGTGAAAATACCAGCGTTGCACAGTACTGGCGTACCAACTTAATGACGTGACGTCGTAAATGACGTCACGTTGTATTATTTATTTGCGCGCGCTTTTCATTACAGTATTTAGATTTAATGTCTTTTTAAAACGTTTATTTGCATATAATAAAAAGAAAATTTGTTTAGTTTAGTGTAAGATTGAAATATATTTCACCTTGTGAACACCAAAAGTTCATATTTCACTCGTGGCTGCGCCACTTGTGAAATATACCTTTTGGTGCTCACTCGGTGAAATATATTCCGATCTTACACTGAACTAAACAAATATCCTCTATTTAATTCCATTAATTTTTGTTTATTTCCACGTTGCCAAGTTATGACACAACAAAATTATTTCCCCAACATCTGCAACACTTCCCAAAGTCTGCTATGATAGCAGGCTTTCAAAAAAAAAAACCTCTACCTCTTCTCTTATATCATCTTCACATGTAAAGGTTTCCAATAATGTAATAGTTATAAATAACTCTATGATTAATTTTTCTGGATTTTTTTTTCAAAAGAAAGCATATTTATAAATAATAAAATTTCTCAAAGAAAATTAGTTAGAACGTTTTATTTCTAAATCCTTAAATGCTAGAAAAACGTTAAAAAAGATCCTGTTGATCTGAATGTAAAAGTAAAACTCCAAAATTTGATATAATTTTTTTTTAACTTGTATTCTTTAAAAGTTTTGCATATTTTTGCAAAAAAAAAACAAAAAAAACAAACAAACAAACAAAACCATAAAAACAGAAATACAAGCAGTAAGATGTACAAAAAGTTATGATTAACTTATTCTGCCTTCGTAAAATCCCAAAAATGCTCTTCAATTTAAAATTCAAAGTATTACCTTCACATTGGCAAAAAAGAAATATTTCAGAAAAAAAAATTAATTTAATCCAAAAATTTTGAACTCAATCCAAAAAAGACATTTAAAACTGGAGCAATATCTATATTTTCATATCTATAAATGCTGAGTGAGCACAATAATTCAAGCCAGAAGAAAGAGCGAGCCTGAATAACTCAAGAGTCACCAATGAAGCCACCAAGAGTGGTTTATTTCTGAAGTTAATAGTACAAACAGTGTGACCAGCCAATATCATCATCTTATGAAAGCCTAACTCCACAAGAGCAAAAAAATAACTTTTTTATTATTGCTTTTTATTACTGTAAACCTATGGTGATATGAGGTTTTGCATTTTTATAATGTAGGTTCCTGTAAAACCTGTCAAAAATACTTAAGTAAATGCAGAGAAGAAAAGATGCTCCTTTGAGCAGAGAGGAAAAGATGTTATTTTATAATTTATGTTGAAAAAGTGGGAAAATATACAGCTTGTTAGACTTTAATTATATTAATAATTGACATTGAATTAAAATTTAAAAAAAAACAATACAAAATAAAAAAAATTTTTTTTGTAAAAACAGCATCATTCAATTTTGAAACCAATCACTGACAACAGATTTCTTTTTTTATTTTTATATGAGGCAAAACAGACAACCCATTTTGCCAAGGGCCAAGGAGGATATTTCAAATATATTGGCTGAAAATACAACCAATTTTAACAGCATTTCAAGCGATGATATGGATTTCCAATTCTGTTAATAAAGAAAACCTTGCAGTGACATAATAATTATATTACCAATTTGTAAAGGAAACGTAATTTTAAATGTTTGCCAAGTATAAACAAATCAGAAACTCTGATTCTACAGACTGGTCTTCAAAATCGTACTAGGATATTTTTCCACAACCAGTCTTATGTAGGACCCAGGAAATATTTCCAGGTTTACAGTAAAGGTCTATTAAATTATCAATTGGCAGGATCTTCCATCTATCATTAGGCCAGAAATTAACCTGAGCTACAAAGAACCTAGTGTTTCACTTACTAATATTTATCTGAGGTAATGATGTCCCTGATTAGATAAGTGATACTGATGAACAAGTACAAGATTTTTCATTTATCTTCTCATATTCCACCCCCCCCCAAAACACCCCCCCCCTTCTCTTTCTCCCTTTAAATCTCTATATAAATGCTTTTTTACTCATTGACTCATCCCAGCAAATGTTACCTCAATCTGTTTCAAGATCTAAAGATAATCTTACACAATTTTATGTTTGTTTAATATATTCCTAGAATGAATCATGTATACTTGTATTAACTCTTCAGTCAATGGGTACATAATTATAAAATTAACCAAATGATCATAATAAGACTATGTCTTTTATAATTAATGTACTTTTTAAATTTTGAAGATTTTACTCTTAAACTGCTGTAAATGAAATAAATCTTGAAATCCAATTCTTTGATTAGTCAATTTCAAAGAAGGTCCTTCAAAATTGACCAATCAGATTATAGAAACATTCTATAATTACTTTTGATTAAGTTTCTAAGTACACTGTATTCCTACATTAATTAATTTATTAATTACATTATTAGCCAACAGAAGAAAATTTTCTTTGTATCTTTCCTGTATATAATAATATTTGGATGCATTTTATTGCTTTGACCTAATTTCACCAATAATAATAATTTTCAGGAAGATCCCACACACAGTCTATTATGATCACATCAAACATTATAAAATAGATAGCATTCTAAGTTACACAGAAACTTAACCTTTTTCTTAAAGAAACAGGAGCCCTTGGTAATACAGTATGCCAAAATATAGAAAAACAAAAGCCTGGATAATGTAGAATAATTTCTGAGATCAAAAAGGGCCATAATTCTGTTTAAATCCATGTTAAGAGTTATGGACCTTGGGCAGTGACCTCCTATTATGCTCTCAATTCAGATGTGTGAAGTTTCAACCTATTTACTTTGGTAGTTTCAGAGATACCAACTTGCACATACAACTTAACCAAAATGTGATGCTGACGTCTTGGTGAATACAAAAGCTCTCCCTATCTTCCAATAGTCAAACTAATAAGAAAGTAAAATTCAAATTTTTCTACACTGATATTTGTTTCAATTTAATTCCTTTAGGTTTTTTTAAATCAAGTTATGGATTCTTTTTCTAAAACCAAAACAGTCAATCAAATAAAACATTGAGTCCATCTTACCCGAATGTTAGATTTCTTCTACAGTGTTTATTTTCTGATCAGTTGCAAATACTTTAGGCAAAACATCAAGTATCACACTCTGATGTTTACTTTACTCCCATAAATATTATTTTAGCACTACATTTAAGTTATACTCAATGTAAAGAGTTATTTCTTGGATCAACAGTTAAAAATTCTCCGATAAATTGCTTAAAATATAAAAACTAAGAAAATAGCCCTGCACTATTTTTTTTTCTGCATTATGTAATGTGAAACAAAGTTAATGACAGACTGGTAAAATTTCAAAATATTGTGAAATAGAAAACAGCAATAGACAATTTCTAAAAGTGGGGTGGGGGAGGGGTAGTCATTTAAGGGGGGTAGGGTGGGGAAAGGGGGTATTCAAGACAATTGGTTCCACCTTGGATATAACAATATGCGGATAAAACAACATAAATACATTGTATTTTACAGTCCACTGAATATTATCATCATCGAAGTTTACTGTACTTACATTAGGAGAAAACCAAATATTCTGAAGATTTGACTCGAAACAAAGAAACTCCAGGAATAGTTTACAAGATCTAATCAGAAAACAACCATTTTGCTTATCATTATCCTGAAAGATGCCATTTGCTAAAACATCCCTCACTAATTTCCGATAAATTGCTTCATAGTTTCATATGGGTCAAAGTCCTCTCAAGTTATTTGATTTTTCATATGATAAGCAATGCCAAATAAAAGAATGGATAATAGAAAAGGAATCTCTCAAAATAACAAGGGAAGTAACTTTACTGTTTTTATCACATCATTATGACTTTTCATTAAACTCCCTTAGAAAATGCAATATAATATAAAATATTAAATTTTGTTACGGGCATATGCAGTTTTCAAATTAAATTCGTTCAACAGTCTTAAGTTAGTCCTATAGTTTGTCTTAAGTCCTACGACATAAGATGCACACAAACAGAGCCCTGTATTCAAAGAGTTACAGAAACTTAAATAAACCCTACCTTATTGCACTCCTCATCAAAATCTTTCAACTGGTAACATTTTTCTAGGCGGGTGATCCGTGTGTCGGAGATTCTCATTAGACGTGAAATTGTGTCCTGCACATGACGGTATATACGTGTGATATCCTCCATGCCGTACCTAGAAAGCATTATAATCTTGATGATGTCAATCGTATTTATAATAGAATGTCTTTAAACAAATACATTGTATTAAGATCTGCTGACTGTATACCTTCTTTCACTGTGACCTTTCCATTTCTAACTATTTTGATTTAAAAAGTCCAGAAAAAATCTCAAATATTTTCATTTTTTTTTTTTTTAAATATGCATTTTCGTCTTATACACTTATGCGTGTTCATCAACTAGGGTCTGATACTTTGAACATCGGACAATATTGTTGAAATAAAATTTTATCTCACATTAAAAGCTGTTGCCAGTTTTGTGCTGGTCAAACTTCAAATTATTTCTAGTACATGTAATATAATAGGTCAACAACAGCCTGACCGAGCTAAATTTTATTAATTTTTTTTAACCTACATGCAATGAGATAGAAAATAGTATCTGAAAAATGAATTCATGTTCATGTTGAAACAGTTATAATGCCTAAGACATCAGCATACATAGAGCAACTTTTTCTACCTCCCAAATTTAAATATGAAGAGTCTTACACAAATAATGTAAACCCCAATCCTCCCCCACCCCGCAGAATCTAAAAAACTGAAAATTACTTACTAGAAGAAGAAATGAATATCAGAATTGTTAATCAATGGTATACAGTATCAATAGTTCATTTGTAAAAAGACCTTCACCCTGAGAGTTAAAGTTAGACACCTTTGAATACCAACATGTACATGATATTGTATTATATCAAGTTTAAATGAGTATCTCAGAAATTAGCACTAAATGACTTCTATGTTAACGTTTTTATATAAACTGCTATTTTTCATTCACAAGTTAAGAAAAACTGTGAAATCTGTGAAAATGAGTACTTTTTCAATTCTTTTTTATTGCAATTTGCTTGTTTTATGAAATGAAATTTTTATTGAACTTGACACAGGTTTAGACTTTTAAGACACATTAATAAGAAATTGTATGCATATCAATTTAGGCTCTAGAATGTTGACTGACAACTTTTATTCTCATATCCAATGGACAATTCTAGAAATGTGATTTTACGTCACACCAACACAGTAAAGGACATATGGCGACATTCCAGCTTACTGCTCGAAGAAGTTCTTAGGTGCTCTCCTGTCCATAATTTCAGGTTTGAACAGGCATCTGAGTAGAACCACTGACGTCCCGTAAGCTAGCTTGATAGCTTCTTTACATGAAAAAATCTAATGTCCCTGGCGGGATTCAAACCCACAGCGGTGAGGGGCAAAAGTGGTTTGAAGTACTAGAAATGAAAGCTGGACAAGTCCAGTTATGGAATTAAGAAAGGTAAATGGTTAGTTACCACTGATACATTGTAAACACTAACCTATAATCGTCTGTATGTCCGATATTTACTTCCTCACGCTTCAGTGACTGCAACATGGCATCGCCCTCATTCTGCAGACGTTTAACACGAGGATCTTCAAACGTGGCTTTAATGAGATTCTCGTGATGGTCAACGAGATGTGACGCCTCCTTAGCTGACACTGGCACTTGATCGACAACGGATAACTCTTGGATAACGTTGACAAGATATCTGGCAACAGACCGACAACTGGCAAGAAACGGATCTAATCTCTGTAAAACAAATATAAGTAATCATTATTATCATATTCACTGTTTCAAACACAACCTTGATTGAAATAATTCCTGGAACAATTTATAAAGTTCTTCAATTTATGAATCTTCGAACACTCAAGATATCACATGGAACACATAAGACTGTGTGACGTATATCATTAAATAACATTTACCCCAGAACAAATGTTACAATATTACCATATACAATAAATCTTCCATTTTCGACTGATAAAGAATAACACAAATATGAAATTATTTAGAACTTTATCAAATATCTAAATATTCAATGGACTTGCAACATACGTTTTCCATGACGAAATTTGTTCAAACTGTCTGCATAAAGCCTGATATTTGATGTTAATGTAACTAAATGGTATTTTACATGCATATGACATTCTAAAACAAGTGCAGTATGCAAATATCATTTGTTAACATTACGAGTATACATTCCATTTGAGGTGCATACTTATTTAATCACTACATTTGAATATTATTCACATTAAATCATACCAAAAAATTTAATACCATCCAATCCATTCATGAAATAGACAATAGACACATTGAAGTTTCTGATTTTACTACATTGATATGATGTGTTTATTTATAGATATAGATGTATTTAAATCCATGTGCACAGGAAGGTCAGTACCAAATATAATGCACAGGGCAACAGCAAAGGTCTTTCTTTACCATTTAAACTTGAAGAGCAGATTGAGGTGGCCTGGTCAGGTTATGATATCTGCCTCTCAACCTAGAATTTTGGGTACTAGATGGACTAAGACAACCACCATGACTCGACATATAAATATGTAGATTTTCAAATTCACCAACTTTTCAGCACGCGGAAATATCCACTTATACAGTCATCTTGAATCTTCATTAAAATCAAGCTAAAACAAAATATGTTATGATGGTAGTAAAGCCTGGAAGCAGCCGTATGTCAACAAAGTTGGGGTATCTAACAGACTAATACCAGTCCTGGACAAATATTTAAACACAAAAAGCTTTAAGAACAAAATTTGCGACATGTGTAAGATGTTAACGTACCATATGAAAACGTATCCAATCATCATGATTATACTGGAACGAGCCCTCCAGTACTGGTGGCAACTGGTCAGCCGATATGTATGAACTGAGAAGACTATTAGACAGTAATAGATCTATCTGTAATTGTAAAGACATAATTGATAATATTTAGATATTCATTTAAGAATTACAGTATTCTACAACAAAATATGACATTCATTAAAGAAACAACAACTATGATCACCACAGAGAACAACTCATAACGCATTTTTCAACATTTCAACATCATTTCTGTTTAACTATGTACAAAAGCCAATAAATTAAAGAAAAATTTCACAAAATAAAATATATTATGTTGACAATTACTGTATCTTCCAAAAGATCATACAAATAACTAGCAGGTTTACATAATTTATGTATTTCTGAACAATATAAATTGATCAAGTTTTAAAGTAATAGGTAAGTTTTCTAAAGAAAGTTTATCACCAGTCCTCAAAAGTATTATTTTTAGCAAAGAAAAAATAACGGTAAACGCATGTATTACTGATCAACCTTTCAACCCTTGGCCTGCTGATGGTGACTAAATCTACCCAAACAACCAGTGCAAACCAAAAGATCGTCAAAGACTTTCTGTGCCTTATGATCTTTGGGTTTTCCTTTTTTTTGTTTTTCAGTCTTTAAAAATTTTAAAATTTTCCCCTAAAAATAAAAAAATTTTGCCCAATTGTAAATGGACAAATCTTTTTAAAAATTTTTGGGTTTTTAGACAAATAAAACATTCATTTACTAAAAACTTTAAACCTACATTTTTTATAATGAGCAAAAATAATTTTACAACTGCAAAATTTAAGGAACTTTTATCAATAAAAAAGACAGTTTAAATTGGGCCAGTTTGTAAATTTTAAATTTTGTCCAGGTGTAACTGCCCCTTTTTAAAATTACACTATGTAGAAAAGTTTGACATCAAATAAAAATAAACTCCCTACTTTTTGTCAAAATAAAATAAATCACTTAAGTCAAGTTTAATTTAAGGTTGTATTGAAATTTACTCCTTTTGGAAATTTTAAAATCCTATTACAAATACATTAGATTTTGACACAAACCAAGTTTTAAGAAAAATAAAAAAAATTTTTCATGAAACTAGGTAATTTTAAATAAATCTAATTAAAACTTCCCACAATTTTAACACCTTAAAAAGGGTTTTTAAATAAAATTTTCATCCTAAAAATGAAAAAATGATTCGTTTATTCTACCATTCCCAATACAACCCCTCCCCCCCCACCTCTAAAAAAAAAAAAATTAATTCAACTTTATGACTCTTTTAATTGAAGAATTTATATTGGAGGAAAGAAAGGTCTTCAAGTGAAGAGTTTGTAATGGAGGAAAGAAAGGTCTTCAAGCTTGAGTTAACTTTCAGTAAAATTTTTTAATCTTTCCATTTTTTTTTTATTATATTGGACACTTGGAAAAAAGATCATTTAAGGCTAAACCACTTTTACTGACAACCTATCTTTTTTAATTAAAAAACTAAGAAAGAAACAATACAATCAGTTTCCCCTGCCCCAAAAAAGAAATAAACTTCAACGGGGAACTGTAACAAGAGGGAATTGTCTTAAATTTATAAAATTTTTATAAAAAATTATCCCACTGTCCTTGAAATTATCACTATTCTTTCAGTGTTACGGTTGAAAAATAAGTATAATCAACATCTTTTTTAATTTTCTTTATACTTTTTTTTTGGGGGTTTTTTAATGTGCTCCATATTTAGAAATGCCAAGGACATCCGAAAATTAAATAAATTTATTATGGTTTTTTAAGTCAACTCAACTAATTGGGTAATAATACAATTATGGGGAAAAAACAAAGGGGGCATTTTAAAGATTTAAACGCATTTTTTTTTTAATAAATCTGATATTATTGTGTTTGAAATTTTTCAAATAAAAGTTTGAAATTGCTTAAAAAAAAGTGTTTGCTATAGTTTTTATGAAATAGTATTTATGTATTGGATAACAAAAAACAATAAATGTCCAGTCTTGAGTATTTGTAGTTTTCCCTCTTGATCACAGCAGCGTGCCACATTTAATTCACCAGAGCACAATTCAGCCACTGTACCGTACCCTGGCAACCCACCAGTTGCCTTCACTTAACACTGTGAAAAGCTAGTTACTTATGTACATACCAGAAGAGTGATACAATGAGAATGACCATAGAAGATTTCTTGATCAATCAAAGCAAAATTGACAAGCACCGTCCAGGAATCAAACCTGGATCGCCCTATTCACAATCTAATGCTCAGCCAATTGAGCTTACTGAATAGCACAATATCTTGTCTTTAAATAGGTAAAAGCTTATATCTCACACCAGAGACATAGATATCTATGTCTCTGCTCACACTAAGAACAATGCTCACTCATAGGTTATGTTTCTTAAATTATGACACATAAAGTTTAACTATTCATAAAATCAATGTATATAAAAATGATGACAATTTATACCTGGAATGAGGCGTGGACGTCGTATATAGGAGATTTCAGCACCAATGACTGTGTATGTTTGTCCGCTAACAAATGTACTACTGAGATAGCCTGTGGAATATTGCCCTGAAGTAAAAGAGAAACACTGTAAATAACTATTGTCCATGTGGAATATTCCTTTGAAGTAAAAGAGAAACACTGTCAATAACTATTGTCTATGTGGAATATTCCCCAGAAGTAAAAGAGAAACACTGTCAATAACTATTGTCCATGTGGAATATTCCCATGAAGTAAAAGAGAAACACTGTCAATAACTCTGGTCCATGTGGAATATTCCCCTGAAGTAAAAGAGAAACACTGTCAAAAACTATTGTCTATCTGGAATATTGCCCTGAAGTAAAAGAGAAACACTGTAAATAACTATTGTCTATATGGAATATTGCCCTGAAAAATAAAAGAGAAACACTGTCCATAACTATTGTCTATGTGGAATACTGTAAACCAATTTATATTCGCGAATACAAATTTTCGCGTTTTGCCGAGGTCGGACATATTCGCGAATATTAATTTCCGCGTTTTCTTTATTTCCGAAAAAAAAAAATTCGCGGATTGGAAAGTCCGATGGGGCCGTAAAATCCATTAGCCGACTATTAATTTTCAATAATTGAGGTCATTATTGGTGTCTTAAATGGGATTAACAATGCGCTAGCCTTATATTGTATTGGTAAGTGAATTGTGATCACAATTCAGCAAAACATTTTCTCTATATATGTACATGTACGCATCGTTCGTCTTCATTTCTTAACATTAACATTAACATGTCGTTAAAAGGGTGGTTGATAAAAAATAAACCCTCAGAATGCAGGGATGTTTCGGCATCGTTTTTGCCTGATCATGATCTGGAAAGCACACCAGAAAAGAAAAAAATGACTAAAGCGGCAAACGAAGCTGTATTTGAAATTTTATCACCAAAGAGTGGTGTAAAGCGTAAACGTGAAAGTTACGGACATTATGATAGTGAACAGAGAGCAAAGATTGCCAAATATGCGTGTGAACATGGAAATGCAAGTGCGGTGCGACATTTTTCGAAAGTTCTTGAGAGATCCATAAATGAGAGCACGGTGCGTTACATAAAAAAGCAATATCTGGAAACTGTTAAAAAAAAATACTGAAACAAACGTCGTTACATTGCCTGCTGGTAAACGTGGAAGACCGACACTCCTTGGGAAATATGAGAGCGATGTTCTGGATTATATTAAAAAGTTAAGACAGTCCGGATCTATTGTTAATAAGCATATTCTTCTTGCTGGAGCAACTGGTATTGTTCAGGAAAAATCTAAACATTTATTGAGAGAAAATGGAGGACCCTTAAATTTTGATCGCCCATGGGCAGAATCGTTTCTAAGGAGGCATGGGTTTGTTCGCCGGAAGGGCACGAAAGCAGCTAGAAAACTGCCGTTTGACTTTGATGAGCAAAAGTCAGAATTTGTTTCCAGTATTGACAAGATTGTGTCGGATTCAAACATCCCTGATGATCTAATACTGAATTTCGATCAAACCAACATTAGCATAGTACCATGTGGTAACTGGACTATGGAACAACAAGGTAAATTAATTTCAACATCTTATTTTCAAAAAATATTTATATTTTGTACCAACAGTTTAATTATTTAGAAAAGTCTTTAAGAAATTAAAAAAAAAAAATCTTCTCCAATCAGGGATCGAACCCACGCCGAGAAAATTATGTTATTTAAGTCCGCAATCTAACCAATTGAGCTACACAGGCTGTTAAGTTTGACAGGTAAAAATCGATACTAGTATGAATCCATCTTGTACTTCACTGTTTGTAATTATGTACACCGAATAGCCTTTTGTGATGCTCGATAGGTTTTTACCACCTTTGTCTCAAACAATTATTTTATAGGATCCAAAAAACAATAGCCTTTTGTGATGCTCGATAATTTTCCCACTTTTGTCAAACCATTTATTCAAACATTTATTTATAGGGTCCAAACAGGTCGAGGTCACTGGACTTGAGGACAAAAGGCAAATTACTGCACTTCTCACCTGTACTAAAAGCGGTATTCTACTGCCTCCACAACTTTTGTACCAGGGGAAAACAGAGGTCTGTCACCCAGATGTTACGTTTCCGGAAGGATGGGACATATGGCATTCCGAAAATCATTGGTCGAACGAAAGCACCATGCTTAGATTTGCAGAAAATATTCTCATCCCATATGTTCGCGAAACCAGGGATCGGTTGGATCTTGCTTTAAAACAACCAGCTTTAGCGATTTTTGATGTGTTTGCTGCCCATAGAGTTCAGTCCTTTATTGATAAGTTAACCAAAGCTGGTATTCGCATTCGATACGTACCAGGTGGATGTACTGGGGAATTACAGCCCCTAGATTTATCAGGAAATGCGCAGCTCAAAGAAAATGTGAAAAAGCAGTTTACTAGCTGGTATGCAAATGAGGTATCTGCACAATTGTGTAAAAAAGACATAAAAGACATAAACATCGATCTGCGCCTGTCCCTCATCAAACCACAGCATGCAAAGTGGCTAATGAATGCCTTTGACTCTGTAAAAGACAATTCAGAGCTCTTCCAGCTCGGCTGGAAAAAAGCTGGACTTCTAAAATAAGCGCGAGTACTTTGTAGGCATAATTATACTTTAATATTATAGAAGTGTAAGATACTTAAAGCTGACACATGCTCCGTGTAGTACCCTGTACGGAACGTGATTGACAATAGGCCTACTAGTGTTTAAAATGTGGATGTTTATTTTGTTTGTTATATTGACATAGAGTTCTTTTGATATTTATAAAATAGTAGTATAAAATAGTAGTAGTTAACTTAGTTTGTGTTTCATGGCTTTATGGCAATATTCATAACAATTCATTACTTCCTACAGGTGCCCGTAAAATTCGAATATATCCGGTCAAGTAGCTTTGCATGAACAGTGTCTAAAATAAAAATTTCTCTCCAATTTATTCGCGAAATCGTGCGGACTTATTCGCGAATACAAATATTCGCGCTTCGTGGCCATCCGCAAATAAAGCGAATATTAATTGGTCGCGAATATTCGTTGGGTTACAGTATTCCCCGGAAGTAAAAGAGAAACACTGTCAATAACTATTACCTATGTGGAATATTTGCCTGAAGTAAAAGAGAAACACTGTCCATAACTATTGTCTATGTGGAATATTCCCCGGAAGTAAAAGAGAAACACTGTCAATAACTATTACCTATGTGGAATATTTGCCTGAAGTAAAAGAGAAACACTGTCCATAACTATTGTCTATGTGGAATATTCACTAAAGTAAAAGAGAAACACTGTCAATAACTATTTCCTATGTGGTATATTCCCCCGATGTAAAAGAGAAACACTGTCAATAACTATTGTCTACTATTTTTTTCAACAAAATTATCTGTTCATAATTTGTAACATTCTATAATATTCATACATAATATCCACATTATTTTTCGAGACACGCCGCCACTCACGATAAAAGTTCACAAATGTCCTTCAAAGAACGAAAATCTGAACATGTGACAATAATATTTGTACTGTGTCTTAACTGGTCAGTTTGTTTTTTCCACGACAGTGACCTCAAACATACCTATCATCTTAGAAAGTTGTTAGACACACTATAAAAACCATGATGCATTAACTGTAACTATTAAATCATCTTTATTACACAGTATTCTTGAAATTAATTATGGGAAACTTGTCACAACACTATAAATCTCTGACCCATACGTTATCATCGAAAAATAACATTCCATACAGGTTAGCTACGTATATATCTATGCCTACATACCAACCATTTACTGACCAAATGACATACACGGTGGTGAAATAATAGATCTTAAATTTAAATTAAGTTCACGATTGCAATGATAAAGTTCAAGAATGCAACGATAAACTATGTTAATAGTTAATTTTGAATAATTCTGAAATGTTCTCAGATGGGATAATAAGCTAGGTTACATAATCTTTGTTCTTTTGAACTTTATGTTATATACAGCAAATTAACAGACAAAAGTTGTTTTATTACAAATCTATTACTTTTATATTATTAAAAGCTCTCATAATGTGTAAAACAATCCATATACAAACTTTCACATCAAACACTTAAATCCAATTTTATTGCTTAATTTCCAGTGGCTGCCTGTATATAAATAAAATAATATGCTAAATTTGTCTCGATTATAGTCTCTTATAAAACACTTCACAATAAATTATAATATAAATTATAATTCACTAATAAAGTCTCTTTATATCTAATTTATTTTTCCAGCTCTTAACAACAATTACCAATTAAAATTCCCATGCAAAAACAGCTTATCAAATGCATCTGTATAATCCCATGAAACACATTGATTTATAAAAGTCCATTCACCAGAATTGCTTGTAATTTCCTGTTTAGATTAAACAGTGCACACCATCTGTACCAAAAATCTCATTCACCATGTAACCTCACCTGTATGTCAATTAACAAGAATCACCTTCCTTCCCCCAATCTCTTTAACAAACAAACTGACATACAAACAGATCTGACAACTACAAGTACAGGTGTTTCCCAAATGTACACTCTACATTAGATTGCATGATCATTATAGGTACTTCCCAAAAATTTCACACTATCAATATGTCTAAAGTGTTGATAATAAACAATCACTAGAGATATAATCCCTGACATAATGGTATACTTATATTTCAACTTATCTTATTATGCATAAGGGTCTGAGATTTATTTGATAATCTTGACAAACTGTATAAATACATATGAATTACTTGTATTTCACATGTACTTAGGTCAGTTACCTTTAGGAAAAACATGTTGGTACTTCTCACAGATCAAGATGATCTCTTTTTATTTAATTTATTAGTTTATTAACCCTCCACCTAACTATTATTATTACTTTTTATTTTTCGTGAAGGGTGAAGTGGTTATTCAATTGAACCATTCTTGCACACCATTGCTCTTTGGTCAAAATTTCATTAATAAAAAGTTAGGAACTTCAAAATTATTTAAAATACTTGAAACTTACAGTATAAAGCCTCTGTCATTAACATTACATAGCTTGTCAGGAGTTAAAAGCTACACATTTACCAAAACATTATTCCATTCATTTAACAAATATAGAAAACAAAAATGAGTTAATTTCTTGTATAAGAGGTAAATTCTTATACTTATATAGAAATAAAAAGTTTTGTAAATATCATAATATATAATACAGCAAATTAAAAAAAAATCTTCTTTTACTAAAGCTTCCCTTTAACAACTCCCACTTCTAAATGTCACATAAAAAACAACTTGTCATCTTAATGTTAGAAGGGTCCCTCTTCCCACTCACAAAAATTTAATAAAATAAGATCATTTATTTCAACTATCAAACATGTCTTATAACAAATATAGCCATTCTCAAGTGTTTGCATGTAATATGTGCCCTGTATGAGTATGCAGTATTATATATAAACCGAGGACAGTGATTCTTTATTACAAAATATAAATAAATCAATTATCAAAAGTTTACAAAATAAACTGTCTGAATCAAAAATTAAAAAGAATAAACAGTTACTGTATGTTACTCCAACCACAATTAAAGTGGCAGAGTTCACTGGTTATAAACACAATTGTGAATTGAAGACTTGTTTTTCATTTTCTTTAACTTCAATGGCAGTATTAATAATTAAAAGCAACATTTTCCAAATATGTTAGAGAATTTTTTAAAAATTTACAATAAAGATGCCTGTCATAAAAAATAAACTTTTTTTCTCATACAAACTTAAATATTTTCGCTCAAAAGGCTATGAGACATATTATCAACATTTGTCTTTAAAGCAAAACTGCAAGTACAAAGTTTGTTCTGTAAAATTTTGAGATTTAACCTGTAAACATTACATCATAATTTAAATTATCATCAAACACCAGTCCTGTCACAGTATGATGTCGAATGACTCTGTAATTGTATTCAAAATATTGTTAAACAGGAAAATTCTAACTTGAAAACAACAGTTTGAATATCAATAACTTGAATAAGTATCACCATCTAAGTTCAATCATGGTGTTATCAAGTTATCACCCTAAAAATAATTTGTTTCCCCATATTTCAGATACACAATTAACTTAATAAATCACCTTTAAAAATACAAATTTCAGATACGCAATTAACTTAATAAATCACCTTTAAATATAGTTTGTTTCCCCACATTTCAGATACACAATTAACATAATAATCACCCTAAAATAGTTTGTTTCCCCACATTTAGATACACAATTAACATAATAATCACCCTAAAATAGTTTGTTTCCCCACATTTCAGATACACAATTAACTTAATAAATCACCTTTAAAATAGTTTGTTTCCCCACATTTGATACACAATTAACTTAATAAATCACCCTAAAATAGTTTGTTTCCCCATATTTCAGATACACAATTAATATAATAAATCACCTTTACTGAAGCTTCTTTAATAGGTTAAATGCTTTCCTTTTCAATTGGAAGTCTTTTTATAGAGTAAAACACGTCTATAATAACTGAGAATCTTTACAAAAACTATACTGAAAAAAATATCTATGAAAAAAAAAAAAACTTAAATAAATATTAAAAATAACAAACACAAGTGTCAGATGTGCTAAAATTGTGATAGTGGATTTACACATCTAGCTTTTTTCGTGCAAGAAATCTGTTACTACACACTTTTAATATTCTACTAAACTGTAAAGTGACTTGCACTCTCTTACTTGGATACATTTATTATTCTCTCATAATAAATTTTATTACAGTTAATTCCGCTAGTCATAACACGCAAAGCAAAATTAGCGACATATAGCATAAATGATGATATAAACACTTTCTGCCAAACAATGATTTAATACTTAATCTGGATTATCTAAATAATCTTATGGAACAGTGAATTAAATTCTGACTAATTAATTTAGTCATTTAACTCGCAAATAAGATAATGATAAATTTATCTGACTGATTAATCATATGTGAGAAGGATTGAGGAGAAGAAAAAATAATGCCATAAAAAGGAAAAAGTGTTTAAAAATGATAAGATACACTGGAATATAAGCATGAGGCAAGAAAATGCTTACATGGGATTTTTTTTGACAAAATAAAAGGAATTAAGAATTGAAGCTTTTACATAATCCATGTATAAAAAAGCTTTTGCATAAATTATCAGAAAATGCATGAAAAGAAATCCCCATAGCAAATTAAAATGAAAAAAATAAAAAAGATCATAAAATATTTGTAACAATGAAAAAACAAACAAACCTTACTACCAGACAAGCAAAAATGAAAATGCAGGTAAAATACAAAACAGTTACCTTCTCTTGTGCAAAGCCCTGCATTATAACATAAATAACAATAAAATCCCATTTCTTTATAATTATTATAAAGAACACAAATATAAATAATAATTTATAATTTCAAGCACAATAATTCTAAAAACAAAATCCAGTAAATTATAAATCAATGTATAACAAACAATTTCGCATAATTGAAGCATTTACTGATAAAATCTTCATGAACGTATGTCCAATATCTCCAGTTCAATAATATTTGGTTAACTTATAGGTTGACAAATAATCCTTTAAAAACAAAAAAAAACACCAACTAAATCACAAAAATAGATTTTTACCGATCTTGTAAAAATATTTATATCAGGGCACCATGATGTAAGCTAGGTTGCAATTGCACGCAGCGAGACAACCATAAAAAAATCAGAAAATGAAAAATTAATTTACCTTAAATTTCGATAATATCTTTTAATCATTCTGATAAGATCTTTGTTTACGTTCTGATCTAATCGGCCAGTCTTTATTCATTAAAATAGCCCATGAATTTGACTTCTTTCCAAAAGAGTGGATTACATAAACTTTTAGGACTTAAGTTACAAATTAATCCCTAAGCACTTTGTAATTAGGTGTAAGATAACTAAATTTGCCCACATGATTTGGGTAAACTCCAACAGAACAGAGTTAATTGTCTATAATCAGGCTGAAACAATATCAGTATCAACTTGTTACTTAAAATAGATCTCGCCAAATTAATCAAATAAGTATCAATAACTGTTTTTTTGATAATTATGTCATATTTTCAAGGATGAAGATTTTGAAAGAAATATTTAAACAGAGTAGCAAAAACGAAGGAAAATATTCATATTTGAAATGAAGAGATAGCATTGCTCAAAGTCATAACATTTTGTTGTTTTCAACTTTATTGAAAATCATTATTATTATTATTATAAATTAATAAGAGAAATTAACCAATCAAGAACCACACTTTTCGGTTAATGTCAAATACCTACACAACTTCCCAACATGAAACACTGCACTAACCGACAAGAAGACACTCAACTTGTGCTGAGCAATATTATTGGTGCAATGGTAAAGTAGATAGAGACTGTTAAATGTTGGAGAAGTCTTAATAAAGGACCATTTTTTTCACATAATACTCAGTCATTAATAATGAATTTCATACTAGTTTTTAATATGAGTGTTCATTTCACTTTGGATGGTCTGAACTTATAACTTAAGTGGGGATGTTAAGGCTAACCTAAATCTATTTTGAGTGGTATAAGGCCAGTTATTTTCACCAAAAGTTTTTGAAATATATAGATGTGTTACCTCAAAAAGATACAGTGATTCCAGTAGAGTGTTGATGGTGGATGCTGTAGATCCTCTTATATCAGCCACAATTGTCAGACCTCGACAGCGAACTGTTTCTCTGTAAAATGCATGAGAAATCATTGTTCATTCAACAAACAGGTAATGTTGCATCATAATTTCTGTACAATGCATGAGTAAGAACACTGTAAAAACTGGTAGCATAATAATGTTGCATCAGGAAATAGCTGTATTCAAACATTTTGTTGTATATCCTTCACTGTCTTTAAATTTTAATATTCTCAAAACATTTGAGTTTGAATGAAAAAATAAAATCTCTCTGTACACAACAGGCATCAAAAAGTTGAACCAAAAAAGGTTCTAGAAATGTTAAATATTCTCAGAGCAAATCTAATGCCCTAATTGTGAAATGTGAACCAAAATTTTGGAATCAAATACTGGCAAGCAAACTTGCCATTCAATATCTTCAAAAAAATGTAAAGAAAACTCTGCTGATTAAATCACCATAGATATTTAAATACATTTATATATGCCACATTAGACTTATTAAATAAACTGGTGGAAATCAATAAACTTGTCTGTTATCCAAGACACATATCGATGGCTCAGCGCAATACTGGTCTAACTGCTATTTTTGAAAATGTTCAGGAGAGACAAAAAACTGATTTTATTCAAAAATACTTATATTAGAAAATATTTTTTTGCTATGTTAACATTAATTATAATAAAAAATAATGCCATTTATATAATTTTTTATTAAAGTGTTACAAATTGTGTATTTTAGAGTTAGACCTTTATTGCGCTGAAATTCTGAGCGCAATACAAGACTAACTTGAGTTAGACTCAAATTCCCTCTTGCAATTTGGTAAAAGTGGTACAAATATTTGAGTTAGACCTGTTTTATGTTATATATTCTGATATAAATTTGAACAAAATTGTTTTGTTAATTTAAACATTGTTTAAAATATTTTGCAAGTCTGTAGAAGAACTTTACAAAGACTAAATCCTTTAATATTTTTCTATTAATATATCATGCTAGCTGACTTTAGATGAAAGTAAACTTCTATAATTCTTCTTTTTCAATTTGTTTGAGATTCAGATTTACTTAAGATCTTTTGCAGATTATCTGTGCAATAAATTTGAATTCTAAACAAAATCATATAGTGTTATGAACAGTAGTCATGAACAATGATGACTGACAATCCAGGTATATATTATGATATCATCAAAGTTTGAAAACAGGGATTAATGTACATTTTCTATAACTCACATTTGTACAAAGAAGAAACATTTTATTTTCTCAATGCACACCATTACCACCATTGGTGCTTAAATGCTGTGATTCCGATATTATTGTTATGCGCTAAATCTTAATGAATTTAATGTATGTGGTCCTCTTTTCTGATGATATAATCATTTATAAATATCAAATATTTTCAAAAATGAAAGCCGCTGTTAGACCATGCTTTTATTACATATTTTGTATTTACTTTCTCAACTGTTTAGAGTATACATTGTATTTTGAACATGAAATGTGCAAATTTTATGACATGATTTTTTTTTTTGAAAACTGTGCATAATATCTTAAGAAAAGTGTTTCATTTTATATATCAAAGTCATTTTACCTCTAAATTTTGACCAAATAACAAGAGGTTGTCAAACATATTTTAGAGAAAAAAGTAGGGCAGTACAACCCACTATCAGGGATTCATAGAACAAAGTATTGTTAGCACATGATATAATTCAGAATCATTTTTGTAAAGTTAGATGTTCTTTAAACACTTGCAACCACTTACTCATTAAGATATGAAAAAGCGCACACCTGAAAAGCACCATTTGCACACCTTAGATTAGCACTAAACAATTAGAATGGATAAATGTTTGAATTTTCTCATTGACACTGATACTATACCAAAAGCAGTTGATAGTCATTACATTTTTAATTTCATTAAATGATAGTCATTACATTTTTAATTTCATTAAATTTGATAGGTAAAATTAATGGCTTTTAGATCTAAAATGAAACATTTTTATCAACTTAAAGCTGTTTCTGCCACATAAGTCAAAGAGTTTTTGACAATTGCACTCTCGAAAATTCAATGGAGCTGTGTGATGTAAAAAATTATCAGAATACAAGTACTGTAAAGGTCATTATGATATATAAGTGTGCATATTTTAAATTTTTTCTGCACATATCACATCAGACAGAAAGATATTGTATCAATAATATAAGTATTTGTATCAATAATATAAGTATTGTGAAGAGTGTGATTTGCACATGTTGACACTATGTTGTTATTGTATTGTTTGTGTTAATTGGGTAAAGTTTATATTTCTAACACGACCCCCAATTTTCCCTATTGAACATAGAAGAACCGAAAGTATGTGTTATTATGCTATAAAATCACTGTTTGACGTTCTATATTTAGACGTGTGACGTTATCATTATACACGTGACGTAACCACTAAAAATGTGACGCGCGGACAATAAGACCGGAAACAAATCAGGGGCAATTTAGCTAAATATCAGGTTCGTGTTAATGTCGTGATATAATTTCTCGCATCCAAACTCCAAACAGTGATGTTAATGAGCAATAAAATCACAGTTTGGGATATATTATTTCTTAAATAACTTTACTTGATTAAAGAGAGTGATACAGAAGTAGACATACATAATTTAAAAGTAAAAACCCAAGAACGCCCTCAAACCTGAAATTGTTCATTGTGTTACAGGCCAAGTTTGATTTGGCAGTGAAACAATGTACAGTCTACCCCCTTACACCATCTTAAGCAGAACACTTTATATAAATATGAACAAAGTGTAAAATTAAGAATTAGGAAATCTCAGCATATGATTAAACAAAGGTCAAATTAATAAAAAAAGGAATTTTTAGAGGGGGATCAGAGGTTATGAATCCACTAGTGTTATTTTCCATTTTAAATGTGTGCATGAGAAACATACACTGGCTTTTACTAAATTGTACAAAAATGATAGTTTCAACTACACTTTATGTTAATAATACAGTATGAGTATGATGTAATGACTTCAAAGACAAAATAAATGTTTAATTGTGACACTAAATTATTATTAATTTTTTTCAAGATTTTTCGTTTACAGTTACTTGTACATGATATGTAATTGGCTAATATTTTGCGAATAATACAAAGGCAAATAATTTCTAGTGTTTTCATGAATTCTCGCATTCTTTATAACACATTTCAATGGGATATGCATATTATTCTCTACCTGGAAATGAAACATTCAAGGTCTAACTCAAGCATTTTTGAGGAAAATTGATATATTAGACATCGTAATAAGAGACCAACTCAAGTTAGACCTATATTGCACTGACAAAATTGAACTACCTGAGATAGACTTTTATTTTAAATGTAAATAAAAAAGGCAAAAAAAGCATAAATTACCCTAAAATTTTTACAGAATGTGTATTTGACCTTACATTATCAAAATATGTAAAAAGGTGATTTTTGGTAAAAATGTCACTTAGACCAGTATTGCGCTGAGCCATCGATATTTTCTCTTTCATTCTGTCAATTCAATACACATTACAAAAAAAATGTTTCTAGCTTTGATGTGTAAAGTATTACATAGTTTTATATAGAGGAAGTAACAAGTTCACTTAAGGTTAATTTGTAATCATAATAAGCTGAATAAAGAATCCAGCTTTTGTTTGACAGTCAATTTAACAAGCGTCCATTCTTAATTTCTCGGATTATAAGAGATACATATTGCTTCCCTTAGACTGGTTAGTGGCAACAGATTGATGACAATATCTGTCATAAAATGCGCTACAATGATCCCATTAAATAGCATGCGACTCAACTCGGGTACCCCCTAGTAGTTTTTTTCTTCAAAACAACTTTTTTACATGAAAATAGTGACAGATTAAAAGTATAATTATCAAAAACAACTATTTTGTTTTAAGTTCACACCTTGGTACAGAGTAGTAATACATGATGAGTCGAGCAAGGTCTGTACTGTTGAACAATTGATTCTTCCACAAGGAACTACTTGTAAATATCAACAGGACCGCATTACCATCCAAATCCCGACAACCTGAAAATAAAATGTGCACAATTATAAATATCCATGTAGGTAATGAAAACTGCTGTGTCAGCAGAAACGAAGGTAATTAGGGAGGGTAAGCGACAGTTTAAAAGCCGAGCCCTTACCTGGCATAACAACTGCTATCAGGGCTACCTTACTTCTTATCATATCACAGTTTAGTTCTGTACAATCTAGACATCATTGGCTGCTGATCAGTGACCTACCATACATTTTGGTACAAAATTTCTTCCTTTAGCCGATCAAACTCTATGGATATTTCATGGAGGTGAATTCTCATCACTTTGTGTTTTCAAAATTAATTTATACTTGAAAGCGGAAGCTACTTGTTTGTTTGTGAAAGGATGAATGGACCCTATATTGCCTAGACCTCATATGTTGGTGCTCATCTAAGCAATTTTCATTGTTGTCCTATTGCAACTTTCAGTACTCACAGTCTTCCAAGTTTAAAGTATCTTAAGATAGGTTAATCTGCATTCTTAGTAATGAATATATTATTTGACTTTGAACTGAAGTGGTTTTCTAAGTATTGTGTCCTCTTTTTTTGCCAACAAAGTTTATGCTGGTAAATATCTTCAGGTAGCTATTGTGTCCTCCATTCTAAAGTTGTCATCAAATTTTATGTTATCAGAAAATACAATATAGAAATTTTTTAGCGAACAACAAAATGCTAAATGAATACACAATCTGACTTATGCCTAAAGTAGTTATTAATTTAATTTTTAGTCTAAAACTCAGCTGTTTTTTTTGGTGGTTTTTTTTTTTTTTTTTTTTTTTGCAAAATCAATATCTGACACTTTGATATTTTGATACACTTGGACATATCCTTATTTTAAAAGGTTGACTTAAATTTCTTACAGGTTAAATAATAATAATCACTCCGTATAATACTGTATCATTAAGCTCAGGGATCAGCCATTGCATTACCTAATCACTGACAAACAAAGTTAGATAACTAGGTACATATAGAGGAATTAATTAACAAGATCAAGGGTAGACAAATATGTAGGTGTCAGTCTGGAGGGGGGATAATCCCCAATGATCTGTCTACTAGACTTAGGAAAATATGATCAAAATATGCTGTTCAACGATTATGACAGACACCTACATGTACAGTGTACATGTACCAGGATATGTATATCTTGAAGTACAGCAACATGGATTATACCCTGTTGAATACACTATTTAGAATAGTAAGAAGATCACTGCAAGTTTATAAGAAGACAATGTTATCAACAAGATATTATTTTGAAATATTGGATCATTCATGTTTCAATAATGAAATTATGTATTTCCCAAGGTCTGAAAAGTAAGTAGCTACATGTAAATAATTGCCATAAAACTA